CCCCCTTGGGACGCCGGACCGGCGGTTGTCGGCACCGCGACCACCAGCCCTCTCGGTTGGCAGACTATCCGGAGCCCGCTTAGATGGCGCTGGTTAGAATGTGTTATCCAGGACTTGGGCGAGGTCCGCCTCCCTATAGTGATTTTTAAGTAAGTGAAAATATAGGGACGCTAAAAAATAATTTATTCTCAAAGTGGCAGTAGACAATATAAGTTTGGGAACCCCTGTTCTAAATAGATCACGTTACAAATTTAAACAGATTTTCTGATCCTCGTATGTTCGTAATCTGATAAATCCACGAATTGCACGTGTTCAACTCAAGTATGTTTTCTAGTTTATCAGATTATTCAACTTATATAAACTGTATACCCTTGAATTTGTTAGCCCAATATTAGCGTGACGTCAGGACTACCACTGCAGTTATTCGCGTTGGCACCCTGCCAAGTGCCTACCACTGTTACGTCAATATCCACCAACTATTTGTACATACGTATTTAGAGAAATTTATGTCCACGATTTCATGTGTACTTCTTATTAGGGAACTGTTTTAAAATAAGCAACCTGAATGCCAACTGAAACTTATAATTCGTTAGTCTATTTAGTGTGATCACTAAGTCTGAAGTTCTGAAGTCGTCGTGGCCTAAAGGATAAGACGTCCAGTGCATTCGTGTTGAAGCGATGCACCGGTGTTCGAATCCCGCAGGCGGGTACCAATTTTTCTAATGAAATACGTACTCAACAAATGTTCACGATTGACTTCCACGGTGAAGGAATATCATCGTGTAATAAAAACCAAACCCGCAAAATTATAATTTGCGTAATCACTGGTGGTAGGACCTCTTGTGAGTCCGCACGGGTAGGTACCACCACCCCGCCTATTTCCGCCGTGAAGCAGAAATGCGTTTCGGTTCGAAGGGTGGGGTAGCCGTTGTAACTATACTGAGACCTTAGAACTTATATCTCGAGGTGGGTGACGCATTTACGTTGTAGATGTCTATGGGCTCCAGTAACCACTTAACACCAGGTGGGCTGTGAGCTCGTCCATCCATCTAAGCAATAAAAAAATAAAAAAAAATCATAAAGAGCGGGGGGGGTTTCTTTCCACAGGAGAAAATCGCTGGGTCCCCACCCGCCGTGCGTATGTGGGAGTTGAACCTCACAAAAAACTCCAGCCGCTCACAGCCGGCGCCCTACCCTACCTACGAGACGGCGGGAAGAGCGGAGGGTTAGCGTGGTATGGACATGTGATGTGTAGAGACGAGATGCACGTGACTAGAAGATGTATGGAAATGGTAGTGCAAGGTAAAGGTAGAAGAGGTCGACCGAAGAAGACATGGATGGAGTGTGTGTGAATGACGATATGAGAGAGAGAGAGAGGAGTGAGTGTTGAGATGACGGCTGATAGAAGAGAATGGAAGAGAAAAATTCGCTGTACCGATCCCACTTAGTGGGACAAGGTGGAGACAAAGAAGAAGAAGACTAAAAATCATACCCAAATTCCAAATATACTTGGAGAGGCAAAATAAATTTACTTTCACTGACTAACTCGGTGGTGCAGTACTTAGCGACCCTGCCTGTTGCGCCTAGGGTCGCGGGTTCGATTCCCACATCGGGAAAACATTGTGTAATGAACAGATCGTCTACTCTCATCGTTTACTCTTTGTCTGGGTGTTTATTATCTAGCTATGTATTTTTTAGAACATATACCTATAAGTATTTTTATCAGTCTCTGATACCCATAACACAGGGAATCCTAAATTAGGACCGGATGACCGTGCTTGATTTGTTCCGAGCTATTATTAGTGCCATTTATTTCACCTAGAATTGTAACAGTTTAATAATTATTTGACCAACTCATTCGATTACCAATCAATCAAACAAAATTTCAGACAAACAGACGAAAATCCCTATTTTTATGTTACTACCTTCCACTTCCTTTATGATTGACTTAAGCACGAGATTGAACGCACGAAATGATTTTTAATTATATCCCGAAATCTGTGGTTATAGTCTTTGACAATAGAACCATAATAATGTTCAAACTTATAATTTCAATTAATTATAGTCGAATTTCGGCTACTGGGAGACCACTAGTTATTTTAATGAGGCTTAAGAATATTTTGAAATGTCGGAATAGTACTCCGGGGCAATATAAAGTAGCGCTTTAGAAGCATCGCCATTAGATGAACATCCATACAAGGCACACATATATCATGACTGGCCTTGTATCTTCTTCTTCTTCATAGTTCCCTCACTGCTGAGGATCGCGACCACATGTGATTTCCTCCATAGTGTTCGATCATGAGTGGTATGGACCGCATGGTATAGACTACCACCAACCTCTCCTTAAACCAGATCTGACCATCTGACTGGTGTTCTGCCCACGACATGCTTGTCTTCTATGCGGCCCAAAATTATAAGCTTCTCTAATTCACATCTGAGAGACCGCATGAAATGTCCGAAGAAACTCATAACATACATTAGGTTTATTTATAATCAATCTTTAGCTTTGCCTTCATAGAAGAAACATTAAATTGTAAACCGTGTTGATTTGAGATACTTGTTATGAACATAGAATCGTGAAAAACATAGGAAAACTCCCAAGACGCGTTCACTGTACGTTTGAAAATGTTATAAATAAACTAATTTTGTTTAGTACATGATGCAGATCGGTATTCGCGTACGTTCCTCAATATAACTATCTAAATATCTGTTTAAATTTTATTATATTCATGTTTTTTTTATTGCTTAGATGTGTGGACGCGTGTGCTCACAGCCCACCTAGTGTTAAGTGGTTACTGGAGCCCATGGACATCTACAACGTAAATGCGCCACCCACCTTGAGATATAACTTCTAAGGTCTCAGTATAGTTACAACGGCTGCCCCGCCCTTCAAACCGAAACGCATTACTGCTTCACGGCAGAAATAGGCAGTGGTACCTACCCGTGCAGACTGACAAGAGGTTACATTAAAATATTACCATCTTACCATTACATACCAAAAAGGGTTTAAGAAAGACCCCAAAAATTCAAGTATAACTGTATATTAAAGTAAAAGAATATATCTATTATTGAGAACTAAACTAATGCTAGAGTCCTACTTCTCTGTCGCATTTCGGTTTACGTATTCAAGTCTGAAGAGTACGGTATTTCTTTGTTTGTTAGACGAGCATTCAATCGATCTACCCGCCGTGAATACACACAATACGTCCAGAGTTATTGACCTCCAGAATGTTCCAAATCCTTTGGAAATACAGACATTCCATGCTTCGGTTTGTTTTTTATTAGACGAGCGACGAGCATTTAATCCATCTGCCCGTCGCTAATACACAAAACATTTCCAGAACCATTGGCCTTAAAAATGTTCCCAATCCTTTGAAAATACAGACATTCCGTTCTTCCTGTGCGGACTTATAAATAAAGGCATGTATCAAATCCTCACCTCAGAGGACTGGATATTGTAATCGAAAACACTACTACGGATAAACGATGCGAGAGTAGTATCTAGTAGTATAATATTCTGATCAATAACCGATCATTAACATTCATCTATTTGTTCGAATAATCAAAATTACGACCTAATAATTCAAATTCAAATTCCCAAACCAGTCACCCCACCAATTTCTACGGTAAAACAGCGTCCAACAGCTTTGAAGTCAGAACGGCCGTTCTTCAAATGTGTCTCTGAAATTTCGATCTAACTGCAAATGGATCGGGTCAACTTTGTATTACAATGTCAAGATTACTCACTCACTGCTTGTGCGAAAGCTATACCAATCGATTTTATTGGTATTCCCTAACGCAGATGCCAATACAAAATCCGTTGAGGAGTAGTTTAGAAAACTGGATGACGGAATCATGATGACCTCATTTCCTTCACCATACCGGATAACGCGTGGCTGGCACGACGCCAAGGTTACTGTTTATCGCGCCACTCAATATATCATTGAACACAATGTTATCTGCTTCAGGAGATGGAGAAAGAAAACTCCATACATTGACAAATGAAGCCTTAATCAGTATATCAGTAGTGTGATTTATGAAATTTCCCAATTTTGTTTCCAGAACAACCTTATTCAGACTATTACGAACATATGAGATTAGAATTTCTTCTTGAATTAGACTTTCACAATTTGTAAATCGTGGAGTTTCATATTTTAACACCAGGTGGGCTGTAAGCTTGCCCACTCATCTAAGCAATAAAAAAAAGCTTCAATTAATATAAAAGAAAATATTTAGTTCTCAATTGACCAATCTTTATACTGCGCTGCGTCCGCATAGAATGGCTTCACCTCATTTCCACCTCCGCGCTAAGATATACCTCAAGTAATGAGTGCTCGGAGAAGCGTTCTGTAAATATTATACCAGTGTATTATGATCGCTAATTGATTTTACTGCTGAGCTGGTAGGATGCAGTAATCCGCATGGATAGGTGCCACCATCCCGCCTTTTTCTGTGACGGAGTAGGTACTCATGAAGTGTGATATCAGTCACGCAGCAACTTAACCCTTTTAGTGCTCAGCTTATTTTGCATAAATTAAAAGAATTTTTGACAAAAAACCCTTATAAAAATTAAGTAATTAAAAAAAATAGAAAAATCAAACCTGATTTCACAGCAAAATAATTTTAAATGGTTATTTATAAAATGTTATTAACGTATTAAAAATTTTATACACTTCGCGCAATCGATGCCAAATACCTATTATAATTTATAATCAAACTGCGCAATCACAGGTCATAGAAACACAGATGATCTGTGTGCGCAATAGTCGGTATTCCGACGCTCCGCAGTTTATACGCATTAATAGAGTGTCGATCTATCGACGGTTCGCGCTTTTAAAGGTTAAAACGAAATTTTGTGGATTTCATAAGGAGCAGTGGGAAACGGCCGGCTTTGACGATTACTGATATACGAATATTTAATTTCTCGTTTGAATTAATCGCACCTCTAACTTATGTGTACATACAATATAAACGTAATTAAATTATTCTTTAATAACCTGTGTATTCCTCGTGAAGCCGTAGCCCAGAAACCGTTCATCATGAGCAGGTACAGTGTCCGGAGCCACGTAGAAGGGCTCGTACAACAGCTCGAAGTTGGTCACGTTATGGGAGATGTGGGTCTCGCTGGTCTCGTTGCCTCCACTCGCCTCCCATCTGGTTCGGATTGGAAGTTTAAACAAAGCAAACTTGAGAGTAAATTAAACTTCGATTGAATGTTACAGGACCTGCCATCGAATCTCGTTTGAATGGCCTCACTCATCTTAACAAGTGAGATCGAAATCACAAATTTCCTGAAATTTCTAAAATGGCTACCCCGTTTTTGAGTACAGAGGTGGTGCTGAGAATTTTCTAGAAAATTACTATTTTATAGTATGAATCGTGTTTCTTTGAATCCCTGACAGACACAGAAAACTGATGTCTTCATATACGACCCACAAGAGTTTTAGAAATGAAAAGAGTATATACAAAAACTCACCTAGAAAAATTAGAAGCGTACTGGTTGTAAATAAACACTTTTCTATGAAACGGAATGGCTAATTTATTTCTGGAGAGGCGTAAAAGTTCTGACTTGCTGCTAGGGAAGGTCGCCACGCGTTTGTCTAGTTCATATGTCGGAACAACATAGGCACAGAGCGAGCATTTAGGTGCTGTTGTCAAGAACTGAAAAGAAAATTAAGCTAGGTTCATATTGTATGTGCAGGCTGGGTGCGTAGTAGTTTAAGATAGCGAGGGGCGATTTCCCTGTACATGCCGACCGAACCACGGCTTGCCTTTACGCCCGGTCACCATCAAGGTAAGCCAGAGAGCCAATCTTTCGTCTAGAAGATAAGATAATAGAGGGTAAGATATGGAACGCAAACTTATAAACATTACTATTGTATTAAGAATCTTGTTTGATATGAATTTGATGCGCATTTCTCATCTGAACGTACCCTTAGCCCAATGTTGCTTATAAAAGTATTTAATTTAGTATATTTTCGAAAAATAAACCGTTACATTACATAGCCATTTCAATGTTTTCGTATTTATACTACTAATAAATAACTTTTCGCTCATAAAAAGAAAAGTCGTTCGTTTGGCCCCTGTGAGGAGATATTCTCCTCCCGGTGATGGTCACGGTGCGACCTGAGATGGTGGAAGCTGCGCCGTACGCTGCCGTCACTCAAGGGCGCTGGCACCAAGAGAATGGTGCACCGTGGTGGCGGCTGCGATTCGCGTTGCCATCCGAGTAAAAGTGATTATCAGGCCGTGTTATATATAAGTGTGTGAAGTAAACAGAGACAATGTTTGATACATGTTCTCTATGAAGTAATCGGATACTGACCTTATCGAGCGATGCTGCCATCCCCTTAGACGGCACGATATCCACATCGACAAGAAAAACGTAAGAAGTATGACAGTTCTTCCGTGCTTGATTCCTCATATGGTTCTGAGGGTATGGATGTCGTGCCCTCCAAGCTACTGTATCTGCCCTTCTTTCTCCTGGAGGCAACGGCTTCGAGCGGCAATCCCTTGCCCAGCTCGGTACTACACCGTGCACTCCTGGTCTTTCTGCTGGTGTCGCAATATGTAAGGCAACTCTTGAATATATTTCTGGTTGACATCGAAATAGCCATGTCGTGAACGCTCTCAAAAGTCTTAGTTCATCTCCAGCGACAAATACAGCCACTGATATAGGTCCAGTCCAGTGCGCGGCTATTCTTAGCAGCTCGTGGAGCCGTTCTATGGAGCTCTGAGTGGCGAGGCACACCTTACTGTTGCTCGACACTTCAGAGTATAGCTCTCCCACAGCCGCGTAATCGAAGAGTCTGTAGCTTCGAGATCCGTCCCACCTTCCTAATCGCAAGTCGAGTTTCGCGATCGGATCGTCGTCGATTGCGCTATTCGGTACCGTGTCTATGCATGGTTCGCACGATGGAGGATCTGAGGGAGAGGCAGTTGAGATGACGGGACAAGCGGTGGGGTGCAACAACCAGATGTTGGCAACGGCGTTGTAGAATATTAGCGCTATGGCCGCTATCGTCACAATGCTCCATCGGCAGCGCCAGTTCCACTGTTAACAAAAACTTACGTTTGTGAAACTGTTACCTGCGGAGACAAACGATCACAGTGATACGAGTAGGTATGGTGTCAAGCCGCTGCCTCCCGAATCAAATCTCATTTAAAAAGGGCATATCACGCAGAAAGCAGTTAGCAATTGTGGAGAATTTAGTAGATTACAAAAATGAATGAACTGGTCAAAACCAAATAAAAACAATATTAATGAAGAAACCTCTTTTCCGTAGAGGGCTGAATGATCTCGCCTATAAGATGGTGTGGAGTGACTACCGGCGACTTCACCACGAGATTGACCAACGCTGGTCATCGAAACATGAGGTCTAAATCCCCGATCTAACCGTAAGAAGTAAATAGGGTAGTGATACAAACCCATGAGTACCCATAAGATGCGCTACCACCAGTAATTCCGCAAATCATATGTTTTAAAAGATTTCTTCTTGAATCAATCATACTTGAAAATGTGCTAAGTGCGTATTCATTAGAAAAAATTATAAGTGCTGAGCCTGCGGCATTCAATCACCGGCACAGTCGCATCGCTTGATACGAATACGCCGAGAGTCTAATATTTTAGGCAACTACGACTTTAAAATTTTTTAAATAATTGATATGACAACTTACTTACAATTTACAATTTAAACTTACAATTTTGTCCCTCCGCCCTTTGATGATGGATCTTTTGACCACAGAGTAACCCATTCCTGTAATCGTCCTCTATTCATCACCTGGACTATTTGTTTCTAAATTGTATTCTCTACCTTTTTATCATCTGAAACAACAAACCAAAAATCAGAAGGAAACACAGATGTCGGCTCCCGTAATTTACCGTCGAAACTTCTAGCTCATAAAATGTTATCATGTCAATACATTTTCCGAGACTAAATCAAATAACAATTATCTACCATTACAATCTAAATGTGAAAAAGATTTCCGTAAAGTGAGGCAACAATGTTCTTTTTTCATAACTACATATTACAATTCCAAACGAATCGGTCACAATAACAACAATAGGAGATGTAAAAATTGCGTGACCAGTCATTTCGTCTTTCTAACCATCATTATACATAATTATTTTTGACACAGGTTGATAAAACATTTTGATCAGTGAATAAAGAAAGAATAAGCCATAAAAAAATTTAATTATACTTCATAACAATTTCTTGGCAATTATGGGCATTAAGGACGACCAACTCTGTAATATGATTCAGATTTCAAATGATACAGACTGTAACAGACGCAAGGCCAGAACTATACATTAGAAGCGATGTATGTACATGCATAACATAAAAATTCAGATTGATATCATATCATTGTAATCGGAACCCGCAAACAGTTGGCAATATACGTTGAAATTTTTGTTTTGTTTTTACACTAATTATAATGACTGTTTCTATATAAATTTCTTTTTTATTGCCGTTGTTGGCAGACGAGCATCACCTGATGATGAGTGGTTACCGTCGCCCATGGACTTCAGCAATGCCAGGGGCAGAGCCAAGCTGCTGCCTACCTGTTTGTTGAACCCTTTTGCCTGTTACAACAATAGCGATTATTGTTTTTTTTTTCATCATAGCATAGACATCGTAAAATGTTGTTCTGAATATAGAAAAGCGATTAGTATCACGATCGGCACAAACTGTAAACTTGTTTTCATTCCTACGACAAACTTATATATATATATTCTGCAAATAGAGACATTAAAATTGATTGTACTCTAGTTACCATATATCAGGGTATCCGTCAAATAGTCCGTATATCGACGTCAATTGACGTATTAGTCCAGATAATAAGCACGCACGTGGCCCGTGATTTTGTGCGTTTGTGTTCTTGTTTTCCTAAATATGTACTATTAGGTATACTATTGTATCATAAACATATTATAGTCCACATATGTACGTGTGGAAGAGCTCACGGCCCACCAGGTGTTGAGTGTTTACCGGAGTCCATAGCCTCCACCTTAAGACACGAGATCCAAGGTCTTAGTTTTTACAGCACAAAGGTGGAGCACCCTTCAAACCGAAACGCATTACTGCTTCACGGCAGAAATAGGACGGTGGTACATTCCCATGCGGACTCAAAAGACGTCATACCACATGTAATTATGCAAATTATATAATAATTTTGCGGGGTTGATTTTTATTACACGATGTTATTCCTTCACCGTGGAAATCAATCGTGAACATTTGTTAAGTACGCATTTCATTAGAAAAATTGGTACTTGCCTATGGGTATTCGAAAACTGTTGCATCGCTAGATAAGAATGCACCGGACGTCTTATCCTTTATGCCACGACGACTTCAATATAGGCTACGACGACTTCATATGATACTAAAACAAGTAATTGTACAGTATGTTCCATGGGGAGTACTCTGAGAAATTATTTGAGATGAACCCATCATCTCGTTTTTACCATCGCACCGCCCGCCACCGGAGTAGAGCTCATTCACACTACCGGGAGCCACTGCATTCATCCACAGTGCGTTTCCAGATATCTTTTTTGCCACGCACCATCCGGTTTTGCAATGAGCTCCCCTCCACGGTGTTTCCCGAGAGCTATGACATGTCCTTCTTCAAACAAGGCCTGTAGAGAGTACTTAACGGTAGGCCGCGGCTTGGCTCTGCCCCTGCTTTTGCTGAAGTCCATGGGCGACGGTAACCACTCACCATCAAGTGGCCCGTATGCTCCTCCGTCTATAAGGGCAATAAAGAAAAGAAGAAAAAATAGTCAGCTACCATACCGTACATTATTCGATAAAAGATACTGATTCTGATCGCCAGTCGAAACCGGAGTCCGCGCTACACTAGCCGGATCTCACATGGCCAACAACACGAACCTAAGACGCAATGCGGCAGGAGTCCAGAACATATATATGTCCTATATTACTAACCAGCAATGTCTGCTTTGTTCGACAAACTAAATTAGGTACGTTTGAAATTTCAGTCGTGAGATAAGAATGAACGATCAATTTAGTGACCATCAAATTAAGTATGAATACAATGTATTTATGTTATTCAATAAGTACCTAGACGATATGCTGATGAAAATGATGATAGTTGAATAATACATATTTTTTTTATGTTTGAGAATTTACTGGTGGCCCGGAGGCCTTTCCAGTTTTACCAGGGCAGGTGGGCGAGCAAAGGCTCAGCCAGGAGGGGTGGAAATTGCTAACAGCTGCTCGAGCGCCTCCAAAGGAGACCTAACAACTCAAGAGTAGCTGATTTGCGTATGAATCTACTACCGGATCGGAATCGCGACCCGCTGAGAAGATCCGGCAAGAAACTCAGCGGGCTGATGCTTAGGTTAGGTTGCACTGAATAATACAGCAATGCAGAATGAGACAAAATGTACCAAAAATAATTTGCAATTTCTCGTTTCTTTAACATATTCTATTATGTTTCGTGACAGTCGCACTTTCTGCCACGACAAGAAACTTACTGGTTGAATGTAGTCACTGCCGATAATTCGGACATTGACACCCCCAGGGCCACACAGCCATGCAAATAAAATTGTTTACGTTAAACAATATTGTTTATTGTACACAATTAAATTAAATTCGATAAAAGATATGTCAAGTACAGTTCAATGAATATTTTTTGTATATATATATATATATACATATATGCAGGTATAGTAATTTAGTGCTTTAGTTAAGCTACAATATTGAAACGTAATATAATAAACTCATAATAAAATGCCGAACGTTTAACATTTTGTGGAATCTATTTTCTTTAAAAGTAAACAGAATTTGGGATCTTAGCCTGGGATAATTAATATTGAAGTCAATTATAAAATTATATAGTACATAAACATANTATATATATATACATATATGCAGGTATAGTAATTTAGTGCTTTAGTTAAGCTACAATATTGAAACGTAATATAATAAACTCATAATAAAATGCCGAACGTTTAACATTTTGTGGAATCTATTTTCTTTAAAAGTAAACAGAATTTGGGATCTTAGCCTGGGATAATTAATATTGAAGTCAATTATAAAATTATATAGTACATAAACATATAACTTTCCTATTTTTTTTGTATAATAGATCCGAATTATATTATAGTTGCTTTAAGTAATTTTTGAAGTTATATATAGAAACACGTTTTGTAGGTACCTATTTGATTCGGTAGCTTATGAATATAAAATAAAAATAAATTTAACATTTTCTCGAACGCTACGTCATATTATTATATACTCGTAATTGATTGTCATATTTCAAACGAAACCTGCACACGATCCTTGCCAGTAGGAAGCACTTGACTATATCACTGGCCTTGCCGTTGTCCATGAACGCTGATACCACTTAGAGTTGTCATCAAACTCATTTGCTTTTGAAGTCAAAAAAAATAGAATTAATTTCTGCTTGGAATATCCAATTTAATATGTATGTATGTACTTAAAAAAATTATCGCATTTTCATAATAAAAACATATCATATAGGTAGCTGTTAAAAATAGTGTTCAAAACCAATGTATTATAAGACTTAAGTACATAGAAAATCACTCACATGGATATTTTCTCACGCTGCATACATTAATCAAGCAATCATTTAAATATTAAAGGTTATCAAAACATTCAATACACTCGCTACACTACATAATACTAATAAAATTCGTATTTTATTCCTGCATGTAATACTGATGTTTCATATGTTAATTTCTGGATTGGTTAATATTTTGTAAATATGATACACGCGCATTGAGAGCGATACCACTAATTCTTTGCGCATGTCTTGTGGCGGACATGCGCGTCATAGCTTTTAGACATGTAGGGGGAAATCAGGACTTCACTTTTAATGTATATATTGCGGAAGACATGCAGACCTGCTGAAAGTGGCTTGGCGCTGGCGTAGATTAATCAGACGGTTATATGTATATTACAGATTTCGCTAAACCTATCTTATCTTACTATTCACCATTCATCCATAGTCCGTGGCAGTACCTACGCTTAAAGTTCTGTATTTTTGTTAATAAGCAGACGGGCTCACGGTCCACATTAAGTGGCTACCGAAGAACAAACTTCTTAGTATCAATGCACTCACCATGAAGATATGAGATTGAAATCTCAATTATGCGTTAATCTATGGGTTCACTGCCAAGAATTCCATTCATCTTGAAACATGAGGTCTACTAAATCTCAATTTTGTAGTTTACACCTGTCCCACTCTTCAAACCTAGGTACTCATTAAAATGCTGCGTTCTGGGAAGTGCGACTTCATTCATTCAATCGTTTTCTGGAAAATTTAACTTGAAGAATGAACGATGAGGAAAACAAGATAGAAAGATAAATAACGATGAGCTGAATAGTGGAAGCCGATGCCCATCAGATATCAAAGAACAAAAAACTCTTATCATGGTTTCACATTAAATTACCTTTATTAATGACCCATTTCCACCAAATCGATATAAATTTCGCGCGTTAATGAGTAGATCCAGGAATAAATGGATTAATCAATTACGAAACAGGAACCTAAAGAAAATCTTANATAGAAAGATAAATAACGATGAGCTGAATAGTGGAAGCCGATGCCCATCAGATATCAAAGAACAAAAAACTCTTATCATGGTTTCACATTAAATTACCTTTATTAATGACCCATTTCCACCAAATCGATATAAATTTCGCGCGTTAATGAGTAGATCCAGGAATAAATGGATTAATCAATTACGAAACAGGAACCTAAATAAAATCTTATATATTTTATTTAATCTACGGCTTTTTAATATCCTGGGAATCAATGGCAGCCAGTTACAAAGAACTTCGAACAACGACAATGACCTTTAAAAAATAATAGTGATATTAACTAGAATGGACCTGTTAGTCTACGTCATTTATATAAAATCACAACGTGAAAAAGCAGGTACTTTAGGTAATTTATGAAGTTCCTTATAAAAGTTATTTATTGTTTTATGTTATATGAATTTTCATTTTAAGGTGTTCAAGCTATCTAGATATAAATTCGTTACAAACAAAAATAAAAGTTAATTGCTAGAGACGGGAAACATGCAGGGAACTGAAAACAGTCTTGAACAAAACTGATTTTGACATCGTCAATAAAAAGACTACCATTGTCAACTGTCAAACGTAACTAAAAAATGTCAAATTGACATCTACCACGACGGATAAATTATAAGAAAACATAACCTAAATAAAATAAAACTTGATTCATTAAAACATCTTCGGAGAGCATTTAGTGTGTATCTAGCAAATGTATGGACTGAAGAAGAAAATACTGTATTCTTAATAGAGAGTTGAATTATAATTAAAATGTTCAAAATACCGGAATGGGATAGTTATGTGCCCAAATCAAATATTAAATTCAGTAGGAAAACCGTCAAGGTGCGATTTATTTCATGAATATTAAAGTAAAACCCAAGCATGCTTGCTATCTTTATATAAAATTGTGTTGGAGGATATTGTTTCCTCCAACACTAAATCACGACCACTCTGTCAAGAGTGACACGATATAGAAGAAGAACTAACAATAACTATAACTGTATCTATTTATCTTGTTGAGTATGAAGATTTACTTTATTTTTATAAAAACAATAAAACTTACAACAATAAAAACAATAAATTTTACTGGTGGTAGGACCTCGTGTGAGTCCGCGCGGGTGGGTACCACCACCTTGCCTATTTCTGCCGTGAAGCAGTAATGCGTTTCGGTTTGAAGGGTGGGGCAGCTGTTGTAACTATACTTGAGACCTTCGAACTTATATCTCAAGGTGGGTGGCGCATTTACGTCGTAAATGTCTATGGGCTCCAGTAACCACTTAACAGCAGGTGGGCTGTGAACCCGTCCATCAATCTACGCAATAAAAAAAAATAAAAAAAATAGTCCTCATTGAACCAGTCTAGTCCTCATTGAACTATGGTGGTGATGCGACTTCGGTTGGAATGTTTCGTACAAAGCTCAACACATCGTTGTGCAAATAGACCAGTTTGTTTAATGTTGTCGGTCGTAAAAAAAGTTAATCTTTTAACAATGATGACACAAAATAAATTGGCCAAGTTCTGGTTAATACATATCATGTTTACTTATTTATTTCAGGCAAAATCACAAAACTTAATACTGAAAACTGAAACTCCAATAAATATTGAATTAACCAACACCAAGCAGTTTCCAAAAAGTGCCAATAAAGTCAATTTAAGCACAAAGTACAAAAAAATCAATCAGATAAAAAACCAGAAAAATAAAAACAAGAATGAGAATAGTAACAAAATAGTAAATGAAGATGGAAATACAAATAAAAAGAATAATTTTGTCAGCTTACTGAAATCAAATATCACTAAATCTAACAGTAAAAATAATTATCAAAATCACAAAAATATAGAAAATAAAAATGTTAATAAAATAAAAAATAAAAATGTTAATAAAATAAAAAATAAAAATGTTAAGTTTCAAAAATCAAAAATTAATAAATCGAATGAAGTAAATAAAGATTTGAGTGACAGTACACAAAAACATTCCATAGACACAAGTGTTACTGATAGTACATTAAAAAATACTACAAAAAGAACAAAAAAACGTAAAAGTATAAATAACTCACAACCAGATGACTATGTTGAAGTTTCTGACCTCAATGGAGACATAGTAGATGAAGTACTTATAAATGAAAAAAGGAAAAAGTTAAATGAACAATTACAGAATGATGATCAAGAAGATATTTTATTTAAAGAAAGCAAAGGAAAGAAAGCAAAACACCTTAAAACCAGCAAGGATGAAAATATAAATAAATTAGAAGCATCAAATTATGTTAAAATTGATTTTAAAAAAGAAAAACTAAGAAAGATGTTACAAGAAAACTCATTGAGAAGTCCTTTTACTGTTAATGTGAGAAACGGAAACAAGTTGAGGGAGAGAATGCTTGAAAGATTAAAAGGTTATAACTGGACAGTAAATCATATATTTTTTTTATATTTGATGTTGTGCTTAGTTTAGCTGCTTTTATTTAGTCTTCCTAGTGTAAACCATTGAACATTTAATTACTTATACTCTGTCACTAGATATCAGTTCTGTCAGTATATATATACTAACTGGAAAAAAAAATCAGTGAATATTCACTGATTGTTTTGTCCAGTTAGCAACTATATTGTAGAAATACTTAGGCATTAAAAATAAGCAATAGTATTTATTAACTATGGACATGTCAGCTTATTTTCCAACTATAATGTTTATATAAATTCCTTATGAAAGCTTTGATTATTTCAGCTGCACAATTCAGGTACCTCAATGAAAAACTATACACATCATCAGGTACAGAAGCACATCAATTATTCCAGAGTGATCCCGCTGCCTTCAAAACTTACCATGAAGGTTACCAGCAACAACTCAAGAAATGGCCCATCAATCCATTAGACCTAATTGTAAAGAGGATTCAGAAAATGTAAGTATGAAAAACTTTATCACAAATGTCATCACGATGTGTCTATTTTTCCATTTAAAGGCATTATGAAATGTAACCACAACAAAACAAATGAATTGTAGAATTTGATGCTTTTCTAGACATTTTGTTCTTCATTAAGACGTATTACAACTTTATACTGTTGTTGAAAACTACCTGAGTAATAATTTCTCTCAGCTTGATTTAACAGATACATAGTAAAATTACATGCAGCTCGTCAAAGTTAATATGAACAGAGTATAAAAATTGTTTAAAACATTTAAATTGCTTGAGGTTTTACTAAATTGGGTACATCTAGAGGATGTTTAAGCTAAAAATTATTTTACAAATCAGTAAATTTTGGAATGACTTAATTATTACTCCAACAGGCCTAAAACACATAAAATAGCTGATATGGGTTGTGGAGAAGCTGCGCTGTCACATCATGTACCCCATCCAGTTCGGTCCTTCGATTTGGTAGCCACTACACCAAGTGTAGAAGTGTGTAACATAGCACACACCCCACTGCTGACAGCGTCCATGGATGTTGCAGTCTATTGTTTGGCACTAATGGGCACTGAACTCACTCAGTACTTGGTCGAAGCTAGTAGAATATTGAAAATTGGGTAAGTATTTTAAGAAGTATAACAAAAATTTTCCTCGAGATTTACATTCCCTGGCAAAACCTGATATGCTTCAATCTTGGAATGAAAAGTGGCAGATTTCTCGTCAGTCAGTAGGTAAGCATTATGGTAACTTGCAACCGACCCTGCCCTCTAAGCCTTGGCTTTCCTCCCACTGCCATCTCCCTAAAAAAATTGTCTCAGCTATAATCCGTCTTAGACTTAGCCATGTTTGCTCCGCTGTTTTTCTTGGCAAAATTAGAGTCCGTGACCATTCTCTTTGTGAGTGTGGATTAGATGAGGGTACCCTGGATCACATTTTCTTCGACTGCCCCAATATCGTATCCCCTCTTTATGATATCCTTCCAAATGACAGTCCCCGGCCTATTAATATTAATTCTTTACTAACTTTAGTCTATTCTAAACATGTAAATATTCTGTGTAAATTTTTATCTGCTAATAATATTTAAAGTAGTTAGTCTAACATATAGTTGTTTGTGCTGCTCTTAAAATAACAGATTCACGTATGGAAAAAGTGACCAAATTTATTTGTATTTAGATTTAGTAATTTTTTTCCTCTCTACGTACCTGTCATTTTTGTATATACTTTGACATCGCAAAATCAATGCCAAAGGCGTTGGAGCGAAATTCTTTATAAAAAAAAAAGTATTTTAAGAGACAACAGCTATCTGCAGTTTGGCATAACAGCTATATTCTGATATGTAATTGCGTGTGTTTGTATTAATTTGAGGTCACTGAAATAAGCATTAAATAATAATGCCATCCATGCCAATATTATTTTTACAGAGGCCATCTTCTAATAGCAGAAGTTGAGAGTCGTTTTGAAAAAGTTGAGGACTTTACTAAAGCACTAGAGCGGATCGGATTCAAACTAATTAAACTGGACAAGAGTCACACCGTCTTCTACTTCATGGAGTTCACGAAAATACGAGACGCGCCCGTGAAGAAATCCAAACTACCCGCTTTGACGCTTAAACCTTGTCTTTATAAGAGACGATAATAAAATTATGAATTAATGTTTTTTGTCATTTACCAAACCCGCTCCTCTTCCTCCTCAATCCTTGTCTCATAACTGAGGATCGTGACCCTGGATGCATTGGGTTGAGTGTCCCCCTGGATTTGCACGTCCAGAGTCGCCTCGTTAGGACGCGTGCTCACCTACGACTTGCTAAGGAGACCTGGTCGTAACTGTACCAACAGTAACCGTACTTCGTTTTAACTCGAAAGAGTGCCAATGCAAATTCTTACAAGCCTTATTTTAGCAAAAATAACATTTGCTATGCGGCGGTGTTCCTTTCCAGAAAGCAATTTTAGAGAGAGAGAGAGAGAGAGAGAGAGAATACACTTTATTGCACACCAAAACACAATTTACATTCAAAAAAACAATAAAAAAAAACAGATACATTTGTACAATAGGCGGTCTTATCGCTAAAAGCGATGTCTTCCAGACAACCGTTTAATTTATAGAAATTCTGGAAAATATAAAAAAAAATATATAGCAGGTATGTTGTGGTGTACTATAGATAATACATTATAGAAAATATATACATACAATAAACAAAATATATACCGTTTACATATAATATGAAATATATACCAATTATATACCAATATACATACATACAATACATACTAATATACTTACATACACAAAATAATCAACAGTATGGAAATAATAAATGATGATGCAAACAAACACCACTAAGAAGATAAGTAGTGTTCCTTCACCATTCTTTTAAAACAGTTTAAAGTTTGAGCACTTCTCACTGCATCCGGCAGAGCATTCCACAATCGAACCGCCTGGACGGTGAATGAATGATCAAAGAATGATGATGAATGCGCCGGCATTTTCAGTCTCAGGCTATCCGATTTTTAGTGGTTTTTTCCCCTACATAAGCTAGTAATCTAGGGAATCAGCGTAAACGGGTATGAATTAATGTTAGTGACGGTAGATCCAATAACAGTTAATTTACTTTAGTTAACATTGAGCTCACGCGTGGAGTCAACGACCCAAGCTGTCCTGTACCGCGGGGAGTTTGTCTTCAGGATAGGTTGCGAATGGAATAAATATGATTTAAAATATTTAAATGATATCTTGTTATGTTGCTTTCAGTACATTCTGGCTGTATTTGCTAGCTGGTACCGTGGGATTCTGAGAAACTCACGGTTTTCAAACTGACTTCTCACTACATTTTTGTGGCCTTTATCAAAACTATGTTCCAGATAGTGTAGCTGTTGATTAGTAAAAGAATTTTTAAGATAGGTCCGGCTTCAAAACTACCATCATAATGACAACACAATGTTTATCAAAACAATTTTACTAAGTAATATTATGTATATCACATCATATTATTATATTATCAAATCAATTCTTAAACTCATTTTTAAATAATAATCAACTAATTTCCAACAACAGTAACATGGCAGCTGACATCACACTGCGTCCAGACCCAGTATAGCTGGATACACAAACAAATCATCGAAGGATATCGTCCGGTCTTTATATACATCGTAACCACAGTTAAATGATAAATTTCTACTGTCCAATCTGAATCACAGACATCAATAATGATGTCTGTGATATATTCGTAGCCGCTGTTATTGTCACTCTTAACTTCAGACGCATACAGCATCTAGTCCCGCGACTCTCCCGGCGCGGTCCGCGGTCCGCTCTCATAAATTCAGTTCCTGCATCACGTCTTCGGCTTCGGCACGAAGATTCTCAACTTTTTCTATGAGCATCATCTGAAAATAATATCGAAATTTAATGGAAATGCTGCTGAATTAACCACCGCCCTGCCTATTTCAGCGTGAAGCAGTAATGCGTTTCGGTTTGAAGGGTGGGGCAGCCGTTGTAACTATACTGAGACCTTACAACTTATATCTCACGGTGGTATTGTATTGTACAAGTATATTTGTTAGTTGAAACAACTAGCCTCGTCACACCGAGTCCAACCCTGCCGGGTCCCTTGCTGGTGTCGGCGTGCAGTAAGTACAAGGACGAGCCCCGCCACGGGATGTCGTTAAAATAAATTTTATTTCATAACATTACTAGTCACAATACATGATTAATGAATTACAGAGATTAAAACGCGACGGGACACTTCAGAACGCGCCCTTAATTCAGTATGTGGTCAAATTGAGAATAGATTAGGTATTATTGTTTTTCCTTAATTATATTCGTCTATAGTGTAATTTTGGCGAAATCCAATAAAACCATAATAATGTTCAAGCTTATAATTTCAACTAATTATAGCCGAATTTCGACTACTGTGGTCCCACCACTAATTAATTTTAATGAGCACGGCGAATGTGTGAAACAATTGAATATGCAATTTCGAAAAGGGCACATCTCTGAAAATGTAAAATGTTCAGGAAATGAGAAAAACTGATTATTTTCTAAAGCAGTGTAAAATTTAAAATATTACCTTTTGAGATATATTTTAGTGTTAATTAGCAATTGAAAATTACTGAAAATTATTATAAAATTGGTGTAGGTAGGCCTCAAAACCACATGTATATGAAAAAACGTATTTGACAAAATATGCGACATGTGCCTTTTTCAAACTGCATATTCAATTGGTTAATACAGTGACGGACCCTGGCAGCACTGATGAGGTGCGTGGCGGCGGTCCTGGACAGATGACTGATGGAGGAGGTCAAATTTTCTGGAGAAGCTTTAGCGACGTCTTCTATTCTCTTGTATCCCGCACGCATCAGCTGCAGCGCACGGGCCTGGTCGTGAACACAAATAATAATTAATTTTAAATATACAGTCTAGACCAGGGGTTCCCAAACTTATTTTGTCTACTGCCCACTTTGAGAGTAAATTATTTATTAGCGTCCTCCATTTTTTCACCTACCAAAAAACCACTATAGAGAGAGTTCAGTCGCTGTCTAAGAGTCCTCCTAGATGAAATTACAAATCGCTTCCAAGCCTCTACACAACGCCCCTTTGTTTGGGTCTCTTACCGCCCCTCTTTAGGCCTGCGGCGCCCACGAGGGGGCGATATCGCTCACTTTGGGAAAGGCTGGTCTAGACGGTTAGATAATGAGCACACTTATTATTACTTATTACTGTCTTCGGTTTGATCAGTTATGGTCGCGAAATGAACTCGATAAATAACTTAGATTTAATAAAACTTTACGGTGAGTTTTCGTTTTAGATCGAAACATTAGTTTAAAACACAATAAAGTTATATTTTATGTGCAACATTTTCAGTTAAATCTAAAAGAAACTACTGCCTATAGTTCGTATTATTCAAGTAAAATTCAATGAACTGTACACAAAAACTGTTGTTTCATAATTTAGATGAGGGTAAAATGATTTATCTCGGTCTCTTGTATTTTCTAGACCGTGGTGACAAAATGCATATTTGTGTTGGACGTATGTAGAATTGTAATCGTGGCGCATAAATAACACTATCCACTATTGCACTTTTACTATTATTTTCCAAAATCTTCTTTATATATTATAATAATTAAAAATTAATTGACACTTTTTTACGCCTTGTTCATTCAATCGTTTTTGCCATCTTTCTTTTCTCTGTCATTTTCTTTTTCCTTTCTGACCGTTTTCTGTTACTTATATATCTTAAAGCTCCGTTCCACACTCTTTTCATACGTTCCGTTCTTACCCATCTTATGTATATGATGTAGATAAAATTGCGTAAATTAGCGTCTGAACGATATTCTTACAGTTCCATCCAAGAATATTAAAACATACTTTTTTCACGGCAGGCAGTTCCATGAGCAGGTGTAGTTGCGGGTGAGCGCACGTCCTGAGCGCCAGCGCCAGCGGCTGCAGCAGCGCGGCGAAGGGCGCCGCCCCCAGCGCCTCGCACGCCGCCGCCGCGCCCCCCGCCCCCGCGCACCCCGCCGTCAGCAGCCACTGCACGCGGCCCCGCCCCACCAGGTACCTGCACCGAGCACACGGCCTGAGCACTAGGGCCTCGCACGCCCCCGCTGCAGCCCCGCCCCACCGGGTATCTGCACCGCGCAACAGTGGATCAGCACACGGCCTGAGCACCAGCGCCTCGCGCGCCCCCCTCCCCCTCGAACCCCGCACGCGACCCCGCCGTGGAGTGCGCATTTGGCAGTTGAAATCGCTAAGCTGCATTTAGTTATCCACCACCAAACGTGCGGTCATCATGTTTGTAAGAGCGCGAAGTCATTCCACTTGGCTTCCTGCTGCGAAATGGCGGACCCACGTAAGTTGAGAGAACCGACAAGCCGCGAGCGTCTGCACTGTGACATCACTGTCTCTAGCGGATCAATAACTAACCGTCAGAAGTGACCTTCATGTGACAGATGATACAGTTGATTAACCTTGAGCTATGAATATAATTTTTTTTTCTTCTTTTTTTTTCTATTGCTTAGATGGGTGGACGAGCTCACAGCCCACCTGGTGTTAAGTGGTTACCGGAGCCCAGACATCTACAACGTAAATGCGCCACCCACCTTGAGATATAAGTTCTAAGGTCTCAGTATAGTTACAACGGCTACTCCACCCTTCAAACCGAAACGCATTACTGCTTCACGGCAGAAATAGGCAGGGTAGTGGTACCTACCCGCGCGGACTCACAAGAGGTCCTACCACCAGTATTACTTGATTACAAAAATGCCTAAATACCTTATCTCAATTTGACCTAGAAAGTAGTGATAAAGAGCACGCACTTGTCGGCCACGGCGTGCAGCGGCATGTGTCGCCAGAGGTCGCGCAGCATCAGCGCCATGTAGAACCGGCTCACGACCAGCGACGACACGGACTGGCGGGCACAAGCGACACTAGTCAAACGCTACACGTGCGGCCCGGGCCACTACGCATCGTCGGAACGTTGGTAGTAAAACAAGCGGATAATAATTAAATTCACATTTATAATATAAATTACGTAATAATGTAATAACCTTGCTCAATGAGTTTTAAAAATCATGTAATAGCGTGCTTGGTAGTAAATGTGTAATTATATTAAATTTTCATGCAAATAAATTTCATAGCATTAAATAACTCAGAATATCTGTTCAATTTTGCAGGCGTCTTCGGTGGCACTATGAACGTTGCGCCTTTGCCTTTGCCTTTAGCTTTACCGCCATTACCATTACCATTATTAGTACAGTTCCCTTTTTAATTTTTTTCTTATGATTGAGGATTACTGGTGGCCTGGAGGCTTTTCCAGTTTCACCAGGACAGGTGGGCGAGCAAAGGCTCTGCGAGGAAGGGTGGGATTCGCTAACAGCTGCCCGAGCGCCTCCGAAGGACCTAACAACTCAAGAGCAACTGCTTGCGAATGAATCTACTACCGGATCAGAATCAGGCTGATGCAGGGGTTGGGTTGCACGTCGAATCATACACACTGTATTATACACATGTGCACTATAGTGTGCACACTATTTATGTATACACAGCACTGTTGGTGGTTACAATCAACAATGAACTTTGTAGGCAATAGCTTGGCTCTGCCCGTGGCATTGCTGAAGTCCATGGGGGACGGTAACCACTCACCATCAGGTGGGCCGTATGTTTGTTCTACCTACAAGGGCAATAAAGTAAATAAATGTAGGAACGAAACGGAGCGATATCGATGAACGACAGATATGGAGCATGACTGAGTGAGAGAGATAGGAGATATCGTGTTAGGAAGTAAGAAAGAGAGCGAATGAATGCGGAACATATAGTTTTATTTCTTAAGCGAGATGGTAGTGGCCGGACACGACGACAGACAGACGCCGTGTAACTCCGAAGAAGCAAGACGATTATATTTTAGTTACATAGATTAAGACGAAATAAAGAATCAAGTTTGTGTGAAGTGATCAACCGTTTCACTGGCCTAACCTGAATATAATACCCCCAATAAACAAAAAAGATTTTTGGAACGAAGTTCCTTACGGCAGGCTTGGAGGGGATAGGGATTTTGCTGCGCGACCGAACTGAAAAAAATGTGATAGTAAAACCGTAAGAAAAAATCCGTGGAAAAAAATGCGTGGAATAAAACCGTTAAATGAGACGTGCGCAGGCGCGACAGTCGCATACACAAGCGAGTAGTGTATAATACCTTTCTCTTTCTCCTTCTTTCTTTTCGTTCTCTAATCCCTTCTCTCTCTATTTAGTAATTATTTCTATTTCTATGTAATTTTATGTTGTCAACCAAAAATAAAGAGATATATTTTGTTATTTTAATTGATAATTTGAATTACTATTTTTTTTATTTTACGTAATTTATTATTTCCTAAAATACTGAATTTCCTAAATACTTTCCCGTGCTTAAATAAAAACTAATCAGCAAAATTTAAGAGAAAAACCAAGAAAACCTACATAAAATTGAGCACCATTTCTTTTTTTGCAAATTGTGTCGATTCTACATTAGCCGAAGGAACTTCGTTCCTACCTGGTGTCCCACGACACCACATCTTTTTAATTTTGGCATGAGCTCGTAGATCTCAATATTTGTGTTAAGTAAAAAGAACTAACAAATACAGATGTTGAATTAAATGAATGCGAGTACTCACAACCATGGGTCTCCCGGTCATCATGCGTATCGCGTTCGTCTCGTTGATGCCGAGCGCCTTAGCTGTCTGCAGGCCCTCGTCGTCCAGTTCGCAGTACTGACAATGACAATAAAACATTCTAAACGATATATTGCATCCAACTGCGCGCGGGGGAGTGCGAGCGGCAGAGCTGGTGGTAGGACCTCTTGTGAGTCCGCGCGTGTAGCTACCATCACCCTGCCTAGTTCTGCCGTGAAGCAGTAATGCGTTTCGGTTTGAAGGGTGGGGCAGCCGTTGTAACTATACTGAGACCTTAGAACTTATATCTCAATTTGGGTGGCGCATTTACGTTATAGATGTCTATGTTTCGGTAACTACTTAACACTAGGTGTACTGTGACTATCTATGCAATAAATACGGTAGACAGCGGCTTGGCTCTGCTCCTGGCATTGCTGAAGTCCATGGGCGACGGTAACCACTTAACACCAGGTGGGCTGTGAGCTCGTCCACCTATCTAAGCAATAAATAAAAAAGGGCTGACCAGCGAGTAGAAGTGTCTCGGGTCGGGCCGCACGGGGTCGTCGTGCGGCGCCGCCAAGTACAGCAGGTGCAGCGGCCCGCACAGCACCAGCCCGCGCGCCGCACGACGCAGCTCCGCCACCAGCCGCCGCGCCGCCTCCACCGACAGGCACCCTGCCGCCCACACGATATATTACTACTGTATTACTGTTACGCCGGTAAGAGTAAAGCCATCGATCGCCGAATAGCCGAACGAATATCGAAGGATCTAGTAACACCTAGAACGCTCGAGAAGTACAACGCCATCTATTGTCAGATAGCGGAAACACACATCAAAGGTACTCGACTTGTGAGGAATGTTCTCGACGATTCCAAGAACTTCGTCTCGACTACTGGGCCTGGGCCGCACGCCTGGCGACGATACCTTTGACAGCGGCTTGTCCGAGTCTGCTGACGACGAACTGAGAGTTGTATAGCTCCTCATCATCATTGTCCTGGTTTAGTTTCCTTTGGCCCTTAACGTCCAGGACTCCGGCGCGCGTGAGGGACCGCAGCACCTCCTGGCACGCCGCCCTCGTGTCGGCGACCGCGCTGCAACATTTTTTATTTTTTTATTTTTTATTGCTTAGATGGGTGGACGAGCTCACAGCCCACCTGGTGTTAAGTGGTTACTGGAGTCCATTGACATCTGTAACGTAAATACGCCACCCACCTTGAGATATAAGTTCTAAGGTCTCAAGTATAGTTACAACGGCTGCCCCACCCTTCAAACCGAAACGCATTACTGCTTTACGACAGAAATAGGCAGGGTGGTGGTATTTACCCGCGCGGACTCACAAGAGGTCCTACCACCAGTGAAGTCTTCAGCGCTAACGGGTGCTCTTGTACCTAGAAACATCAGCTTGAGAGCTCATTAGATGGACCGTTACGCTACCTTTCAGCAGCCTTCGGGACAGCCATGAACGTGGAGTCCAGCAGTCTCTTCAGCTCGGGGCCAGTGTCCGCTAACTGTAGAGTCACGGCGCTCAGTATTAAGCTCTCTAGTGAGGGTCGCAGGACGCTGGTCACCGGGGCCACTCCCGCTTCCAGTACTGGCTTCAAATGCTCCCACTGCTGGGGGCTGCATATTAGTATGCTTTCGCCTGAAAACATCGGCATTCGTCATCACTAATGCTGGGGCTACATTAGTGGACGAAGATTGGTGCCGCGTTGGCGCGCTAATAACATCGTGTACGGGCACACGCAATGTTCTTGTTCACATTACGGCGGACTTAGATTTGTGTCGCTTTTTTTTCTTGCCTAAACTGATGGTCTAGACAAACCTTATCGGCGTAAATTTAACTAGTAGGTGAGCTCAAGGGGCTCAAACCTGACGACGTTGCTAACACGAACCCTAGCAAGAGCCGTGCTTCGCAGAATCTACCACCGGATAGGAAACGCGACCCACTGAAAAGATCCGTCGAGAAACTCAGGGGGCTGTGTCTGGGGGTTAATTTACTCGTCGAGCCCTTCGTCGCAAGTGACGGGTTCGACGAAAACGATAACCGCTTTGGTTGGCGTTGACGCGATACATCATGCCGGGTTTTGTTGTGGTGTGCTGTGCGGCAGAGACGCAATTTAAATACAATTAAACAAATTCCAACACATTTTTGTTACTCCACTCCATGGTGTACAAAAAAACAAGAGCACGTTCGTACCGCATCCAAGTCTGGACGACACTGAAGTGTCGTAGGAATTAGGATACCCGGCAGTTTACCGACAGTGTCCCGATAGTATGTCGCCCTCGCCCGAATACTACGCGCTACAACGATCTACTCGGCCACACTCATCGCAATGGCACGAATATTCGCCGTAGCTCGCTAATGTAGCCCCAGCATAAGAGAGACACTGACCGGCGGCGGCGAGCCCCGCCCTGCCCGCCCGGCCCGCCATCTGTCGGTAGGCGGCGGCGGAGAGCGCGGGCGGCCCCCCCCGCGCGCCCGCCGCGCCCCGCAGCAGCACGCGCGCCGCCGGCAGGTTCACGCCGGCCGCCAGGGTCGACGTGCAGCATATGGTGGACAGCACCCCCGACCTGCGCCGCGCACACCATGAGACTTTTTGGCCGGAACGCGAGGACTGAAGTTAATGATTTGTTTTATTTTGTCTATTTAGTTTTTCTTCAGGTTTCAATATGTAATAACGGTGGTTTATTAACTGTTAAATATCTGTGAAAGTGCACAAATGTGGAAAAATGAAACAAAGCCGCTGGACGTAACTTCTCGGGATCCTCCAAAAAGTCCACTGAATAAATCTCAGTAAACGACCACCATTTTACTGAGATTATATTTCATCCCGTATCATTTCATCCCATTTCATTTAATTTCATCCCAGTTGATTAATGTCTCAAATTAGTCATCTTCATTTTCATATTATCATTTTTCATAAAAACAAGAATAAAAATTAAAATGAGACATGACTTAAAAGTCTTAGTTACCAGGTCATAAAATCCCTTAATAAATGAGTCATGCAAAGTGTGCAACGTTACGAAGGATCTATCTCCGCTGCCTCACCTGAAGGCCTGTTCCAACAAGTGTCGCTCGTCGGTCGCAAGCCCCGCGTGGTGGTAGGCCACGCCGCAGGACGCCGCCTGCAGCAGGGCGTCGGTGGAGCCCTCGGCCCTCAGAGCTTCAACCAGAGCTAAGCGTTCCTCGGCGCGACCGTCTGCCATCTCTCTGCAAACACGGTCGACCTTTTATCTAAAGATTTAAAGTTTCAGTATCATTTTCAAAATTAATTTTGGATTCAACCTTACAACGAAACATTCTTAAATTTATTTTTGTTACAACTCAGTATGACTTAAAAAAATATTCTCGTATTTGAATTTAGAACACATTTTCGTTTCTTCTTTTCGATGTTGAGAAATAAAATAAATTATTCAACAACCTAAATAGATACCGAAGCGTATAATTCGCAATATGAACAATAGACTTGTATTTCTTGGATATTGGTTACTGAACACCGTCCATTGTGAGGTCGTGTAATGAGTCCGTGTATGAGGCGTACATACGGCGGCAACATGGCGGCTACAGTGGCGGCGACGTTCTCGCAGCTCCTCTGCGTGGGACAGAACACGAGCGCGCCCCGCCCCCCGCGCAGCAGCCCGCACACGCCGTCCGGGTCGCGCGCGCGCTGCTCCGCCGAGTACTGCGACACATGCACAACAATCAACGGGGACTGTTGGAGAAGAACTACCCAAGGACCTGTCTTTTTTTCCTACCTATGCTGATCGCCTTGAGAAGCTATTTCAGCTTCGCCCTAACGTGTGTAGGTGAGCTCACGGGGATCAAACCAGAGTGTTGCTAACACTGGCCCTAACAAGAGCAGTGCTTCGCATAATCTACCACTGGATTGGAAAAGCGACCCACTGAGAAGATCCGGCGAGAAACTCAGTGGGCTGTGTATATGGGTTAATTCACTCGTCTAGCCCTTCGTCGCAAGCGACGGGTTCGATTGATCGAAGAAACTGATGCAGCGGGGGAGTCACGACCCTCAGTAATGAGGTAAACGACGCGAAGAGAAGAAACCACTTAACACCAGATGGGCTGTGAACTCATCCACCCAACTAAGCAATAAAAAAAAACACTCACATTAAAATCCAACTCTCTATCAGGTACAAGCTCCAAGCCCTCGTCTGTCCACAGCATCCTGTGCAGCGTGCTCCCGAGCTTCACGTACTCGGTCAGCTCCACCGGACGGAAGTGACGTTCGTACACTTCCGCCTTCAGGAACGTTGCCACTTCGCTTAAGTTCCCTATCGTCGCGCTCATGCCGACTATTTGTATATTCTCTGCAATACGATGTAGATTATACAGTCAAGGACTTTTTGGCGGGAACGCGATGTGTAAAGTTCTGTGATTTTGTTTTATTTTGTCTATTTAGTGTTTCTTCGGGTATAAATGTGTAACAACGGTGGTTTGTTAAATGTTTAATATCTGTGAAAGTGCACAATTGTAGGAAAATGAAACAAAGCCGCTGGACGTAACTTCGCTGGATATTTTTTTTTAGATCATATAAAGGGGAACAATTCTCTCATACATTATTTTAGGGAAACTTTAACCGTTTCCGCAACGCACGCAGTGGAAGCTCTCAAAAGGGAAAAAGGGTGCGTGTACTTATGTACGCGCGTAAGAAGTTATACTTTATTTTTATTAAATTTATTTCTTTTTTTTTAATATTAAATAATTAATATTTAACGTTAATAATTTAATAATATTTAGTATGAATTATATTAAATAATAATGTTGTCATTTATATTACTAAATAATACATACGGATAGTTAACCTAAATTGTATTGGAGCACTTAGGAAGGTTGATGAGCACAGTTTTTTCACAAATATTTTCTAATATTAATTACTATTGATTTAAATATTCAAATTAAATCACTTCTGATTATAATTATAACACATATAAAATTCGCACTTGTATAATGAAAACAAAATGAAAACACATGTTTTAAATGTAGAAACTTAAAGCATGTGGATGAATATTATAAATATAAATACGAAGTGAACAGAGGCGGCGTGCGTGCCAAAATGCGCCACTAACAGAGGTTCCATTTCTGTTTTGTTGGTAGCATTTTTAACGAGTGTACATGCGCGAAAGTTCACCTACGGCTATATTCAGACTCGCCAAGTTACGTAGGTTGTATTGTATTGAGCGATTTAGTGGACAACTTCATTCTGTTAATTTTGTGTCACGGTGCGCGCGCATCGTAAAATTTCACTCTCATCAATTTTTCATAACGCGCCTAAAGAAGTATAACTTCAAAAACCCCGATTTTGAAACATTCTTTATTGGTGCTCCGCCTGCATTGGTCTATAGCCTTCGCCGATAAATAGGCTATCTAACACTGAAATTTTTTTTTAAATCGGACCTGTAGTTCTTGAGATTAGCGCGTTCAAACAAACAGACTCTTCAGCTTTATAATATTAGTATAAATTGGAACACTTTCTAAATTGACTTACGGTTAACGAATATGACAGTGGTCAACAACGTCTCTAGAGTACCGCCGCGTCCTTTCTCTCCAATAAGATGAAGTTCGTCTACCTGAAAAAAGGAATCGTTTACGTTTTTCATTCGAAAATGTTGTAGACAATTTATGCTTTTTTTTATTTATATTTTACAAATCCTTTATACATATTTATCAGATATTTTCAGACTAAGCACAATATTGAATAAATAAACAAAAAGCTTGCAATGGTGCTTTACCACAATAAGTCCAAGTTCGTCCAGTCTTCGCAGCTCTATGAGACTTCTAACAAGTGCCAAACCCTTCTCGATGGTCGCAATGTAAATAGTGTTCTTTTTGCGTCGTTTCTTTGGCGGTAGACTGCCTTTTCCACCAGCATATTCTTCTATTAGGAAATCTAGCTGCACTGCAAACGGGGACAAAGCCCAGATCTAAAAACGAAAGTTTTTAATTTTGTTATGAATTCAAAATGTCCAAGGCCGTACAGGGTGTTAGTTGATATTTAACTGTTACTGGTTGTGCTGTTATTTAAAGACACGCTCTAGCACTTTTCACCAATGAGGTTGATCATTTAATGTTTAGGATTTATGTAGCGTACCATACATCTTAATATATATAAATTACGTGTCATTTTGTTTGTCCGCGATGGACACCTAAACCACTGAACCAATTTTAAGTTGTTTTTTTTTAAATATTAGTTTTTTCTAACTTAGGCCATAGGATGGTTTTTATTTCGATTAATGATCGCAATATTTATTAATTAAGAATAAAATGATTTCTTATCTTGATTATTGTTATCAATTGTAAGTTTCATAAGTAAGATGGCGCCTTAAATCAGTTTTTACAGACAATTGTAGACATTAATATCTCATAGATGGCGCTTTGTTAAAAATACCAACGTTTCACATAAGCTACAATTTAATGGCATAAACACCACATGTTGCTGAGGCTAAAGTATAGCTGTAATTTATTTGGTAGTAAACGCAATACAGTAAAATCAAATGATTCTTACTTTGTTAATTTTTGGTATTAACATAGCCGGTCTCGTTTATTTAGAAACAAAAACCTTAGCCACAGCAACGTGTGGCCAGGTCTGGTAGTCTACAGTAAAAACTGTTAACTCACTTTTTCCTGAACAATAGCAACATAGGGTAATATGAACAAAGCATTCTTCTTCCTGTTGATGACTTCTCTCATCATTAAAACCTCAGATACCAAGGTCTTCCCTCCACTAGTTGGTAGAGCATATATCAAATTTCTTCTATGTTTTATTGCATCTAGATTCAGACATTCCTCTTGCCAATCTAAAATTGAAATAAGTGTTCACTAATTCTCTTGATTTTCCTTATATGTATATTCATTAATATATTTTTATATTATACTAGACAAGAGTTATAGTGTCACCTAAACTACATTTTTATTTTAGAAAAAATTAAACATTTTCATTTTCTTTGAAAATGAGCTTGCTTGTGTCTCTGATACACAATATTTGTAGATATAAATAAGATGCAAAATGATAACCAACAAACACCATGTAATATTTACTATAGCAGATATACCTACTGTTACTTTGGTCATTTTATTGATAAAAAGTATTTATTGTGTTAATCCCGCTTATAAGGTAGCTTGTTCAGTTATATTTCTGTAACTGAGCAACAAACGGTCAAACTTATAAAATAACACAGATAACTTTACTATTAATGAGTTACTATGATGATGCTTGTAGCTGAAAGTAAGTATTGTATTTTTTGACAAAGCATGTTCCTGATAACTCTATTTCTGTAATCTGACGAAGCGTGTTGCGGATAATAACATGTACTTTTAGGTTAGGAATATTGTTCTTTTTTTTATAATAAATTAATTGAAACTATTAATGAGTATTCCATCCTCTCCATAGACTAATTTTAAATTTTTTAAATTTTTGAATAACTGGTGCAATTGGATTTGCATAGTTAGTATGACAGAACAACCTATATATATCTGCCATGAAGGATTGTACACATTCTGGTTTTTTGGATGGAACAGCTGCATCACAGTACCTTTGACATCTGGTGTCTCGAACTGAGTAGCAGCAATCATTTTTATCTAAGACTCAAGTAACCACTTCACTCCAGAAGAACTTTGATCTGAATCATTCATTCATGAATCATTTAATATTATGAAAGAAAAAAGTAACAATCCAGTTCATTTAGCAGCAAAGAAATTAAGCCATACTTTGATACCAGAACCTCAAGCTTTGGTTCTCCTCTGATAATACTTCACTGAACTGAACTCTATACTAACTTCAGTGTATATGTAGTATTGTAATATAAGTCAATAAAATAACAAAAATGCTAATTACCATAAAACCTCTCTATATTCCTAAAAGTTTTAAATAGCTCTTTAGCAGAGATCGGGAGCCCATAAAAACTATTTGAACTTTTCAAATTACTCATTACTGCTTGCTTGTCATTCAATTTTGTTTCTAATTTTCTTTCAACTAGATCATGAATATCCGATTTGAATTCTTGACCTAGAATACTGTCATCTTTAATGTGAAGTAAAAATGAATCCTTTGTTTCAAAAAGGGATGATTTATTCAATTTTACTGTATCGAAGTTACTTATGGTATGGTTGATCTCATCAAAATAGTTTTCAATATCTACTTCATAATTAATAGTACTGGCATTGATATTTTCATTTTGATTAGTTCCTTTATTAAAAGTAAATGATTTACTATTTATTATTGGAGAAATAGGCATAAGTTCATTTCTAGTTTCTAATTCATCTTTGGAACCACAGTTAAGCTTGAAGATTTGATTGTGATTGGCTTGACTATTAACATTATTATCATCATTTTTCATAACAACTTCTTCTTGATTAGAAACAGATTTTTCTATCAGCGAACAGAACATCTCATCAGATATGTTTTCAATTTCTTGCTTAATTATATGACTAGAACTCTTGTTATTTGCACTTGATACTAGTGATTCCCAGTTACTGATGTTGTTTAAGGCATAGCTATTCGAAACTCCCGGGGAACATGGAATATCGCTACTGTTCCCAGATTCACTCAAATATTCAACTTGGTTACACGGTAGACGTGGTGACTCACATCGGTGTATCGTATTAGTTTCTTCATCAGCTATTTCAGGTATAGAATCTTCATGAGGTGCATTGTAAATGTATGTTTTTAAATTTGAACATTTTCGTCTGAGTGAAAGACGACGACGTTTAGGTGTTGAAGTATGTTCTATGTTTCTTTTATCTTTTGAATTCATTTTGTAAAATTCTAGTAGACATAAAGAACTAAAATAAATTGCCTACCTAAATAATTTACTATGAAAATGAGACTTAATTTATTTGTAAACAAACGTTAACCTAACCTGACTCGATCATGATTCTTTCATTCGGTGGGCAAAGGGAATCATAACATCAACCCTTATTAATCATTTTATATCTGTTGTATGGAAAGTAAAAAGGATTAATATTTATAAAAAAAATTTAGTAAAACAGCAGAGTTTCGGTAAAATTGGTAACTAAGTTAAGAATCTCAGATTAAATTGTGAGTTCCATTAAATTAAAGTAAAAAAAATACTAAAAATTATTCCAACTACAAAACCCTCTTACTGTGCAACTGGTTTTGTAAGAAATTGTAAAATTTATTTAAGTAATTATAAAGATCTGGAAAAATCGTAGTATTCGCTATAAAACCAAAGTGCACTTGGTGCGGGCACTGATCTTTCCCATATTTCTCTACGGAGCGGAGACATGGTGCATGAAAAGCCGCGATGCCAAAAAGATCGATGCCTGAAATGTAGGTGTGGCGTAGGATACTACGAATACTGTGAGAACCAATGAGTCCATTCTAAGGGAGCAAAACATCCGAAAAAGGCTCTCTTCCATCTGCCAGGAACGTGATAAGAGCTTTTTCGGACACATCATGCGGTCTCCCAGATATGAATTAGAGAAGCTCATAATTGTGGGTCGCATGGAGGGCAAACGTCCCGTGGGCAGAACACCAGCCAGATCCGGTCAGATCTAGTAAGAGAAACACATGGTCGTAGGTAGTCTGTACCATGCGGTCCGTGCCACCCATGATCGAACACAATGGAGGAACGTCACATGTGATCGCGATCTTCAGCTGTGAGGGAACGACATGAAAGAAGAAATTTTATTCATTATGAAAATAATATTAGGTCCTTACATATGAAATTGGCGTTTTGTACGGGAGGATTATAAGGTTTTTTTTTGTAAAATATATTATATTTAATTAATCAAAGTATGCACCGTTGTTATCCGTACACTTTTACCTTCTCATAGGTAGTTCATTAATCCCTTTACTAAAAAAACCATGGGGGCGAGAATCAATACTCTTTGAAGGCGGTTTTAGACTGCCGCATCGGAGTTGAATTTTTTCCTTGCAAGAAGTTGTCCAAATTCCGAAAAAAATGGTTATCTGTTGGAACAGGGTCCGCAGCGTACGGTGGATGTCGCAGACATTCCAATTATAGCTCATCTAGCTTAGTGGTTGTTTTTTGTGCAGTGTGTGGTCTTGCGTTGTCGTGAAGTAGCAGTGGCCTAGAACGATTGACCAATCTCGGTTGTTTAGCAGCTATTTCTTCCTTCATAGTTTGCAGTTGCTGACAACAGATATCTGCCGTAATCGTTTGGCCAGATTTTAGAAAGCTGTAGTGAACGACACCGGCGCTAGTGCACCAAACACTCACAAGTAATTTTTTCTGAGTCAATTTTCTTTTAGGGCAGGTTTTGGCTAGGTCTCCAGGTTTCAGCCATTGCGACGCGCTTCCGATTATCGTACAGTATCCACTTTTCATCACAAGTAATAATTCGATTTAAAACCCCTTCATTATTAAGTTAAGCAAAGTAACACAGCAGTCGACGTGTGTTTGCAAGTTCGATTCACACCATTCCTGAGGTACCCATCGTTCAAGTTTTTTTACTTTCCCGATGCTTCAAGTGGATTAATAAAGTTTTATCACTTTTACCCCGAAGCCTGCAGCTATCTCTGAAGTGTTTTGTGATGGATCCGCTTCTACAATAGCCTTTAATTTTTCATTTTTCACTTTGGTCTCCGGCCGTCCACGGGGTTAGTTCTGAAGGTCGGAATTTCCAGAACAAAAACGTTTAAACCAAAAACGTACCGTGCGTTCTTTTGCGACACCAGTGCCGTACACATTATGAATCCTTCGAGATGTTTCTGCAGTACGTACTCGTAAAAATACCGATATTTCGTGTTTTCTATTGTGCGGTAATAAGCGACGACAAAAAATAATAATGAGGAAAACAAAGAATGACTGTTTTCAAAACTCAAATGTTCTCACTCAACCAGCTAAATGAATTTATAAATTTGAATGTGCAATTCTTAAACAAAGAGGAGATATTTCAGATCAAAGTGGTCAGTACGACAAAATGCTAATTTCATATGTAAGTACCTAATATAAATTCCGAAAGAAATAGGGCATACAGTCTTGGCCACGCCGAGCTCCATATCCACACATATTTTCCTATCAACCGTCGATATTGTGTGTGGACAGTGGCTTTCGTTGTATTTTTTTTATTGCTTAGATGGGTGGACGAGCTCACAGCCCACCTGGTGTTAAGTGGTTACTGGAGCCCATAGACATCTACAACGTAAGTGCGCCACCCACCTTGAGATATCAGTTCTAAGGTCTCCGTACAGTTACAACGGCTGCCCCACCCTTCAAACCGAAACGCATTACTGCTCCACGGCGGAAAATAGTCAGGGTGCTGGTACCTATCCGTGCGGACTCACAAGTCGCTCTACAACCAGTAAATCTGCACCGAGTTTCAAGATTATGCTCACCTTTATTGTTGATCATCGTACCCAGCTATTTACAACAAATTTAATACAAGAGACTAAAATACTTAACTGTTGATTTTGCATTATTTTTAATTATTTAATTAGCGCACTCTAGGTAAAGTAAAATTCCTTATTTTTTTTAGCAGTTAGTGTAGTTACTGTTAGTTTAGTAGTTTCGATTGTCATCCACAACCTGAATACCCAAATAGTAGTAGTATAAGAAGAAGATAAGGCGATTTAACGGCCCGCGCAAACTCAAAACAGGGCCATAGAAAGAGTCAAGAAATACGCAGCGGGCGGCGGGCGACTTTACTTGCTTAGTTCTCAACTTCAGTGTGCTTATGGGCGAGTTTTTTAAAGTACTCGATATCGTAAAAGTTAACTCAAATTCGTATGCAGTTGGAACAGCGCCTCTAGCGGCAAACGTGGGCAAATGTTCCAACTCCATACAAATTTGAGTTAGCTTTTACGCTATCAAGGCGTTATAAACCCGCACTAAGCACACTGAGAGGTCTCGGAACCCCTAATAATCCCAATTTTCCATCCCGTTGAAACATGAGTTGTATTCTCAACCGTAAACGGCTGACTTGCCATTCGAACTTGAAAGCATGAGCAGCTGTTTTGCAACGTAATGACCAGACTGGTAATTTCTTCCCGCAAGGTCTCATAACAGACGACCCATTTAATTGATTCATGATATGAGGATTAATAGCCCCGACTATTGACCTACCTATATGAACTATTCACGGACACACCAGGATTCAAGCTCAGTCACGAATCACTATATAAATACTTCGAGCAGTACTGACATCTGCAAGCTAATATCAGCACCGACGACGCATGATCTCCAGGTTCGAAGGTTACTGATACAGCGATAGCCTACATATAATATCAAATATATGGCAAAACATAACTTGAATGTCGCTAACCACGATTCCAAGATAAGTATCACACTCGATGGAAGATTTGTCGTTCTTCGAAAAACCTACTCGAACCAAAACAGTAAACATTTGTTGGCTGCAAAATAAGAGCAACGGCGATACCAATCTCCAAGATCAAAGCACGAAAACGCCCCATCGGCTATTTAACTGCAACGCTATGTTCTAAAAGGTTTTTCCTCATTGCACACTGGCCGTTGCACCGACAGGTGACGTGAGCGCTTCACGGGATGCCCTCAAGAAACCGGAGNAAAAACCTACTCGAACCAAAACAGTAAACATTTGTTGGCTGCAAAATAAGAGCAACGGCGATACCAATCTCCAAGATCAAAGCACGAAAACGCCCCATCGGCTATTTAACTGCAACGCTATGTTCTAAAAGGTTTTTCCTCATTGCACACTGGCCGTTGCACCGACAGGTGACGTGAGCGCTTCACGGGATGCCCTCAAGAAACCGGAGCTGCCCGTAATCGTCAGCACAAAAATGACTGGTGCTAAATATAGTAGGGTGTGAGGGGGACGGGGCGCCGGGCGGGGGCGCGAGCCGTGCGCCAGCGCCGCCCGCCGCCGGTCAGAGCCGCCCCGGTCGCCGCGGACTCCACATTCCAACGTCGCTGTGCTGCCGGTCCAAGAACCAGTGCCGAGTGACTGAGTGACCGACTTCTACCCGTGCGACGTAAGTGCCGTGCAGTGCTAGTGCCCGCGGGTAAAGTGTGTATGTGTGCTACTCGACTCCAGGAGGCTTCCACGAGCCGACTCTAAAAATACGCGCGTCGAACGATCCGCCCGCGCCATGTATAGCGCGCCGGATTACGTTACCGCGCGCGGAACTGTGCTTCCATTATCAAATATTTGGAATGTACACGTGAACGAATCGAAAAAGCACCTTTAAAAAGAATATTCTCTTGTGAACAAACACACATTTTTTGAACATGTACACTACACACTATACCCAGCTCATTACAGACTAACAAATAAAATTGTAGTTGGAATATTACATACACTGATAGATAAAAAATAAACATAATTATTAAATACCCACATTTTTATTCTTATTGACAACTTATCATGAACACAAAAATTCTTGTCTTTAATAAATAAAAAACAATATAGTCGAGCTAATAATACAAGTTGGATTATGAGTATTGATTTATTTTGTTGAATACACGTGAAACTTTGTACTAACAAAATGAATTTAAATTAATAAACAACAACTTGCCAACATAAAAGTTAAAAATTTTACAGTTAAAACTTTTGAACAGCAATTTTATTACCGATTATGTCGATTACTTGAGGTCAGTTACTTTTTAAATAAAGTGAGACGTTGTCAAAGCTTAAGAAACTGTTCTTCCTATGACTAAAACGAATAACATTTCCACATAAACATTTTTGTTTCTAAAATCGATTAATGTGTTATCGATACACAAACCAATCAACACTAATTACTGTTTCGATGAATGAATGATTAATAAATAATTTTGGCACTCCGTTGCGCTAAAACGATTTTGTGAATTTCATCATGCGGAAATATAATTTCATTCATAAGGCGATGAAAAACGAGAATGAGGACGGTTTGTGTAAAACGTGGTAAACGATAGGGAAGCCAGATTTATTTTAGGAAATGCCTTGACCTGGTTTTCATTTATGAGAGCTCTAGGTACACTATGAAATTGAATTAAATTAAGTTGGAGCTCGTTCAAAAGTTCAGAGAAAACAATATTATTTTAAAAATTAATTCAAATTCAATTACGTGTTAAAATTCTGTTTTCATTGGATATATAATTTCTTAATCGGATAAGTTCAGTAACATATTTCGGAAAAGAGGAGGATTCTGATTCGTGACAATCGTCGTTAATTCAATTTTTAAATAGGAAGACGCGGGTGCTCTGTTGACTTTTAGAAGTCCCGATGCCGCATAGCATATCGTACTTCACGCGTAGTAGCTACATGCCTTTTTCCACCTGGGCAGTACCTACCTCATTCCGCACCAAGCGAGTACATAGCGCTCAACCTAAATACATAGCCCACTGAACTTCTCGCCGGATATTCTCAGTGTAGTATATTCTGCCAAGCACTGCTCTTGCTAAGGCTAGTGTTAGCAAATTATCTCAGGTTGAGCCCGTGAACTGGAATAGCCCTACGCTACCAGCGAATAGGTAAAAAAACAGCACTTTCTAATACATACCTATGTGTTCAACAACGCAGTTTTGAGATTTTTACTTATTAATTTTGAAATAACCTAACAAAGCGTATATAAAATCGGCGCTAATCACGTCGACCCATCTAGAGCACCTAAAAATTACTGGTGAACCTAACCATATAACATTCTAAACTAAGGCTGTAAAAGTCAAATATTTTTTTTTTAAATTAGTGTATGTAAACTGCCAACAAGTCTGAAAAAAAGTAAGAAAAAATGTTTTGCTTTAAAATATTTTAAGAGAACTCCCGCGTTTTTTATTGCTTCGTTTTATTGCTTCAGCATTTTAATTACATAAACTTTTTAAATCATGTAAACTAACCGTGATAACTTCAAAAGGTATTAAAAAACGTTGAGGATAAACATTGTACGTTATAAAAACGAAATACGAATCCTAGGCAACGTCCAGTCGAAGACGAATTCCAATTATACCTACACAGTTGAATCGCTGCCAACGCGCCGCCCGTAGGTGTGCTTAATGGCGAGAAAGATAAAACCTCTAAAAATAAAAACGGATTTCATAAACAATAAGCACGCTCTGTATCAGCTGCGGCGCGGCCCACGCGATTCCTTCTCACATCTCGTCACCGCCGGTTGAAGTCACGTAGTTCAACTTGGATACATTAATAGTGTATAATAGAAAATATTATCCCTTGCAGTTTCAAGAACGGTTGGTGGGCAATTAGGAGCTTTAGGTTTTGTCGAGCGAGTGCACATTGGGACATCTATTCAACTATCAAATATGTACTTATATTTTAAGGCTACAGAACCATTTCTTAGCTACAAATCTACACAGTGTATGGATGCTCATCGTAGGAAAGGCGAATAGTTCTGCCACGTGTCATTATGATGTTACAGCTACCGAAGATAATAAACCCCGTACATTAATATTTACCGGCCACCTCGATACACTAAATTAAAAACAAAACACATCGCGTCGTTATTTAGAATCTTACTATGTTACTACATTAAGGCAGCCATGTGACTGGAACAAATTCAATTCTTTTAAAATAAAGTTGTTTGCTGTTTGTTTGTTTTTTCAATGACATCTTGCTCGTGATTAAGGCGCCGGGAAAAATTCACACAGATTATCTTCGATTACGATACGTATGCTTTTTCGCAAGTCGTGCATATTTTATAGACACGCTATAAATCAGGTAGCTCGTTAGTTTTCAAAAAATGCAATAACTTTTATAACGTACACTTTTTTCATGAGAAAATTTAAATGTTAGTTTTTTTATTGCTTAAATGGGTGGACGAACTCACAGCCCGCCTGGTGTTAAGTGGTTACTGGAGCCCATAGACATATACAACGTAAATGCGCCACCCACCTTGAGATATAAGTTCTAAGGTCTCAGTATGTCTCAGATGTAGCGGTTATCAATTTAGTGTTGCGCGGTATTGGCACCTTCCGTGATTTATCACGGAAGGTGCCAATACAATTTTAATCAGAATCTAAATTTTGTTAAAATTCTAGCTCGATCCTGCCGTTCTAGCCAGAACACTGAAAGGCTAATATATAAATGAGGAACGATTAATTTCTAACCAAACATTTGTTTTTCAGACTCAATAAACAACCAACATGTCTGACGAGGAGGAATATTCGTGAGTATATAAACAGATACGAAAAACATTAGCCGCTTTTATGGAAAACGGATGAGTTACACAACACAATATAAACACAAACATTAGTTTTTTTCCCCATTTCTGTTGAACCATCCGAATGTTGCTGTGTTAACCAACCACTAGATCGCAAGTTTGATCCCCTGTTCTTAACCTCAATATTATCTGATCAACAGTGGCTCTGAGGAGGAGGAAGTAGAAGAAGAAGTCCCGGACACGTAAGTATACCAACGGATGCGCCCGTCTTCTGCTCTCCCAAGATTAGTCCTCTCTAGACCTTGTTTGATTTTTTTTTGATACTTCAGCTTTTCTGAGCCTTGACTATGCCTTGGCAAATGAAGTTATCTTTCCGAAAAATTTATATAAACTAGAGCACACAAGGATCATACAATCTGTATAAAAAGTCGCCGCAAACTCTATGAGGCATGGCTGAAAGGTTTTTTGCTCCCAGTTTTGTTTCGAGCTCCCAACTCTTGGGCTTGATGCACGCCCTCACCAAATCCTATTCTCTCTTTTGTTGCAGGAAGTGAGTGACGTGCCATTTTGGTTGTTCCGGCATTCGCAAATGCTTGGCTGGTTTAGGCTAAGTTTATTTAGCAGTATTAACGCTTCTAGCGCTTACTACTTGGTTCGCTTTCGTTGCTTCCAGATGCTCACCCTCAGCTAGGTGCTGCAGCCCGCGAAACCTGCTTTCTAACACCTAAGTCTTTCGTTTAACTTCATCACTGTTTTGTTTTCAAGAAATAATTAATAAAGGATTTAAAGTTGAGTATGAGTAACCTATAAACAGGTAAAATTAATTCATTGTCGTTTGAAATGTGTTCTAAACTTTGTTATTGTGTTTAGTTGTTGCGTTAAACCCGTTGGCTTCGTAATTACTGGTTATTATGCTCAAAAATGGAATATATTCTAATTAAATTATATGTTTTTTTTTCTTTCCATCGTGGCTGTCGTCGTAACTCTATGAAGACCCGCTCCTAAACAAGAGTGAGTATATGTTTTGATCCTTTATCGTAATTTAGATGCTTCGCTTTTAGGCCACACTGAGTCGCCTTCCGAGATTTGGTTGATTGGCATTTTAATTAACTTCGGTGCTCCAATACATTGAGGTTTGAAGCTTAGGCCAAAGAAAATCATCATCAAAAAAAAAAGTATAAAACAAAAAACTGAGTCATCCCTGCGATTGCTTATAACGCCGTGTTTGTATTTAGTATGCGCAAAATAATAATGTCACCGCTTAGTATGACGAGGGCAAGGAATTTTGCGTTAAGTAGAAATATGTTGAGACAAGTAGAGGCTGATTGATGTTTTCTGTTTCTAGGAGTAGACCGTCGATCGCGTAAGTTGCACCGCTCTCTGTGGTGTCACTAACTTAGATAATCCTATCATTAACTGTGAATGGCGCGGGCGCAGGTCGGCGCGCGGTCGCCACACAAAATTCCCTATTTATCGGCATCGGACCAGATACACAAGCGTTACGTTTCAGCAAACGCCCGAGAGCCGGCTTCGAGAGCTATTTTTATCGTCCGGTAGCCGATCTATTTCGGTATATAGAGTACCGCGCTGCGCTCGCGTCCCCTCACACAAAATCAACATGTCTGTTACTGGGATATTGCACGGGTTCCATCAACGGACACATGATTTAACGCATGACATTTATTACACACCAAATAAATTAAAATAAAAAGCGCATGATGTACCTTGTAATACAATAAATAATAAATAAATGTTATAATAATTATTTGTATCCGTCCGTACCATGTCGATTATTGTTGTTCATTTGAGTCCCAATAGTAATCATTTACAAATAAAAATACACATACTTATTACACAATCGTTCAAAGGATTCTCAATGAAGGAATCCTCAGGTCAAGGCCAAGGAAGGATCAAAGGAATCCTCAGGTGTGCATATCTTGGTCCGATATGGAAGTTTATTTGTTGTTCCGTATCGAATCTAATTAGATCGATGTTAACCGTACCACATAGTGTATAAGTCAATGAGCTAAATACTACATAACAATTGTACAGTCATACTCAGCTGCTTCATAGCTTGTGGAAGCGCGGAAGCAGCTAAACATAACCTAACGATTCAGCCGCCGTAATTATATGTATTGTCACAGTAATATCGACAAGATTCTAACATATACAGTTTTACAAATCAACTACGAATATTTATGTGTGCATTTAAATTTTCAGGGGTGAGGGAGATCCAGAATTCATCAAGGTAGGGATATTTACGTAACATTTTATACAATTAGCTTAGGTTTCTTCAAGACAGTTATATTGGTAATATTTTATAATTAAGTCCAGCACTTCATGCTAAGACTAACGGAAGATCTGAAAAGTGAAAACACAATAGTGGATCCAGGGAGGATGAGAAGAATGCGGTTGACCTAATGACAAGTGGATCATGAACATCGGCAACGCCAATGATCAACGCCAAGCAGCTGCCTTTGTCGTAAAATTTAAAATCATTTGAAAAAAGCACATCCTTTCACTGCAGAAGTAACGTAGAGGGAAAATCATACGATCTGATTCGTTCTGATAGGTATAGTCTCTCGATTTCTAGAGAATATTCTTTATAGTTTCACTGTGTATTCGCAGCGTCAAGACCAGAAGCGGTCGGACTTGGATGAACAGTTGAAGGAATACATCAACGAATGGCGCAAACAGCGGGCCAAGGAGGAGGATGAGCTCAAACGCCTTAAAGAGAAGCAGGCCAAGCGCAAGGTGAGGGATTACGAACATCGAACCTGGGATTTTGCTAAATACCATCAACAAACACGTGTATAGTGAAAGTGGCATCATGTATACCAAATTGAATCCAAACTAGCACATGTTTGTTTAGTTCATTTTCTGCTATAACAATCCTAATTATCGGAAAATTGTAACAAATCATTGTTTAAAAAATTGCTAATTCATAAACAATCTTTGACGTAGGTTTCTCGTGCCGAAGAAGAAAAGCGCCTCGCTCAAAAGAAAAAGGAAGAAGAAGAAAGGAGAGTGCGCGAAATCGAAGAGAAGAAACAACGCGACATCGAAGAGAAGAGGCAACGGCTCGAGGAGGCCGAGAAGAAGCGCCAGGCTATGCTCCAGGCCATGAAAGATGCCAGCAAGACCGGACCCAACTTCACCATCCAAAAGAAGAGCGAAAACGTAAGATGAAAATCATGTTTATGTATATCCAAAGACAATCCTGAATCTTTAAGAAAGCTTTTCACGATAGCGAACGTTTTTGATGTTCAGCCCATAAGCCCTCTAATAATCATAATTTACTATAAATGCTCAATATTATTAATATCCAGGTATATATTATTCTCCTATTTTTCGGTTCATGTTGTTGAAGATATCACTCAGATTTCCTAGGGTAAGATGGGGAGACGAATCAAAATAATGTTGAATTTATTTTTAGTTCGGTTTGAGCAATGCCCAGCTGGAGCGCAACAAGACCAAGGAGCAGCTGGAAGAGGAGAAGAAGATCTCCCTGTCCATCCGCATCAAGCCGCTGACCATCGAGGGTCTCTCCGTCGACAAACTCCGACAGAAGGCCCAGGAACTCTGGGAGTGCATCGTCAAACTCGAGACCGAGAAATACGATCTCGAAGAGAGGCAAAAGAGACAGGACTACGACGTAAGTCTAATATCGAGCTTCTAGTCAAGTTTACTGATTCAAACAGAAATATTGAGTCCGCTGAGACTGCAATCACCGATACATATCACTGTTTTACTGATTAAGTAACTGTAAACTGGTTTTCATTTGTTTAACATCTTTATAGCAGTAGGCATCAAGAAAATCTTAATGCTTTCTAAAAAAAATCCCTTCGACATTTTCTTTGGTTTAAGAACTGGCAGTTGGTAAATAATTAAATTAAATTAAAAAAATCGTCCAGCCATAAGCAATAAGTGTATATGATACTTATAATCTTCTCCTTAGGTGATTTTAATTATCTATTTTCCTTGTCTAGTTAAAAGAGCTCAAAGAAAGACAAAAGCAGCAACTGAGGCACAAAGCTCTCAAGAAGGGTCTCGACCCCGAAGCGCTCACAGGCAAGCACCCGGTAAGCAACTTAAACAAAACAATTACGAATAAAAAGGGTTTATTTTAAAAGACGTAAGCGTGTTAACATCATATAGGTAAACAAGAACAGAAGTCCAGGGAGCCGGTCGCGCCGGCTCAGACTAAAGCTCGGAACACACGGACCAAAACAAATAACTCTCGCTTCAATGCGAATTTTATTCTAAGTTCATTTTAAAACACAAACCGTTGAATAGGGTCTTAACGTCCACGGGTTAACAAGGAGCTTGTATTATTAGTGCAATCGTCACTTAATTTATGAACAGTGTCAATACTTTATCACGTTATTTTAGCACAAAACCGCTAAAGTACTTGGTAATACTATGAGTGCCATAATGTAATTCTATTGTTCTTGTTTTTAGCCCAAAATTCAAGTAGCGTCCAAGTACGAGAGGCGTGTCGACACACGATCCTACGACGACAAAAAGAAACTGTTCGAGGGTGTAAGTATACGCAGACATCAAACAAACCACTCTTCAACATATTATTATCTGCTAAAATCCAAGTTAAAGGCAAAATCACTCAAAACTCCATCACTACAGTACAGTTCAAAGACAACAAAAATCAAATTATGAAAGTATCGATTTAAACGCAGGGTCTCGATGCACAGAACTCAGAGATTATGGATAAAATGTGGAAGGAGAAGATGGAGGAATTCATGAATCGCACAAGAAGTAAGATATGGAGTGGTTTGGTCCCAGACCCCCAGTCATTGAAGCACGTCATTGGCATGTCAACCTGTTATTGTTATGATCACTCATGTCGTTAACTAACATGTCAGGTTCTGCCCGATTTGTTAATGTCCCACAGCAGACTATTGGCTCTAGCTGAACTTCAATTAAGAGCAACCAGTATGTGTTGTTAGGCTCCTCGTGTTGTAATTTCCGTCCTATTGTCTCACTGACCCCCATGTTACCCGCCCCGTAGGACCTAGAGAAACTGAACAAGGACTTCCTCGAGAAGGTGTGGCAAGAGAGGGCCGAACAGTTCGGCGGCAGGCAAAAGGGTAAGTAGCCCAGTCATAATGTTCCCTCGCTCCTTCGTTCTAACGACTTTACCTCGGTATGTTTGACCTTTTGTTTTTTATTGAGAAAGTTACGAAACAGTCGCACTGGTCTATCTAAAGAACGTAATACCAATTTGGCACAGGCTCTAAAAACCAGCATTGGCACCGATTACAATGGATGACAAATTGATGTATTTTGCAGTTTCAATGTAGCTAAAAACAACACACGAAACCCGTTCGGGTATTTATTATGTAGATTGATCTCAATCTTGACCCAAAACAAGTTGATTATTTCTTGCCAATATTAATGTAACTCTACTAAGACTTGGAATAATAAAGTGTTAATATTGGAATACGATAATAGCGCGACTGCCGAAGTGGTTCGGCGAGAGGCCCGGCAAGAAGAAGGGCGAACTCGAATCTCCGGAAGGCGAAGAGGACGTCAAGGCTGAGCCCGAGGAGGACGAAGAGCCTCAATACGAGCCTGAACCCGAAGAGGAGGAGGAAGAGGTCGTTGAGGAGGTAGAAGAAGAGGAGGAAGAAGAGGAAGAAGAAGAAGAGGAAGAGGAGGAGGAAGAAGAAGAGGAATAAGTAAGTTCTTGAACTTTTAGGTAAATTTTAACCTAAGTATTCAACTAGATAAATTATTGTGAAGATAATACTTAGTGAAAACATTTTTAAAACATGCGAAGTTCACAAAATATCATTTGTGCACTTTCAGCATACTTGAAATAAGATACTACTGTATACTACTACTGGTGGTAGGACCTCTTGTGAGTCCGCACAGGCGGGTACCACCGCCCTGCCTATTTCTGCCGTGAAGCAGTAATGCGTTTCGGTTTGTAGGGCGGGGCAGCCGTTGTAACTATACTGAGATCTTAGAACTTATATCTCAAGGTGGGTGGCGCATTTACGTTGTAGATGTCTATGGGCTTCGGTAACCACTTAACACCAGGTGGGAGGTGAGCTTGTCCTCCCATCTAAGGAATAAAAAAAAGAGTAGTAGCCCTCCTACTAGTTTAGTACTTTATTCGCAGTAAAAAATTATGCACGTATTTGTTACAAAACTACATTTTTGTGGCCCAGACATTACTGTTGTCCATCCCCTCCTGTCCTTTCTGATCTTACGATATAAATTGTTTTAAGGTTTATATGAAATAGTAAATGTTGAATTTGTTCCACAGAAATCGGACGCGCCACTGATGGGGCCCTCGACGCGGGCCGGTCGCGTCCTACAGTTTTGTAACCAATCCATTAACTTATTGCTATTATAATATGAACAAAATATTTTTATTATTTATACTTTTCCACGAAACGTCGTTAACAGCCTATGACGATACAATAAACTAATTTATTTCATAATTTGAATTTGTTTTAATCAACCCCAATTCCCCGACTTTGGTTATTTTACTTGCGTGAACAAATTTTCATTGTGGCTATGTACAATGTCGGGTGCCGAGCTAAGAGCCCCGTCATCTATACTGTATAAATATATAAATCTATAGTGGTTTTTACGGATGTTCCGTTATAACTACTGAACCATGCATCCGATTGACTCGAAACTTGGTATCCATGTAGAAAATACACGTACCTACTTAATGGATAGGCTAATATTTAAATGAGTATTGGTCTCCCTAAAAATAATGACAATAAATAATAATGTTAATTTTAAATGCGCAGCGGAGCGGGCGAGTACGGCTAGAGTATTATAATTGGTCGCTCTGGTACGGTCGCATAAACCCAATTTTTTATTATGGTTCGATCTAACTAATATTTTGTAGCCTAAGGGGCTATTCAAACAACGCGGACGGGAAGGTAAGCTCACGGGCTTAACCTGAAAGAATTGCTAAAACTAGCCCTAGCAAGAGCCGTGTTTCGCAGAATCTACCACCGGATCGGAATGGCGACCCACTGAGAAGATCCGGCGAGAAACTCAGTGTGTTAAAGCCCTCTGTATTCGAAGTAATATTTTTTTAATGGTGTGAACAATTTAGAATCCAAAAATACCTTAAAGTAAGTGGCCGACAGGAGAGGAAGAAAGATAAAACAAAAATTACTATACAGTTATATTTAGACTCAAACTAGCTGCTGCCCGCATCTTCGCCCGCGTGGTCGAGCTAAAATGTCGGTGTAGTTTCCCATGGGAATGATTTGTTTTTTTCGGGATAAAAGATGTCCTATGCACGCTTGTAACACCTCATACTATCACTTTTTTTAATTGCCCTTGTAGCCGACCATACGGTCAACCTGGTGGTGAGTGATTACCGTCGCCCATGGACTTCAATGCTAGGTGTAGAGACCGACCGCTGCCTACCGCAAAATTAAAATTATTAATCAATCAAAAATCAAAAATGTCAATCGGTTACTTCGTTTCTTTGTGAAAGAAGGACAAACAAACGAACATGCCTTCACATTTACATATTAGTATAGATATTTGTTTTTTAGGAACATAAATGTGTTAGAGCGACTTATGGTTCGAATTTATTTCAATTTTTATTTAATTTATTTCTAAGTTGCATTATCGACAAGATGGGGAAAATCGCGACAAATATATTTTTAGTAAATTAACTAATATGTAGATTCAAAAGTTTTTCTATAATTCCGCAACATAAACTATTGTTTTATTACAATATTTTCATTACAACTTTAAATCGTGTAAGAAATAATTTCTAGCGCTCTTCTTTTCTCTGTATAATCTATTTATTCTTGCTAGCATGATAGAGCTATTGTGGTCAACTTATTTTGTATCGACCTTCAAAGTACCACGTATCGGAAGGAGAGTTTTCAATTTTTTTTTTTTTTTTTATTGCTTAGGTGGGTGAACGAGCTCACAGACGAACCTGTATTAAGTGATTACTGGAGCCCATAGACATCTAAATGCGTCAATGCTCCATCCATCTTGAGATATAAGTTCTAAGGTCTCAGTATAGTTACAACAACAAGATACGAATAGGACTTTAATAAATAAAAACGTCATGAAATAAAGATAATGTTTATAATTTTTATAATAACGAAAGTAAGGTAGGACGTCGGCGGTGGTCACATCAGCGGCGCTCAGGCGGCCGGCGTGGGGTCCGCGGGCTTCTGGTGGGAAGCCTTCTGCATCATGTTGATCTTGTCGCCCAGACTCAGCGCCATGCCCTGCCGACACACGCGCGGCTCAACCAGCTGCGGCGGACCCGGGGCGACACCCGCGCAACCGTCCCGACATACAGACAGTCCCTTACTGAACGCTATTGTTCTTTTTGGCGTAACTTAGCAATTTAGGCGGGAAGTAAATTACAAATTAGTTCTAACCAAGTTTTTTTTATAATTCACAAAGCGTTGTGTAAAATTTTCGAAAAAGAAGAAAAATCCTAAATTGGTGCACGTATCGCCCTCCGCCCCCCGTAGTTACCTACATCTGGGCGCGGGGGCACATGTCGCCCTCCACCACCTCCGTAGTTACCTACATCTGGGCACGGGGGCACGTGTCGCCCCCCGCCCGCCGTAATTACCTACATCTGGGCGCGGGGGCACATGTCGCCCTCCACCACCTCCGTAGTTACCTACATCTGGGCACGGGGGCACGTGTCGCCCCCCGCCCGCCGTAATTACCTACATCTGGGCGCGGGGGCACGTAGTTACCTGTGTCTTGGCCCGGATGCGCACGTGTCCGAGCACGGGCGCGCCGGGTTTATGCAGCGGCCGCTCGATGCTGAGATTGGCGAGCGCGTCCTCGCCGAAGATGGACCGCGCGTATAGGTTGGCCGCCATGAACCCGCACTGCCCTGACAGCGCCTGCCAGACACAATACAATTTTAATTTCAAAATTTTATTGTGACGATTTGACGGTCCAGTCCACCTTGCGCGAAACATTATCAAAGAATTGTCGTTTAGTCTCGTGTTTATTTAAGTTTTTTTTAATATCACTTTTCAAGTTATCAGTAGATTAGATCGATCTGTATCAATAGCACAAAGTGCGTGTGTACAGTTTAATGACTTTAAGCGAATTTGTAATTTTGTAATTTTCAAATCACTGTTAATTTATTGGTTATTATTATATTGGTAATTATATTGGTATTTGGAGTAATTACCTTCTCGGGGGTCAGGCACTTCATGTTGGTGGAGGCAAGGAGGTGCTGCAGGTACTCATGCAAGTCCGTCATGTTGGTGTTCACGGAGACCTGCGGACAGTGGCTGGACGTTACAAGCAGAACACAGCGCGGAACCAAAGATTAGGTTTTCGTTAAAACAACCGACGGCTTTGCGTCCTCCGGTTACTTCGGTAACCAAGTCACTCCGCGACCGGCTCCGAGCCGAGACGTACCTTGTTCTCCCATTCGAATTCAGCCCACATTTGCCTGAAGTCGGCGTCGCTGCAGTGCGCCGGCTGGATGAAGTCGACAATGTCAATGTGGATGTCATTCAGTACGACCACGCCGCGGTCCATGGACGCTCCCGTCACTTCGTATACTGAAAATTAAATATTTTTACTTGCTTCGACGTGTAGAGTGTATGTGACACACAGGTTAGTTATGCCTAAGTTGNCGGCCGCTCGATGCTGAGATTGGCGAGCGCGTCCTCGCCGAAGATGGACCGCGCGTATAGGTTGGCCGCCATGAACCCGCACTGCCCTGACAGCGCCTGCCAGACACAATACAATTTTAATTTCAAAATTTTATTGTGACGATTTGACGGTCCAGTCCACCTTGCGCGAAACATTATCAAAGAATTGTCGTTTAGTCTCGTGTTTATTTAAGTTTTTTTTAATATCACTTTTCAAGTTATCAGTAGATTAGATCGATCTGTATCAATAGCACAAAGTGCGTGTGTACAGTTTAATGACTTTAAGCGAATTTGTAATTTTGTAATTTTCAAATCACTGTTAATTTATTGGTTATTATTATATTGGTAATTATATTGGTATTTGGAGTAATTACCTTCTCGGGGGTCAGGCACTTCATGTTGGTGGAGGCAAGGAGGTGCTGCAGGTACTCATGCAAGTCCGTCATGTTGGTGTTCACGGAGACCTGCGGACAGTGGCTGGACGTTACAAGCAGAACACAGCGCGGAACCAAAGATTAGGTTTTCGTTAAAACAACCGACGGCTTTGCGTCCTCCGGTTACTTCGGTAACCAAGTCACTCCGCGACCGGCTCCGAGCCGAGACGTACCTTGTTCTCCCATTCGAATTCAGCCCACATTTGCCTGAAGTCGGCGTCGCTGCAGTGCGCCGGCTGGATGAAGTCGACAATGTCAATGTGGATGTCATTCAGCACGACCACGCCGCGGTCCATGGACGCTCCCGTCACTTCGTATACTGAAAATTAAATATTTTTACTTGCTTCGACGTGTAGAGTGTATGTGACACACAGGTTAGTTATGCCTAAGTTGGCAGACGCTGGCGCTTACCCGGGTGAGCTTACAACACTATAACCCATACTAAGGACAGTGGTATTCGTGAATTATGCAAATAGATAGTATAATCCTACGCTCTGCGTCTGAAGTGCACTATTACTCCTTAACGTATTCACAAAACCAAAGTAATACTCTTCCTTTCATTAAGTTAATGTTCAATGACCCCGCGCACGTACCCACGTTCCCGAAGATGACGCCGTTCTCCGTGGAGGCGACCTTGACGTGCGCCCGCAGCGAGGCGAAGTCCCGCGGCGCCAGCACCACCTCGGCCGCGCGCTCCACCAGGCGCAGCTCGCCCAGCGTGGCCAGCTCCACGCAGCAGTTCTGCAGCGTGTCGTCTGCGGACCACGCACACTACCCGCTACTACTTGTCGTACATTGCATCACAGTTGTAGACAACGGAACTGCAGTCGGCTCGAAGGACCAACTTTTATGCATGAGCTACCGGTGTATTTTATCAACGATTCACTGTATGATAATAATATGACAGCAAGGTGTTCGTAAGGCCCGGCAAATTATAATATTATTATAATAAAAAAATTATAAAAAATTATATTTATGCGCAATGTATTTTCCCATGCAAACTTTTTTTATTTGTGATGTGATGATTTTTGAGCATATACTTTACTAGTTTCAATAAAATTTCTAACAACACTAGAGTTGCTAATACATTCTTTCAAATTAGTGGAAAATGTGGGCAAGAACGATATATAAAGTTTTAGTTTATTAATAGCGAAGTCTCATACCGGTCTGGTTGACGAGCAGCACGTCCAGCACGATGTCGTACTGGTTGACGGAGACGATGGCCTCGGCATACACGGGATCGGAGCATCCCGTCAACTGACGCACGCGGCACAACTTGCCGCGGTCGATTGCCTCGCCACCGCTGCGACCTGTCAACAATCACTTTAAGTCGTATCGAACTGGAAGAGGGGCGCCAATCAGTCGCCGGCTGCTTGCCAGGGGAAGAACAGTGCAGAATCAATGAGGACCGTGGCGTTCATGGCGGACGAAATAATCGTATCAAATACACATTTTGAAGAGCACATCATGAAGTCGACAAACTCTGCGACTCAGCCGTTAGTCCTGTGGGAGTACCTTGCAGCGCCTTGTTGAGCGCCAGCTCGAACATGTCGTGCTGCGAGCCGGAGGCGCCGGCGCCGGCCAGCTGCGAGAACGTGATGCCCGTCTCGATCTCCACCTTCTGCTCCTGCCGTTTCGGTTCACGCTCCTGCCGTGGCCGATATTACGTCTTATTAACTGATGTCTTTAAGCGTTAACATAAAATCACATTTTACACATAAGACAAACGTTAGATGAGCTCTCACTAGAAGAAAATTTAAATTATATTTGTGCATATGTGTTCTTGATTCGTTTAGAAATTTTTTTGGGTTTAAGCTTGAAACTTNACCTTCTGCTCCTGCCGTTTCGGTTCACGCTCCTGCCGTGGCCGATATTACGTCTTATTAACTGATGTCTTTAAGCGTTAACATAAAATCACATTTTACACATAAGACAAACGTTAGATGAGCTCTCACTAGAAGAAAATTTAAATTATATTTGTGCATATGTGTTCTTGATTCGTTTAGAAATTTTTTTGGGTTTAAGCTTGAAACTTTTTTGCTGATGCTTGAAGGAGTACAGGAATGTTCTCTTTGATTTTGCAGATTGGTAAGACATGCTAGATAAGGACCGGATTATCAGTTACGTGGAGCCTGAACTGTACCTTGTCGACGTCCTCCAGCAGGTGCGGCTCGCGGTCCGGGAGCGCCAGCAGCGCCGCCAGCGCCGCGTCCGACGCGTCCAGCAGCGCGCGCCGCACGTCCGCGCCGCCCGCCCCGCCCCCCAGCCCCGCGCCCGCCAGCCCCGCCTGCACGCACAGCGCCGCGTGCTCCATGTCGTCCGCCGTCAGCCCGCCGCGCTGCCCTGCGCGACAACACGACGGTGAGCGCTCGCCCAGCCCTCGGGACAGCACCGGTGTGGGCGGGGACTCACCCGCGTTCTGCTTGTGGCGCGCCAGCAGGACGGCGGCCAGGTGCAGCGCGCGGGCCGCCTCCTGCCGCGGCAGCTTCAGGGCCAGCTTGGCCAGCGCCGAGCACGCGCACACCGCCGTGAAGCTCTCGCCCTCCAGCAGCGCGCCGCCCAGTCTCGCACCGCCCTCCGCCGCGCCGCCCTCCGCCGCACCCGACCTGCACGCACACGGCACTAGGAACACAATCATTACACTACAAATAACAAGTATGAGGCGTCGCGACACTCACGCGGGCAGGTTGAAGGCGGACTGTGTGGCGTAGGTGCCGTCGCTGGTGACGAGGCGTCGCGGCGCCGCGGCCGGCCCGCTCTCCGGCTGCTACAAGCACACAGAGATGAGTCGGGTCCGCTTGCGGCGCTGTGGTGGCGGGTGTGACGTCACTACCTGCGTGTCGGCGGCGCCCTCGATGACGTCAGCGAGCACGTGCAGCGCGGCGCGCGCGCGGCCCGGCGTGTCGGCGAACTGCGCGAGCAGCCACAGCGCGGCGCGGGCCGGCCTGCCCACGCGCACGCTGCGCACCGACTCCACCAGTTTCTGCGACACGAGGCGCGCTGTAGTGTGTGCTGTCTCGGCATCACAACGTTATAATATTTTGGCTCGACTAATATAAACAAATACATTTTGCAGAACTATTGAACCTATAACCGCTGCGTTCATCCAGTGCGTTTCCAGAGATATTTTTTGCCACGTGCCATCCGGCAACGAGCTCCCCTCCACGGTGCTTCCCGAGCGCTATGACACGTCCTTCTTCAAACGAAACTTGCGGAAAGTATTTAACGGTAGGCAGCGGCCTGGACATCGAAGACATGAATCCCAGTGTACTTACTAATATGGTCTGTAGCCAGAACAAACCGAAAGCTGTATTCTCCCATCACACCACTCGCCACCTAGTACCTCGTGGCCAGTGGTCATGTTTTACCAAGCCATGTAGGTGCAACTATTTTCGATGGGTATTTTTCTATTAAAACAATATCTAAAGTCAAAACAACTCTTCCTCCTCGTGGGGTCACCGACCCATCTACAAACCCAAGGACCCAAATACAACAAAATGGGTGAACAAAATATAAGGCGAAGAGCCGTAGTGCTCGTCCAGTTGAGCAGTACGGGACGGCTAGTGACCTGGTAGATGTGGTCCCTGAGGTCGGGGAAGGCGTGCAGCGCGTGGCGCAGGAACAGCAGCACGTCGTGCGCCGCCGCCTCGCTGCCCTCGCCCAGCAGCTCCAGCAGCGCCGGCGCCACGCTGCCAGCCACCTCCGGGAACTGCGGGACGCAACGGACTTACGCAGCACGTCCACCACTACCCAGCTTTATGACACAATGTTATTCCGTCACAGTTCAGTCATTCGTGAACATGAGATAACTACGTACTTCATTAGACATATGTGTACTTGTCTGTGGGATTCGAACTCCGGCAAAGTCACATGAATCAGAACTAATGAGCAAAATGAAATTAATTGAATTAAAGTGAAACTTTTATGAAATCGTCTCAAACTTTTTCGTCTGTGTTGCATGTCGCGTGACGGTCGGCCGCGGAGTAGGGAGAAAGTGCAAGGCGCTCGTCAGAACAGCCAAGGCCAATATGGCGGCGCCTATAGTTCGCAGCAGCTGACCGTGTAGTGTATAGACTATTACTCATTTGTGCCAGTGCTCCACGCTATTTTGTTTGTTTTTGTCAGTGTTTAAGGTAAATTTTGTTTGTCAGAGTTAAATGTCTATAATGTGAAAAAAGTTTCACTTTTACCGTGGTTTCATAAAACCACACAATCCTTTTTTTCTGCAATGCAATTGTATTAAATAATATTTACGAATGAAGTATGAACGGCATCGTTAGAAGTGGAAGGGAGCGGACCTTGAGCGCGGCCTTGTGCATGGCGCGCACGAGCAGCTGGCGGTACTTGGCGGCGTCGTCGTGGTCGGCGGAGTGCGCCCGCGCCGCCTCCTTGCGCAGCACCTGCACCAGCTCCTCCGCGTGCCGCGCGCTCACCAGCTCCAGCGCTGCGTCATCATACAACACCGATACATCAATGGGACTGTAGCAAGGTGCAGTGCGAGACGCTGAGTGCGGATTAGAGTTGCCACGAATAGTGATTCGGCCGAATACCGAATACCGAATATTCGGCAACGCTGTCGGCCGAAGCGCCGAACATTCGGCACAAAGTACATGCTAGTTAGTCGAGCGCGTAAAGAATAATAGGACAGATCGGGACCTGTCTCCATCGTGCGCGGGCGGTGTTCGGCCATTTGACTGTTTCAGTTGCGAGTAAATCACGTCACGGCACGCTTTGTCAGATCAATATAAATAACAAATTAAATAAAACATTACGATTTTGTAGCAAAGTTTGTTCGTTAGTTCTTTTTCAATTGTTTGTTCATTAAAAAGTGACACCAATTAATAGAAAATCGGCCATATGAGAATATTATGAGATTTCTAGTGAAAATAATAAACAAAAATCATGATTCGAGTTTTTTTACGAAACATGATTTGAGACCTGCCCGTCATTTTTCGGTATTCGGCCGAATAGTGCCTATTATTCGGCGGAATACCGAATACCAAACAAAGTGGCCGAATAGGCCGAATACCGAATAGTAGCCGAATATTCGTGGCATGTCTAGTGCGGATACATTACCGAGCTGCAGCGTGTGCTTCCTGACGTCGAGGTCGGAGGAGGCGAGCACGCGCAGCACGTCCATGGCCAGGTCGGGCAGGGCGCGCGCGGCCCCCTCCCCGCCCTCGGCGCGCAGGGCTCCCAGTCGCCCCACGACGATCAGCTTCACGTTGTTGTCACTCTCCTTCACCACGAGGTCGATGTAGCACGCCGCCGCCGCCTGCGCACGGGCACGGTCAGTCGGGTGGGGGGACGGTGGGGGGCGTTGGGGGGACGGCGGGGGGTCGACGCACCTTGATGGCGGCGGGCGCGTTGGAGAGGGTGACGAGCGTGCCGGCGGCCTCGTACCGGACGGCGGCGCTGCTGGCGTTGAGCAGCCCGTACACGGTGCGGATGAACCGGGAGCGCTCCGACGGGTTCGTGTGGCAGACCTGCACCCGTACAGATAGTTAGTGCCACTTCGATATTCACTTACTTAAGCTAAATTCGACCTTATGTCACAAATTTTGTAAATTTTGAATATTTTCTTTTCTATACCGATTTTTTAATTATTATTATTATTCATAAAAAAACATTTTATCTCAAAATTCTTTACATTGTTAAATTACATCTTTTCGTTTTTAATTATTTATTTAGTCCTTTATTATGCTCTCGATTCAGTAATGATAGTAAGCATCTATGAAGACATTCTTTATAGATCCAAGTTTGTCTCAGCTGCCTACAACTATGTAGCTATCCTCCGCAACTAATCCAAGAATTACTATCTGTTTTGACATTTATGAGCAAAATATATCCTTCAATTTATGGTCACTAGAATTATTTACTAATGTTACTACATTAAAACATATATACCTTTTCTATATATGAAAAAATAAACATGGAACATCTATCTATCTTTTATCTTTCAACCCACACATATATTTTTTGTGTATTTCAATATTAGGACACTAACCTTATAAATTAACTCGACTATGACCAGTTGAAGAATATCTCCAAAGCTGTGTACATTATCGAGCCTAGAAGACAAATATGTCAAAGCACGCTCTTGGTCAGCATGCAGCAGCATGAGGAAGGCATTACGCTTGCAAGACATGTCTTGCTCAGTCTCCAGGAAGTTTGCTACCAGCTCCGGTGCATCAGGAATTAGGAATTCAAAGTTCCTAAAAGGAAAATTTTAATACTGATATATTATGAATAACATTTAATTGTTACAGATGAATTCCCAGGGCATTTCCTATTTGATCTATTTTATTGATAGAAGATAATATATTAATATACCTCTTAATCTTAATATAGCTAGAACCAGTTTTAAGTTTTGCAATCACAAGATCCTTTTTTTTTTTTATATCATCATATATTATAAGACTTCCTGTGGTTGATTAACTTTACAAATGAATTTAGATTTTATATATTCCTCACCTATATATGGTAAAAATAGCAAGAACAGCATTCCTCCTGACATACGAATGTCTGTGCTCGAGACAGGACCGTATGGCTGGCATTAGGGGTTCAAGGAGTTCAGGCTCTTTCAGCTTGCACAGAAAACGCAGAGTAGATCCGCGAATGAACTCATTTGGATGTTGAAGATCCTATAGTCGATTTAAATACTGTTACACTCAAATCACAGTGGTAGGATGATTAACTAGTAAATTAATAAAATTATAAAGAACACATTTTTAAAAGTTATTAAAATCAAATACTGTTTGTTTACAGTTAAATTTTGAAACAGTAGACTTTTAGAGTCTACTGTTTCATGTCTACTGTGCATAAATAGCTATGAGATTTGAACGCAGCTACAATTCTTTGACAAAATAGAGACAGTTTCATACTGATTTTCTTGGAAATAATCACTTCAAAAAGGCAAAAATATGATTGTCGCCCTAACCTTTCTATAGGCATCACAGACAAGGATCATTTCCTGCAATAATTTTCCATCAGGTGAGGTCTTTGGTACAATCTCCCAAAAGATAAGTAGCAGCTTCTTGATCATGTGATCTTGCAATGGCAACACGAACCTAATAATGATCATGAGCAGACCTGGTATCTTTTCCCCAGAAAGTATTATTCCTATTGTCTTTTTTAATGCTTCTATTTTCTTTTTTGTATCACCTTTCTCTGTAAAGTTTGTGATGTAAAATATAATTTAGTCAACATTGGGGGCAAGGTTGCTTATTTTATTTACTACAAAAAATATTTGTGATTACCATCTACCACTGTAGACGGTGCATAAAACTTTTTATTTCAAAAACAAGCGTTTTGAAGGGTTTTCAAATATGTATTAAGGATAAAAATATTTTCATGTTGTCTGATAGGGAAATGTACATTTTAGAAGTACATTTCTTTTAAAAGTTTCTATTATATACTGAACACATGTGTTTTTTAGTAGTCAGTTGCAAAACATAATTCCTAAGTCTACTCAATTTCAAAAAATATTCGTAGCATATTAATGCATATTTTTCAGACTTTTTAGGTCTAAATAGGAACAAATAACATAAGTGCAAACTATAAATTAATGTAGATCACAGTTAGTGGTGTACAGTAACACCCTATGTAATGAATAATAATTATAACACAGATCCAAAAGTATACATGCATAATACTAGGGGGTCAAGGTAGCAATCACACTTCCAAGTCGTTACCACATTTTTGGAAGAAAAAAGTTGTATTGTAATTTCCAAGTCACTAATAAATAGCTTTTACTGACAATGAATTATGCAAAAGTACTCACCAAGATCAAGTTTAAGTTGCATCTCATTGCATGGTTCTAAATCAGTTGGAAAATTGATAAGAGTATAGCATGGCTGCTCCACAACCGCCATCCTGAGTTAAACATTTAAATTTATTAGTAATAATTTGACTGTAACTGTAAATTTTCTAATCACAATTCATGTTTATTCAAAACCAGAATACATTTGTTAATTACTCTTCAAACCATTTAATGATGATCCCCAGGTCGTAGGCATTGACAATGTCTTAGCTAAACTTAGGCTGGTTCATCATTCTGCAACACTAATGGAATCAGCTAACATATTGCCCTTAAGGATGTCAGTTTGTAGAGTACTACCAGTATAATAGATACCAGAACAATTGTAGAACACTGTTGTTGCAAACCTCCTAACGTTATTACTGATAATCTAACAATTATGGAGAACAAGATCATAAATAAGGGTAGCCAATGTAGATTATTAACATGTGTTTTACTCAACTTTTCAGCTGTCCCGATCCTGGCAGTGTTAATTTATGGGTAAATAAATATGTGTGTGTGTGTTTTGATCATATTTAGTTAGTAATGTATTTCTTTATTTTTTATTTTTCTATGTTAATCCTACTATTTAAATGATCTAGTTGGAAAATCTAAATTGCGATTGTTTAAGATTGCTTTAAAAGTATAGTTGTAATTTACGGTCATTCGTATTTAATATTTCGTTTGCTATCTTAAGTTAGCAGATATTTTAGGCAGTAACATCAAGACCATAGAGTGTTGATATGATACTGCCTAAAAATTCGTGGTTTACTCGTCCGGTATACAGTGACATGTTGTTCTCATACTAACCTGAATGAGTTAAAGATATACTGGGCCACGAAATCACACGATAAGAATGAACTATGAATAATTCAATAATCCTTCATGTATGGACTAAAATACACAAAAAAACGAAAAATTAATCAAATTTATTAATTTAGCTCCTCCTCATACACAAATACGTGTCCAGAAACCGACATGTCATTTACGCCACTCAAGTGACATTTGACGTTTTAAGTGTTTTTTTATTTTTTTTATTGCTTAGATGGACGAGCTCACAGCCCACCCGGTGTTAATTGCTTACTGGAGCCCATAGACATCTACAACGTAAATGCTACCACCCACCTTGAGATATGAATTCTAAGGTCTCAGTATAGTTATAAAAGCTACCCAACCTTCAAACTGAAACGCATTACTGCTTTACGGTAGAAAATAGGCGCTTTGGTGGTACCTACCCGTGCAGACTCACAAGCACAAGAGGTCCTACCACCTGTAAGGTAATGTCTTTTCAAATTTTTAATATATATATTTTTTTTATTGCTTAGATGGGCGAACGAGCTCACAGCCCACCTGGTGTTAAGTGGTTACTGGAGCCCATAGACATCTACAACGTAAATGCGTCACCCACCTTGAGTTATAGGTTCTAAGATCTCGGTATAGTTACAACGGCTGCCCTACCTTTCAGACCGAAACGCATTACTGCTTCACGGCAGAAATAGGCGGGGCGGTGGTACCTACCCGCGCGGACTCACAAAAGGTCCTACCACCATTTAATATTTCTAGATGTGTGCTATATTTTGATAATTTAGTTTTTCTTCATGTTTGAAGGTATAAATTGTTTATCATTCGACGTGGCTTCTCGAGTTTTTCCAAAAAGTCAGATAAGCTCGTAAACAATTTCCATAATTTTACTCGGAAAATATTTTATTGCCTCTGCATTTATTTGGGATGTTGTATTAGTTCATTTTATCCAATTGAAATTGAAATCATTGAGTTTTACTCAAAAATTTCAATTGCTTAATCACTGAAAGAAATCGATGAAAATCAATTTGATTTACTGTCACCAACTATATTTATCGAAGGAAAAGTAACAAAAAATACATATCAGTTGTCACTACAAAGGAGAAGAGTAGTGTAAATTATAAAATAGAATTAAGAGACCAATTGATTCAAGATTACTCACATGATTCCAAACAATCAGACTCTACACTTCAATTTTCATAAAAAGCGGTGCGGCTTTTGCGTTCAAAGTTAAGAATACTTTGGACTGTGTTTCCTTTGCTTATCTTATGAACCGAATAAGTAAATAATATTTTTATTATCATCAATTGACATCGAATTCAAATTCGATTCAGTGGGAATTGTATTGAAATTCGATCAATTTTATATTAGTGGATTTACATGAATTATTTCCGTGATACGTTAGATATTTTTCAGTCGACAGCTTTTGTCAATAAACTCCTATATCCATTTTGGGAATGTATTTCAATCAATTTTTTAATCAATAGATACAAAAAAAATCAGAATGGATGTTTTAGTTACACTTTTCTACGTTCTATTCTCTATATGCGTTGTTTATCCGCCTACCGAGTTCGTGTCTGCAGGATTCACAATTGCTCAGCTATTTGATAACTACTTGGGCTCTGAAAATACCAACTTTATTGGTTATCACATGAAGAGAATAACCATAACTGCGTTTATACATTCCGCTCTACCTCTTGGGTACGTTTGCACACTATGGTGTTGCGGGGAACGTAGTCAATGGATGCTTGCAAGTTTTGCTGCAACGGCCTTCGTACCGCTGTTAATGTGCTACAAATTGCTGTGCTGGTGGGAGTATGAGAAGCTGGGCCATCCGATCGTAAAGGCACTCCTGCCGTACGTGTCGACGGGAAGTGACTGGCGGGTCACTGCGGCTTATCTCAATTCAGAATTTAGAGGGTCAGTTTTAAGCCTATAAATTGTAAAACATTGTGATAAGGGCCTTACAAATACAAAATTTGAAAATAGTTAAAACATTAAGACGAAAATTACTATTTTCTTTAAAAAATCTTGTGCATAGCTTTATCATCAAACATTGATAGTCACTTATATTTCGTGACAGTTAATTTAACTAAAAATTTAATTTTGAATGGTTCAGGTTTTAATCATACATTATCATTAACCTTAAGTTCAAGGTGTTTCTTTGAATAATGGAATTTTGTTAAGTTCAAACAATGAATGCCAACAATTTCACTAATTTCTTTATTGTATTAGTATGATGTAGACATATATATGCTGATATGGCAGATTTCTTTATATATTTATAGGGCTATTTCAGCCTTGTATTAAATTAATATAAATTGTTAATGTTAATTGACATGTCCTTCAAACGAGGCTTGTGGAGAGTATTAAACGGTAGGCAGCAGCTTGGCTCTGCCCCTGGCATTGCTGACGTCCATGAGCGACGGTAACCACTCACCATCAGGTGGGTCGTATGCTCGTCTGCCTATAAGGCAATAATTTTTTTTTTGTGTAAATTGCTATTCAGGATTATTTGGATTATAATAAATACAATATAGAATACTACCAACCAAATCATTGACTGCTTAATGCCATTGTTCTGAAACACAATCCAGTTAAGTTAGATGATTGTTCAGTTCATGCCATATTATCAGATTGTGTGCCTGAACAACTTTACTATGAAGTTAATTAATAATTATGTGTGTAATTTGTCATTTAAAAAGTCTTATTTTTAACACCAGTTAATCTGCCACGTATCTGACTTCCTATTTACTTGAAAATTTGTACACATATAAAGAATTGATGACAGCATAATATTTTTTATTTGCCTAATTGTCATGAGCGAGTGATGGATAAAGAATAAAAAAGATTATCTTAATTGTAAGTTCAGGTTGCTGTAAAATTTTAAAACCATAGCTTTTTATTTGTTGAAACAATACAAAATGGTTTTGTTCCTATTTGAAAAGTAGGTCAGTTGATAATTTCAAGAGCTGTAAATGTACTCTATTGTTCATTTATCATAATTGTAATTAATGTGAAGTATCTTTCCTTTAATTTCAGTGTTGATAAAGTCTCAATACAGCTGACGGCTACAAGCAAGTTTGTGGCTACGGAGACTTGGCTCATCAAGGTGTCACAGTATTCCGTTAACATAGTGAAACAGGAAGATTGCTCTCTTGTTGCCACTGCTGTAAGTTAGTAACAATATATGATTGGGAAAGAGTATTATTAAATTCATCTAAATTTTAATACCAATCCATGATGATCACAATGAATTTAATAGCTGCAGAGGAACTAGATTATATTTTGATGTAATAAAACTAATGTTTTGCTAGTAATTTTAATTATAACAATAATTAAATAAGAATGTAACAGGAAATATAATCATAATTCTTAAAGTCTACTTGTCACTGTAAAAATATATGTTGAATATGTCATAAATAACATAGTCGATAGGTATTTATGAGACTAAGGACCAGCTAACAAAAAGAAACCGTTGCAGAGTGACAGCCACAATTTGTCACCATCGGGTGAAGACGAAATCCAATATCTGAACATAGAGGTGATACCCAACCGAGATGAGATCCAGCGATTTACATTTCGCATCACAACAGTAATGTTGCGTGACTTGCAGCCGAGGCTATTGAATGCAGTGAGGGTTCCTGAACACATTTCATTGATGCCAACTTTAGTGGAACGTTTCGTGAATGTCTTCAAACAGTATGTTGATCAGAACCCTGTTTATATTATTGATGAGGTGAGCTTTACCTACTTTTTTGACCTTTTTCCCTACCTATTCCCCGGTAGCCTAAGGGGCTATTTTTGATACACTCGGATGGGTAGGTGAACTCATAGGCTCAACCAAAGAGCATTCACTAACATTAGCACTAGCAAGAGCATTGCTTTGCAAAATCTACCACCAGATCGGATTAGCGACCCACTGATATGATCTTGTGAGAAATTGAGTGGGTTGTGTTTATGGGTTTTTGGTTTATGCTTCAGTTATTAGCATACTGACAATAGATGATATCAGTTTTGACCAGTAGTGTTATCTAGTTACCAGGAAATTTCTATCTTATATGCAAATACTTTTAAATGCTTAAATCATGAATACCGTTTTTATTTATATGGTTACGGTGGATTCATTTTAATTAAAATCTTTATACGCGATCTAATATTTTATACAGGAGCCAGAGATGTGCATTGGGTGCATGCAAGCCCCGGCTGATGTTAAGATAAATCGACGTTGCTTGCCGCCTCCACCACATCTCGAGGGAGGACCACAGCAGTGCCAGCAGTGTCACTGCAGGTTAGCCCGTTTCTTTCCTTCTTATAAACCAATTTTGTGTGGAACACTTGATTTTGTTGCCTAATTCATGGAAAATATCAATGTTTTGACTGTATGAAGTTTTCATTTAAGGTCAGGAAGCAGATATGTCGAATGTGTCGAATTGGCCACGACGAGCTAGCGTGACTCAACAGACAAGTCATGTCGAGCGACACTACAACCTGCTGTTAAGTGGTCACTAAGGTTCTACTTTGAGGTGTTTCTTTTTTATTGCTTAGATGGGTGGTTGAGCTCACAGCCCACCTGGTGTTAAGTCATCGTGGTTGAAAGGATAAGACGTCCGGTGCATTTGTGTTGAGCGATGCGCCGGTGTTCGAATATCAGGCGGGTACCAATTTTTCTAATGAAATACGTAGTCAACAAATGTTCACGATTGACTTCCACTGTGAAGGTATAACATCGTGTAATAAAAATCAAACCCGCAAAATTATAATTTGCGTAATTACTGATGGTAGGACCTCTTGTGAGTCCGCACGGGTAGGTACCACCACACTGCCTATTTCTAACGTGAAGCAGTAATGCGTTTCAGTTTGAAGGGTGGGGCAGCCGTTATAACTATACTGAGACCTTAGAACTTATATCTCAAGGTGGGTGGCGCATTTACATTGTAGATTACGACTTAACATCAGGTGGGCTGTGAGCTCGTCCACCCATCTAAGCAATAAAAAAAAGTGGTTACTGGAGCCCATAGACATCTACGACGTAAATGCGCCACCCACTTTGAGATATAAGTTCTAAGGGCCGCGCGGGTGGCCTCACAAGAGGATGTAGAGTGCAATGTTGAGTGCGGGGCGGGGGGCGGGCAGGGTGCTGTGGTGCGCGTCGTGCATGGGGCGGTGGTGGGCGACGCGCGCGGGCGGGCCGGCGTCGGGCTGGCTGGCGGGGCGCTGCACGTGCCCCGTGTGCCGCGCCGTCTTCTGTCTGCTGGACGTCAGCCCCGCGCGCCTCGCCGTCTCCTGAGCACCCATCGCTGTAAACACATCGATCTTTTAGTGAAACTAACTTGTACAGATTCAACGGAATTTTTTGAATCATGATTGTTTACTGTTAAGGTAGCAGCGGTGCCAGTAGATGGCCATTTAATGCAGTAGTTTTTGTTTTTAAACACTGTCTGTGTTGTTAATCGGTCTATGCACTCGGTGAAGGCGTTTTGCGATAACTTAAACTCGAATTTATTAAGATCAATCAACAGATTACTCCAGTTTAAAAAATTCAAGAAGAAAAAAAAATTAAAAAGAAATAAATACAAATACTAGTACATAGGCGGCACTGAAAATTTCGGGAATTAACGAAGTGACACAACATTACTATTTAAAAATGTATTTATTGCTTTTCGAAGTATTCTCCGCGAAATTTGACACATTTTTCCATACGATGGAACCAATCATTGAAGCAACCATTCCATTCGGAAGTTGGGTCTCCAAAATGGCCGTTTTGTAGGCGTCCACAGCTTCTTCAGGTGATGAAAATCTCTGTCCACGCAATTTATTCTTTATTTTAGGGAAAGTATAGAGATCATTAGGGCTTAGGCGGGGGCTGTACGGCGGATGGTCTAATAATTCTATGTTTTCTTGCTCTAAAAACTCTTTTGTTCTGTGCGCGGTGTGAGAACTCGCATTGTCGTGATGGAGGATGATGCGGCGGTTGCAGTTCTCTTTACGGAGTTCAGAAACGACCTGTGGCAAACAAATGCTAGCATACCATTCGGCATTAACCGTTCTTTGTCCCTCAAGAGGAATAGTCGTAACATGGCCGGTTTTGGAGACAAACGTGGCCACCATTTTTTTTTGCAACACTCCGTGAACGAACAATTTTTGTTGGCTTTAACTCATTTTCGAACACCCAAACTCGTGACTGGTTTTTTGTTTCGGGTTCGTACGCGTATATCCAGGATTCGTCATCTGATACAATGTTGTATACAGCATTTGAGGATCCTGCGTGGAATCTTTCGAGAGTCCTGACGCACCAAGTAACGCGAGCCGCTTTTTGCTCTTCACAGAGCGAATGCGGTATCCATCGGGAAAACAACTTTTTTTGCCACTGGTGGTAGGACCTCTTGGGAGTCCGCACGGGTAGGTACCACCACCCCGCCTATTTCCGCCGTGAAGCAGTAATGCGTTTCGGTTCGAAGGGTGGGGTAGCCGTTGTAACTATACTGAGATCTTAGAACTTATATCTCGAGGTGGGTGGCGCATTTACGTTGTAGATGTCTATGGGCTCCAGTAACCACTTAACACCAGGTGGGCTGTGAGCTCGTCCACCCATCTAAGCAATAAAAAAAACAACTGTAGTATATCTATATCTATTATAATACATAGGCGGCACTGAAAATTTCGGGAATTAACGAAGTGACACAACATTACTATTTAAAAATGTATTTATTGCTTTTCGAAGTATTCTCCGCGAAATTTGACACATTTTTCCATACGATGGAACCAATCATTGAAGCAACCATTCCATTCGGAAGTTGGGGTCTCCAAAATGGCCGTTTTGTAGGCGTCCACAGCTTCTTCAGGTGATGAAAATCTCTGTCCACGCAATTTATTCTTTATTTTAGGGAAAGTATAGAAATCATTAGGGCTTAGGTCGGGGCTGTACGGCGGATGGTCTAATAATTCTATGTTTTCTTGCTCTAAAAACTCTTTTGTTCTGTGCGCGGTGTGAGAACTCGCATTGTCGTGATGGAGGATGATGCGGCGGTTGCAGTTCTCTTTACGGAGTTCAGAAACGACCTGTGGCAAACAAATGCTAGCATACCATTCTGCATTAACCGTTCTTTGTCCCTCAAGAGGAATAGTCGTAACATGGCCGGTTTTGGAGACAAACGTGGCCACCATTTTTTTTGCAACACTCCGTGAACGAACAATTTTTGTTGGCTTTAACTCATTTTCGAACACCCAAACTCGTGACTGGTTTTTTGTTTCGGGTTCGTACGCGTATATCCAGGATTCGTCACCTGATACAATGTTGTATACAGCATTTGAGGATCCTGCGTGGAATCTTTCGAGAGTTCTGACGCACCAAGTAACGCGAGCCGCTTTTTGCTCTTCACAGAGCGAATGCGGTATCCATCGGGAAAACAACTTTTTTACACCTAATTGTTCATGCAAGATTATTTGTATTTGACTCATGCCAATGTCTAAAGTTGCCTGAATTTCGCGGTATGTCACATGTCGATCTTCCTCAATCAGCTTACGCACAGCATCAACGTTTTCTTGGGTGACTGCAGTTTTTGGACGACCTTGACGGGGATCATCACTGAGCTTGACACGTCCACGTTGAAACTCAGCAAACCAGCGATAAATTGTGGTTTTGGATGGGGCTTCATCACCAAATGCAGAAATCATCCGGTCAACACACAGTTTTTGTGTTAAACCACTTCGAAAGTCATAATAAATCATCGCTCTTGAATTTTCTCGAGTCAATTCCATTTTCTCAACGACTAAACAAGTTTGACAAAACCTCGTGACAAGACCGAGAATCTTTTTTTAAATAAATAAATGGTATTCGATTTTTAAAACCAAGGAGTTTTCAATTAAAAAGATTTTAATATGACTGGAACAGTGGAAATATTCCATTCCCGATACTTTTAGTGCAGCCCTCGTAGATGGCCACTTGAGATAAGTGAAAAATTAGTAGATGGCCACTTTCTCACTAGTAGTTGCCCACCCAGTTTCAATGCTATATTCTGTGTTCTAAATAAAAATAAGCCTTATAGACTGCTTCATAAGGAATTTATTTAATTATTTTAAATAAGTCTAGTCTTCAAAGTGTTTCATTTCAGGCACATTAAAGAGGTCTCGCGTTTTGCTTGTTTTCTGAGGCTCCTTTATGGTAGTGATGACGTTTTTCCACTCGTATTCACAAACGTCGGGCCGAATTGGCCATTTCCATAGCCGCCCCACTCTCGCCATGGCAGAAATTGAAGCGACCAATGGAAGCGCCGTAACAACTTTTCCGGGATAAAACCTGCCGTCATAACGAACGATGACGAATTCGCCGTTCACTTTTTTCGGAGGGATAAGTTTGCTGTCACTATCATCCTCATCCGTTTCTTCATCGTCAATGTCGCTTTCTGCCGATGAGACTTTAACACTTGAGTCAGAAGAATCAGAAGAATAACACAGATGTCTTCTGGTTTTTTTGGCTTGGGTGTCTTGAAACTTGCGGCGCTTTCGATCTTCTCCTTCCAATTTCTTCTGTTCCATCAATGCATCTTTTTCCGCCTTCTTCCGTTGCCTTTCGTTGGCTCGCTCTAACTTCTGCTTTGCGAGATTCTCCTTCTTTTCCGTTTCAAGTAGATTACATAATCCTCTCCAAAAGCTACGGTGGGCAATTTTTCCTTTGGCTTCCTTTTTGTATCCTTGCTCACTTCCGTCGGTACATAAAAAAAGTGCTTTTTAAAGGGACTAGGCACAGTGCTAGTTGATGAGGGTCCTGGTTGTTCATGTACAAGCTTCATGTCCGCAGTAGCTAAGTCAGAAATCGGTGCTGGAATGTTGAAGTCAGCTGTGCTAGATGGTGGCCCTGGTAGTTCATGTACAAGCTCCATGTCCGCAGTGACTAAGTGGGAAATCGGTGCTGGTATGTTGAAGTCAGCTGTGCTAGATGGTGGTCCTGGTAGTTCATGTACAAGCTCCATGTCCGCAGTGGCTAAGTCGGAAATCGGTGCTGGAATGTTGAAGTCAGCTGTGCTAGATGGTGGTCCTGGTAGTTCATGTACAAGCTCCATGTCCGCAGTGGCTAAGTCGGAAATCGGTGCTAGAATGTTGAAGTCAGCTGCAAGTGGAGATGCTGTCCGATCCTCGTGCGTTAGATCACTATCTTCCTTTTGGAGGGCTTCTACTTCAGTTTTGGTACTGTGCCATAAGTTGAACAATGACTTATCAGTGGTGTCACCGGACCAATCACCAATTGTAGATTGAAATGCAATCAAGGTGTCAGCAGGTATTGATTCATTTAGAGAATGTAAGCCTCTCTTTAAGAACAAAATTTTTTCAGTGTTGTCCTTCTTCTCAATAGCTTTCCCAGGGATCGTAACTGCTTCGGGGTTCCAGGGAACAAGGCCACATTTGCGGAAACCATTCACTAGTATGGAAGGGGTTAAGCTTTCTTCCATCACCTCCTTAAGTAATTTGGCGAAGTCTTTCTTCTTTAAAGCGTGCCCCTCCTCGCTTTGAATTTTTTCAATCCGCCACATGTGCACTCGCTTCCTCCAAGCCACCTTTGAAGGTTTAAAAACGGCCACGTCAAGTGGTTGCAGCAAATGAGTAGCATTTGGAAAGAGTGGTATAAGTACGATGCCTTTCTCATTCTGAATACTGAAGAGCAGCTGCTCGTGAGTAATGGGGAATCCAGCCGCTGCAGATTCGTACACCCATTGGCATATTCTCTCCTCTTCTTCTTTTGTCAGCATAGTGGCTGGGCCCATCTTCCTTGCAAGAGGAGATTTCCCGGTCACTTTATTTGCAAGTCTGCCGAGGCACTCCAAATTTCTTGGCGGCAGCACGTATCGGTGTGTCATGGAGTCTTACGTCGTTAACGGCTTGGGTCATGGCCTCTTCACTATAACTTAAAAACGCTCCTTTTTTTCCTGGCATCTAAAAAATAAAAAATTAAGTTAATACTTACCTAAAATGGAATACATGGACAGAATTAGTAATTAGCCGAAATAATAGTCAGTAGTTGCCCACCCGGCTCATTACTGAAAATTAAAAATAAAACCCAAAAATTGTTAAAGCATTTTAATTTTACTAACTTTTTAGGTTAGATAAAAATAATGAAGCAAAATAAACTTGAAATAGAAAATACCCAGTAGTTGCCCGGACGGGCAACTATTAAGTTATTTTGACTAACAGATGCTAGTAATGGGCCACCCCAACAAACTGTAATGTAAGCAAAAATGTATTTTTAATTTTTAAAACAAATGTTGACTCAAACCCACTATAAATCCTAAAACCAAATTATCCAAACAAAATAACATGATTTGCCATCAAAATCTTTCGAATGATTGACTTCTTTGTTTAATAAATTACATAAGAAATTACCTTGTTTTAATCTGACGACCACCGATTCAAAAGTCAAAATTCGCCATCTTGAATATCACGGCTACCAACATGACGGCGTCTATTTTTTTTGTGTTGCCAGATGATCACACTAGCCTATAAGCTAACAATGCGTAAAAAATGTTATATAAAACTCTTGTTATAAGCATTTTTAGGGAAAGCGGCCAACTACTGATGTATGGCCATCTACTAGCACCGCTACCTTAGTTAAATTTAAACTTTTATTAATATACAAAATATGATTTTAATAACCTAAAAGTACATGTTATTATCCGCAACACGCTTCGTCAGATTACAGAAATAGAGTTATCAGCAACATGCTTCGTCAAAAAGTAAAATACTTACTTTCAGCTGCAAGCGTCGTCATAAGTAACATATAGGTTCACGCTAACAGCAATGCGCGCGTAGGCATCGGCTAGTCAAACAGCGGAAATGTATAAGACACTACAGTGCACAAACTCGCACAAAAGTAAACTGCTCAGAAACATGAATGTGAACGTTTGAAGTCCAATTTACATGTTTATTGAAACCAGTGGATCTCTGATTTCGACTTCATAATAAAGCAATTAATTTAGGTCCATGAACCCAATTGTCTGGCGAGTAAGTGTGAACGCCTGTAAAGAAACGTATGATTTTATCTGTTCTGACTACCGTCGCGGAGATGACTATAGCAGTTTACTGCCCGTTGCGGCCTAGGATTTTTCATAGAAAATTTTAACTGTTGCTACAAACTGTCCAGCCACAGATTATATTCATTTGCTGTTTAAAACTGAAGACTGTTTACTATATCGAATTTAATCTATGAAAATACATCGATTTTTTTTAAAATTATAATACAACATTTTAACTAAAAAAGAAATCGACTCCAACAAAATAAAATGCGAACATGATCAACGTAGTATCGAAGTCAATTAAATATACATTATTAAGGATAACCCTAAAACAGCTGATTAGATTTTGATAAAATTTGTTCACATGAGAAGCATTAGCTTTCAAGCGAAAAAGCATCATTAAGTCAGCTCACCGAGAAGCTTCTGAAGTGACAACACGAAAAATAATAATTGAATTGAGAACTTCCCCATTTAGTCAGAATTGTTTTTAAAGTTTGTAAGAATAAAAATTCACCGAATGAAAATTATGAATTAAGTTAACGCATTACTGAGATTGGTATGGGAATTTTATTGTTTTATTAAAACACAAATGTGGCACTATGGCCGATTGAGTTTAGAGTAAAACCGTGAGAAACTTGTACCACACTTGTATATAAAACAAGGTTAATTTTTTTTTAAAGATTTTTTGACTTGATATATATATAAATATGGAAATTTGGTATATAGTTTTCGGTATAATGTACAACAGGAAGACGGATAGACACCTGAAATAAGCGGCCACCCCCAGGGCGAAGTCTGAATTGTATTGTGTGGTTTTACCAATCAAATGTACAGTTATATAGTTATGTTTGTATACTCAAATAATGCAATTTTACGTTTTAAGTATGTAGCTAAAGTCATTAGATGAAATTAATATCACTTAGATTTTTTTATAAATATATAGTCATAGACAACGCACATCTATCCCCCGGTCGCCGACCCCCCACCGGGAATTCCCGGGGGAACCAGAGTTCTAACTATTAGTGTTTTTAAATGTTTTATTATTTTGTACATTATTATTCGTTTGTGATATGTTTGTTTTAAATGCTTGTGAAAATATTTGTACAATAATACCAATGTTGACATTTTTTTTTTATATATTTTGAATCTTTAAACATTTATTATTATCATTATTATTAGCACTATGCACTGTACATGAATATTTTACACTTTATATTGAGACGTAGCTATTAATGTAACTGTAAAGCAAACGGCTGAATTTTATATTTAATATAATGAATTTTCTATATTATACTTATTATATTTATGAAAATAATATTATGATTACTTATTAATTAAATTATAGCTTATAGTAGAATTATTTTGTCCGTGCAGTTTGGGTCATAAAACATAGCCCGGCTAGGGCGGTCAGAATGTTGCGCGGGCGCAACGCCGTTATCGATAAAAACAAATGAGTCATCGAAGGCAGGTAGACGGCGCGGCGGCGGGGTGGTATACGAAGGGTGATGAGACATTGTTATGTTATGAGTTAATTTCTGCCGTTCCCGTTAACATGCTGCGGCGATATGTGGTGTAAGTGTTCGATTAGTAATTTTTTCTTTGATTTTTATCACTAACCCACAAAATGACAAAATACACTATCGATAACGCTTATCGACAACAATAATGCGCATCACTATGCCCGTCCATAAGGCTCGTGAGTGAAAGCGAGAGCAAAATACTCGCTTCACCGCTCCGATTTTTTATGACCCAAACTGCACGGACAAAATAATTCTACTATAGTGTATAATATTTCCGTAGGAAAATTATAAACATGAAATATCGTTATTATTAAATTACAATTTTTCAATCCCTTTAACCCGTTAGAATGCCCGTGGGGGCGGAAGCCCTTGCCCTCGTAGACTTCGGGCAGATTTTTAAAATATAATTATGAAACCCGACATCGTATATTTGCAAAATTAAAGATGCTGGATTGTAATACATAAATATTTGTTGTAAGACCATAGAGCGATTATTGTTGTTTTTAATTTAGATCTAAACATAATAAGTACGAGTGTCAGAAGACGAAACTGTGTGTGTGTGTGTGTGACTAGTGGACACTAGCTCTCTAATGCGACAATCAGTCTTAAACTGGAAAGGCCTCCGGGCCAAAAGTAGTCCCCAAAATGTAAAAAAATAATAAAAAAATCTATGTACCTACTTCGCGAACCCGCAATCGAAACTAAAAGTGCGCGTGTAGCAGTACATTGCATACTTTTCAAAACATTTTATTTTTTTGCTTAGACGGGGGTACGAGCTCACAGCCTGGTGTTAAGTGGTTACTGGAGCCCATAGACACCCACAACGTAAATGCGCCACCCACCTTGAGATATAAGTTCTAAGGTCTCAAGTATAGTTACAACGGCTGCCCCGCCCTACAAATCGAAACGCAGTAATGCTTCACGGCAGAAACAGGCAGGGTGGTGTTACATACCCATGCGGACTCACAAGAGGTTCTACCACTAGTATTCTTAAAATGTTTTAAGAAGTGGTAATAAATATATACCGCGTCCCGAATCCCCGTTATATTGCATTGTATTCTAAGAAATTGTCTTTAAGAAAATGTCTTATCTTTAAGAAATTGTTCCCTAATCCTCGACACATAAATGTGACAGATAATAAATTCTAGAAAGACGCACTAATTGTTTTATTTTCACCCAACAACACCAAGCGACAGGACGGCCGTTGCCAGTGCAGGAGCCAGCGCCTACCGAAGCCCTTGATCAAAACTTGTCTTTGGTCATCGCTTTCATACCATAAAGTGTGTTTCAATATATGTTTCTTTACGTGCATCCGAAATTTCTGAAATTCAAATACACTTTATTTGTTGTGATTGTATTTAAGATAAATACGAAAAAAATAAATTGGCATTTAAAAAAATAGTGAACCCATTACAATAGAAGACATTTTTAATTGAAATGTATAAAAAAATATAAACAATTTAGGAAAAAATACTGCTTAATGGCATTTTCTGGAATTCAATTTTTATTTAAGGTAATTCTCGCCTCGACCTCGCACTTGACAATAATATTCCACCTTAAGGGTAGAACTATCCTGCATGATTAAATCTGTTTTTTGCATTTGGCATTTTGACGGCCAGTGTGCGAGTTTTTTAACGTTCTCGTTATCGTAAAAGTTAACTCAAATTGGTAGGCAGTTGGAACAGTGCCCCAAGCAGCAAACGTAGACAAATGCTTCAAATCCATACTTTTTTTCGGGCTTGGGCCTAATCTCTTACGAGGTCTTCGAGCGCGCGGGATATTTGGGACTTGACGATCTGCAGATGTTGGGAGCGGACCGCGGGCCTACGAGTATTTTAGGGCTCTACCGCACTAAACAACAACTCCCCTGCACTCTTACACCCGACGTCCGATCTCCACCCGGTGTCAGAACCCGGTCAGAGTAGGGGGTTTCCCGCAGTCAATAATACAACCAGACTCGCGGCGCCACTCCGAGGACGCCCGAACGACGGGTCGTCGACGCGATAATCGACGACCAATGACGCCGGTCTCCGCGGTACGGCGACTCTACAAGGCTGCCCGGGCAATGCCGCTGGTGTTCCGGGATACCGAGACCGAGATACTGAGACCTGAGAACTTATATCTCGAGGTGGGTGGCGCATTTACGTTGTAGATGTCTATGGGCTCCAGTAACCACTTAACACCAGGTGGGCTGTGAGCTCGTCCACCCATCAAAGCAATAAAAAAAAAAAAACTTATGCACACTGAAGTTGAGAACTAAGCAAGCAAAATATGAGGATTAATAAAAATTTGAGGCCGGGATGCTTAAGTTTTCTAAATTACGCAAACAATCTATAATTTATTGTCACCCTTAGTCTCGTGGCCCAGCAGTTAAAATATGCACGCTACTTCAAAGTTCAAACAATCAATAGTTACCCATTAAATTCATGCCTTTGTTCATTTGGCGTGTTCGGCGTTATCAACACAATCAATATTTTTAGACAAATATAATTACATTTACAATTTAGACAAATATGTATGTATAGGTATGTGTATATAAGNCTATAATTTATTGTCACCCTTAGTCTCGTGGCCCAGCAGTTAAAATATGCACGCTACTTCAAAGTTCAAACAATCAATAGTTACCCATTAAATTCATGCCTTTGTTCATTTGGCGTGTTCGGCGTTATCAACACAATCAATATTTTTAGACAAATATAATTACATTTACAATTTAGACAAATATGTATGTATAGGTATGTGTATATAAGTGATATAGGGTAAGTTGGCCATAGTTTTTTCTAAGCTCTGTCAAAAATCAAATACTTATCTTTTTTAATTATATTTATTTGTCATTAAACTTTGATGAATCTTGATGAATCTGAAACTTTGATGTATATAAGTAATATACCTATTTACGCTTATGTATGGTATGTATATATTTTTGTGTATGTATTTGTAATTTAATATAAATTTCATTGCATCTACTATTATTTACTCTGCACTACTTTTGGTTCACTGTTAGGAAATGCCTTAGGAATTAAGTCCGCCAATATAAATTTTACATGAAGTGTAATAAATAAATAAATTCGCCGCCATGATGAAGTCGATTATTTTATCGTTAATGGTGTGCAATGATCCCATAGATAGCTCAATATGCTGCAATAGCTGCTTGGAACTTTGACTTGAAGTTTCTATTGTATCTATTGTATACCGCTTATCACATCCATCAAACGAATAAGTGACTGCCATTGGAAGAAATAGACAGGGCGGTGAAATATCAGGGCAGACACGTAATTAATATAAAAATTTTTTTGTTGTATTGCTTAGATTAGTGGACGAGCTCACAGCCCACCTGGTGTTAAGTGGTTTCTGGAGCCCATAGAAATCTATGACGTAAATGCGTTACCCACCTTGAGATATAAGTTCACACGATGTACGGTGAGCAATGCTCCCTCAACGCGAGGATCCAGCTCGCAAAGGCCCATAGACAGCCCGACACGGACGCCAACATTAATATTGAGGTTGAATACTCCTATAGTCCAGTACGTATACACACAACGGTAATACTGATAGTCGAGTCGGTGCGGTATATATCGGGATAAAAAGTAGATTTGGGGGAATCGGGACGCTTTCCAATTCCAACACAAATTTTCAGCAGTTTTTTTTATTATTTTATTTTTTATTGCTTTTGATGGATGGACGAGCTCACAGCCCACCTGGTGATAAGTGGTTTCTAGAGCCCACATAAATCTATGACGTAAATGCGCTACCCACCTTGAGATATAAGTTCTAAGGTCTCAGTATAGTTTTTTAGTATTTTAGTGTTTCTCTTAAACCACACGAACTAACGATCGCTGTGTGTTAAATCGTGCATGCCATTAATCGTTTTTTAAAAGCTGTTATTATAAACGAACATGGCACTTAATGGCAAATGATAAATATCACGTTATCAAAGAAAATCTTATTTAAAACGAAATTTATGCCTAACAAATTCAGTAATTTTCTGTAAGTTAAAAGAACACATTCAAGATCTACATTGTTAATTATAGTAAGTAGAAGCTTTGTTGTAAGTATTGACTCAATTTAAAAAACGAAGAGTCGCATGATGCTTGATAAATATATTTCTAGAATCTCACCTCACTTGATGAGTGGGTTTGTTTTAGGTATGAATTAAAATACCGGCTTTAGTGAGATGATGAACAAAGTAACAGAAGTTGAAAGTCGTCGTGGCCTAAAGGATAAGACGTCCGGTGCATACTTACGTATTGAGCGATGCACCGGTGTTCGAATCCCGCAGGCGGGTACCAATTTTTCTAATGAAATACGTACTCAACAAATGTTTACGATTGACTTCCACGGTGAAGGAATAACATCGTGTAATAGAAATCAAACCTGCAAAATTATAATTTGCGTAATTACTGGTGGTAGGACCTCTTGAGTCCGCGCGGGTAGGTACCACCGCTCCGCCTATTTCTGCCGTGAAGCAGTAATGCGTTTCGGTCTGAAGGGTAGGGCAGCCGTTGTAACTATACTGAGATCTTAGAACTTATATCTCTAGGTGGGTGACGCATTTACGTTGTAGATGTCTATGGGCTCCAGTAACCACTTAACACCAGGTAGGCTGTGAGCTCGTTCGCACATCTAAGCAATAAAAAAAAATCGAGACAATTTTCACTATATTATAATTTTCACTTACACTATATATTTGCACGGCATTTCGTAAAAAAGATATTAAGCTTAACTGACAAGATTCATGGTTAGTAGTCTAAATGAATTAAATGAATTAATCTCAATGAATTAAAAATTGAGTTTGTATAAAATGTAGGTATTTCCTTACAGTTTGCGATATAAATGCAAAAATGGAAAAACTTAAGCCCACGCCTTTAAGCAAAGCGATAAGAACATTCTTGCAGACGACAACCCTACACGGCTTCAAATACTTAGGTTCGAAGTTTTATATTGATCGGTAAGTTTCTGATAATCCAATTTCAGTTAAATTTGAAATGTGCCACAGCTAATCAGGCTGCCACCATTCTGCCTTTTGGAAATTAATCATGTGCTATGGCTTAAAGGAGCAACTTTTATGCCAATAAAATTGAGGTATCNTAAGAACATTCTTGCAGACGACAACCCTACACGGCTTCAAATACTTAGGTTCGAAGTTTTATATTGATCGGTAAGTTTCTGATAATCCAATTTCAGTTAAATTTGAAATGTGCCACAGCTAATCAGGCTGCCACCATTCTGCCTTTTGGAAATTAATCATGTGCTATGGCTTAAAGGAGCAACTTTTATGCCAATAAAAATGAGGTTTCAATCTTGTCTTGCGGTGGCCAGTTGTACTCTTACAGTGGTCATTTTGGGATCCCATGCTTGCTACATGTAAGACAGAACAAATCAGGGTATTGGTATCTGCTAATTGCCAACATTAGGGCTGGTTCCTTGTGCACCGAAATTTCCAAGGGCGCTTGAATTTAGGGTAGCTATACGCAGTTAAAATTTTCCCCATTATCGAATAATCTTTGAGATATGTGATTGTTTTGAAAATATTTATTGTAGTTTAATAAATTTTTTTGTAGTATACATTTATACGCTTATAGGTCAAATTATGCTCCGGACCTATACTTACTCAATTTACGTAGGAATAGGGCGGTATTTTGACGGCGCCCCAGGACGGTACCTGCGATAAGTCAATTTAGGTCTATAAAATCAAAGGCAGCTAAACGCCTTAATGTCGTAAAATGGATTAACAATGGCGCTATCTTGTTAAGTTAGTTGGACACGCTTTAGTGTTTTCATGTTATAACAAATGCAGGTAAATCTCTAACAAATTCAGTTCAAAAATTTTATTTTTACTTTGTACTAAGTACTAATAAACGAAGTTTTATCATTTAAAATTCAGATTATTAGTTATATTCTCATTCTTTATAAATCTGCTTTAAAATAAAGAATATCGTAGCTATCCGAATAAAATAACTTCAGCTTCTCATACCGGGAGTGTTTCTGACACTTGCCCTAGCAAGAGCAGTACTTCGATGGATCAGGAGGATCCGTAATGATGTGTTTAGGGCCGATTTTTGTAGTTTACCTGAATATTTGACATACTTGGATTTAGCTACCTTTGATTTTATAGGCCTCAATTATGAATTTTATGACTTCGACAATCCCGTGGTCCATTTACCTCAGTGCGTTTATTGTAGGATTGGATGGTTTCTGTGTTGCTGTGCAAGTGCCTCTTGTGCCGGACTCCTGTGCACGGTTTTGTGGGCTCGATTTCTAGAAGTTCCCGCTCTGTTGGCGCTTTACGATTTGAAATTGGAAATGTCAGAGCATCAGTTACCCGTTGTAGCTGTGTGTCCTACCGTCGAGAGCATTGCTGAAGCATTCATTGATAAATTGTAAGAATTTCGTGATACTTGTGAATTGGTATTTATCATAGATATATAAAACCGATAAAAACTGGAATTGCGCTAACAACATCTCTCGTACTAGTTCCGAACAAATTGATTCAGGCAGTGTCGGTCTAGCGAGCAATAACATTCAGTCGCTGAAAGATTTTCCTTTAGCCGTTCATTCCCTACTGATTCCTATACGTATTTGTCACGACTTGAATGAACCGTGTGAAATAAGATATGCGAGATAAAGGTTTGAATATAGGCATATGATTAATAGTTTTATTAACAACTAGCTGTTTCGACAGACTTGGTAGTGCCTCAATCGATAAATAAAATACCTAAACTTTTGTATAATATAAACTTATAACAAACAAAAGGAATCCGTCTGACGTTTTATTTCATTCTGAGCATTTTCATATTTATCTGCCTTTTAAACCTTTTGTGGACTTCTACAAATAATTCAAGACCAAAATTAGCATAATCGGTCCTGCCCTTCTCGTGTTTTAGCGAGACTAACGAACATCAATTTATTTATATATATATATAGATAACAATAACAATATATTAAATGTAATACTGTATCAAAAGGGGAGTGATTGTTGAGATGACGGTTGATAGAAGAGAATGGAATAGAAAAATTCGCTGTGCCGACCCCACCTAGTAGATTAGTACCTTATATATTTAATAAAAATAATTGAACACACGTGTTTGCAGGTCACATGATAAGAATCTAAACAAACGGCTACCTCTAACTTTAGCCCACGTTCTCAAAGGTAAACCAGCAGCCGACGACCAAATACAGATACTTGACCACTTGCTGACTGTGAACAATGTCACCTTACTAGACATCATGAGGGCGCACATGCCCCCGTGCCACGCGGTCATAAAGAAGTGTCGCTGGCAGCATATCTATAAGTCGTGCGATATCCTGTTTGACATTGAAGTTACACCTTGGGGTATGTGCTGCGTTTTGAGACCCGATGAAAAGTAAGGACAGTAAAAAAACATTATAATCTATATTAAATTAAAATAATTTTTTTTTTCGATTTTTATTAGTGATTTTTTTTCCTATCTATTCGCTGGTAACCTAAGGGGCTATTTCAACTTCACGCGGCCGGTGGATTAACTTACGGGTTCGACCTGAGATAATTTGCCAACATTAGCCCTAATAAGAACAGTGCTTCGCAAAATCTATCACCGGATCGAAAACGCGACCCATTGAGAAGATCCGTCGATCGAAACTCAGTGGGTTAGATCAAATTATGAAAACTACATTTAAATATTTTATATTTGAAAAATCAGAAATAATAATGTGGAAATAATAACAGCGAAATTAAATCGTAAAAAGTCATTTTATTTGTGTTACATGTTCTATGATGAAATGAGTTAGTAAGAGAGGATTTATGTTTGAAGCGTCCCAAATTGTAACGGTGCAGTTGCAGTGGGGTTCTTAGGCATTCTCCAACATTACAGACTGGCAAATCACGGCACGAGGCTACAATTAAGAAATGGATTCCAAAGTACACTAAGGTTGGACTTGGCCGTGCAATGTTTTAATGACACCAACCTTTATAATTTTGAGGTAAATTAATCTTCAATGGGGCTTTAATTTTTTTTTTAAGTTTACAGCATAAGGAATCCGATGTAAGGTGGTATATTTAACTCGGATGGATCGGCAATGACGCTGTCTACGGTACAATGTATAAGTACTAAGGTCAGATAGTACTACCGGTATATTGTAATTATCGAAGTCTAAATTAGTTGTAATACCCTTTATAACATGAAAGGTGAGGATTTAGTTTGAATACATCCACTCGAGAAAACCGAGTATGGTATTTTCCTTTCAAATAACTGACATTAAATAAGTTATTTTGCTTTTTGTTTCCATCTGCTGCACAGTTCCATAATGATGACCACCACCACCACCGGAACAGTATATAAATACTGCTCCGATGGTGGTGAGTCATCTCTTTCAATATATTTTTCTCTGATTGGTAAAATGGTGCAATAGTCAGGGTGGCGGTACCTACCCGTGCGGGCTCACGAGACGCCCTACCACCAGTAATTACGCTAATTATGTTTTGTATACGGGTTTGACTTATATCACACGATGGTATTCCTTCACCGCAGAAATCCTTTGTTGAACATCTGTTAAGTCCGTATTTCATTAGAAAAATTGGTACCTGTCTGGTATACCTATCTTATTTTTTTCTACTTATGATTTTGTTCTGAAATGATTTTCAAATCAGACTGAAAAAGAATCGCCTTATGTGTTATTCTGAATTTATTTTCCTTGCGATTTGTTCAGTTCTTTACAAAATACGACGGGGAAGAGTGGATTGAACCAATGCAATTAGCTCCCGGAAACACTTATATGGCCCAGCTGAGATACACGTCCATCCCGGAGAGTACTGACACCGAGACACTGATTGAAGAATCATGTGTCTCCCGAAAAGGATACTCAAGAAGTGATTGTTTAGTAAGTTGAGTTAAGAGCTAGATTTAACAATTATCAGGTAATTAGGAAGAGTTTATTGGGCAATAGACATTCATATAAGAAATCAGGCTAAAGGATTGGAAAAAATACTATCCAAAGTAATTCATATACTGTCGCTAGGGCCTTATAGGAAAAGTGTTAATCGCATGCGGTTAACTGGACTAAGAGGCCTTTTTTACTTTGTCCACTTTTACCGAAAACATGGCTACAGAAGTATTTTAAGAACAATTTAATTGTATATTTAAACTAGTATAAATTTTTGATGAATTCTTAAGATCCTTGAATAGTAGAATTAACTACTTAAATTATTATTTTTTGCTTAGTTCTGTGGACGAGCTCACAGCCCACCTGGTGTTAAGTGGTCACTGGAGCCCATAGACATTTACAACATAAATGCGCCACCCACCTTGAGATGTAAGTTCTAAGGTCTCAGTATAGTTACAACGGCTGCCCCACCCTTCAAATCGAAACGCATTACTGCTTCACGGCAGAAATATGCAGGGCGGTGGTACCTACCCGTGCGGACTCACATAAGGTCCTACCACCAATCAAATTATGGTTCCAGTGGGGTTTTATCAGATTTAATTGAAGTCGCGTTAAATCGGAATATATCTATGACTTAAAGGAATTCTTATTACTTATGATAGTTAAACTACGATTCGCTGAAATTTTACTTAAATGGGTATCCGACATCATATTATAGCGACTTCGACAGCCACGAGCGAATTACGACGTCAAAATGAACGACCAATATAATTTGAATCCCTTGATCTCCCAGAAGCGCTGCTCCGAGAAGATATGTGGTTGCGTTGACCCGCTGAGAGGAAACCGGCAACCGGCTGACGGGGACTTACTGCCGTGCTCTCTCACGGAACTCAAATGTTTGAGGTCCTATGGAGTTAAGGGTACATAGTTATGTAGTTTCTTACTCTTAATAGCTTAGTCGAAGTATTTCAATAGAAAATCCTTTTTACGAAGATTTCCAATATTACAAAACTTCCCTCATCCGATTTATGTGTATACCTACATAGTTTCTTATTTTTTTATTGCTTGGATGGGCAGACGAGCTCACGGCTCACCTGGTGTTACTGGTGTTAAGTGATTACCGGAGCCCATAGACATCTACAACGTAAATTCCGCCGCCCACCTTGAGACATAAATTCTAAGATCTCACTTTTAACAGTACAACGGCTGCCCCGCCCTTCGAACCGAAACGCATTACTGCTTCACGACAGAGATGGGAAGGGTTTTGGTACCTACCCTTGCGGACTTCTATGAGGTCCTGTCACCAATAAAAAGTGATGTAATACTGTTAGTATGCAGCGTCGCTTCTCAGCCGGCGTAATTTCATAGAACTCCATCTTTGATCATAGCTATTCTGTAATTTCTGATCTTTCCAGGACATGAAACGTGCAACTGCGCTCCCAGCTGTAAGAAAGTCACCGCGTACACAACGCTAGAGTCGTCTCCTTTGAACTTTAACAGCTACGTCATTGATCCTATTTAGTAAGTATGAAAATATCTTTCGTGTACCCTCCACAGGTCTGCCGGTCTTCCACACGGGCGAGCCACTCAATCATTATAAGCAGGTTCCTGGTGAGTACGAAATTTAAAGGTTTGAACATATAATAAAATGCGTTGACAGTGCAAGAACATTCGGATACTAATAAAGGCTTTAGCTTTTTTGTTGTTGTTGTGTAGATAGGTGGACGAGCTCACAGCCCGCCTGGTGTTAAGTGGAGCCCATAGATATCTACAACGTAAATGCGCCACCCACCTTGAGATATAAGTTCTAAGATCTCAATATAGTCACAACGGCTGCCCCACCCTTCGAACCGAAACGCATTACTGCTTCACGGCAGAAATAGGCAGGGTGGTGGTACCTACCCGTGCGGACTCACAAGAGGTCCTACCCCTTAGGTTATTTTAGAAACATGACTTAGATACTTTTTATGTTATGAATAATGAATGTGAATATTATTTTCAGCAGTGGACTAAACGCAACGTCGTCCGTAGTGATGCACGTGCGCGTCAACATCAATTTGTCTCGTATATTCACTTTGAACCCAACAGAAACTTGGTTTACCTTGCTATGTGAGTATCCGTTGTATTTAGCGTCGAAGGGACGGGTGAGTCGCAACTCCTCAAGCGTGTTGTTTGGTTAGACATTACCTGTGTAGGTACCTGTGTGCTTAGTGCGACTTTTTTAACGTTTTCGATAGCGTAAAAGTTAACTAGAATTTTTATGGAGTTGGAACGTTTGCCGCTAGGGGCGCTGTTCCAACTGCATACAAATTTGAGTTAACTTTTACGCTATCGAGAACGTTAAAATACTCGCACTAAGCACACTGAGCTTATTGAAGAATTTCTCGGGTGTCCAGGCTCGCAGCGATAAATATATCCTTGGGAAGTAATATACTTGGCCCAGCGATAAGTGGTGATCATCATGAAAACCGCCCTGTCGATCGCTGCGAGTCAGCGACAACGGCTCTTGGCTGTTCTAAGTGTTCCAGCGGTGGAAAATTGATAACACGGAGCACTATAGGATACTACTAGGAGGGTAGATATGGGTATTCGACGGGAACAAAACCTCGCTTTGTTGTTTGGCGATTACGACGAAGGAAAGATCTTCCACCGAGCGGCTGATATTGCTCGGTAGACCGACGGTCTGACAGTTTTTTTCCCCTACCTATGCTGATAGCCTTGAGAGACTATTTCAGCTTCACCCTAACGTATGTAGGTGAGCTCACGGGGCTCAAACCGGAGTGTTGCTAACACTGACCCTAGCAAGAGCAGTGCTTCGCAGAACCTACCACCGGATCGGAAACGCGACCCACTGAGAAGATCCGGCGAGAAACTCAGTGGGTTTGAAAGTTGTTACTCGGAACTAGTATATATTATGCAAGCTTGCAATCTTGAAAATGTCGTAAGCGAGATTCAGGCGTCCGTCAAATGTCTTGTATGATGGCTACCCGCCACAGTTGCAAGGTTCTATCGAGGCTCATTCACAAGTGGACTTTTGTTAAGTTGTCTTCTCATCATTTTACATTGCCCATTTAATTGAATTTTCACGAAACTAAATTTAGAACAGTTTAAGTTGGCTAACTAATCTAAACTTAAAAATTAGAAGATTAAAATGGTTTTAAAAAAAAAAAAATGTTTTTGTGACAGCGTCACTCGGAGGAGTCTTCAATATGTTCTTAGGAGTCGGATTATTTAGTGCACTGGAATTACTATACTTGCTCTTCATCAAGCTGCCGAACGCAATGAGAAGATCATCAGAATTTCATTATGGAAATTAAAATGTAACTAACAGCGGAATTGTTTTATTTCTGTGATACGTACGTTCGTAGTTTGTACGTATTCAAAAACGACATCCCAGGACGAAAGGAGGATAGTGTGATAATGTGATACTCGTAATATAATTCTGCATGTAGACTTGTGGTTGGCGTAATGCAAGCCGGTCCACGCCTGAGTAGTTTTGCATCCTGGGTTGAAAGGTCAAGACAAGTGCGTAGTAGTACCACGTACCTGATGGTCACCATCACCATCGGCTTAGGCAGTAAGTCCATGGACACACCTAAGCCTCTGACCGCCGCTCCCGTCTCTGTTGAGACCTAATTTGCAGCAAAACATGCCAGGATACCAGTAGATATACGAGTCAGAATTAAAGTGGAAACTGTGATTTGGTGTAAGATCCTGAATGGGCCCTGCGGCTTCAGACAGTAAGAGTGACGTGTATTGGCGGCAGGTGCAATGGTAACCTACCTAACAGGCTTAACTTTAACTATTTGGCAGAGAACAACATCAGAACAAATTATTCTATTCCATATACTCCAAAGACAAGTTCGAAGTTGTATTGGCGTAAAATACTCGAATCGAGCAATGCGACTGTGTCTATGTTCGAATCTTGCAATCTCTGCTCTTGCTAGGGTCAGTGTTAGCAACACTCCAGTTTGAGCCCCGTGAGCTCACCTACACACGTTAGGGTCAAGCTGAAATAGCCCCCAAGGCTATCAACATAGGTAGGAAAAAAAAGCAAGTAGGATATATACATATAGGTACTATAATTACTATAATTAGATCTTTTATTTTGTTTATTTCATATTGATGTAGGTATTCGACCAATGTTATTAAGCTGTGGAGTGTGTGTTTACTTGCTTAGTTATTCTTTTGATTTTAATTCATTCCGCAACCTTTTTTTTCCTAACTATGCTAATAGCCTTGAGAGGCTATTTCAGCATCTCCTTAACGTCTAGGTGAGCTCACGGGACTCAAATCGGGAGTGTTGCTATCACTGGCACTAGCAAGAGCAGTGCTTCGCAGAATCTACCACCGGATCGGAAATGCGACGCAGTGAGAAGATCCGATGAGAAACTCAGTGGCCGTGTCTATGGGTTAATTTACTCGTCGAGCCCTTTGTTGCAAGCAACGACGCGTTCGGCGAGGACGGAGCCCGGTGCTTGAGGTACCTCCGATCCACTAACGGTGCTTTTAGGTACCTCAAGCACCGGTCACCGTTCTCGTCGAACCCGTCGCTTGCGACGAAGGGCTCGACGAGTAAATTAACTCCCAGACACAGCCCACTGAGTTTCTCGCCGGATCTTCTCAGTGGGTCGCGTTTCCGATCCGGTGGTAGATTCTGCGAAGCACGGCTCTTGCTAGGGTTCGTGTTAGCATCGTCGTCAGGTTTGAGCCCCGTGAGCTCACCTACTAGCCACGGTTACACTGAAATAGCCTCTCAAAGCTATCAGCTTAGGTAGGAAAAAAAAAATGAGGTACCTACCTAAAAACAATATAAGGTACAACGAGGTACCTAAAATTAATGGATCGGGAGGATCCGTAATGACGTGCTTAGGGCATTTCACAACCATCTGCTAATTTTATAGTTGTGCATGCTGTTTTCTTTACAATCTTTATTAACTATGATATTTGTTCCATAGATAACTTAATAGCTCTGTGACGTTACTGACTTAGTAACAAATATTTTAATCTGTGGCTCCGTTCAACGTGCACAGATTAAACGATTTATACATTTTAGCTCTGTGGCCGTGCTCTCGTTCGATGAAAAGTGTACGCAGTAATTAAGTAATTTTTAAATAAAAACGTCTAATTTCTTTCTTCTTCTTCATACCTTAAGTTGAGCTTCTAGTCCAAAATGTCGTCGTGGAAGAAGGCCGCTAAGGCGAATCAGAAAACTCACAGAGAACGACATCAACCAGAAGCTCGGAAACATCTTGGACTTCTCGAAAAGAAGAAGGATTATAAAAAGAGAGCAGATGATTACCATGAGAAAGGTCAAACCTTAAAACTTCTTCGGAAAAGGACACTTGATAAGAACCCAGATGAATTTTACTATCACATGATAAACTCTAGGGTGAAAGAAGGGGTAAGTTTCTAATTTACGATTTTTAATTATTAGAATGCTATAACATAAATGTAAATCTAGTTCATATGGTATATTATTGGTGCCTTCGCTTAACACCAATAATTTAAGATGTCTTAGGTTATGTTTACACTAAAATTAAACTTGACTATGTGCTGACTAAATGAGGTGGATATATTTTTTCTAATTTTGTTAGGGTTGAATGATGTACAAGACCACGAACCACTTGGTATAAAGACATAGTACATAGTGACATAGTCAGATTTTATTGGTGGTAGGATGTCTTGTCATTCCGCACTTGTAGGTACCATCCCTGACTATTTCTACCGTGAAGCAGTAATGTGTTTCAGTTTGAAGGGTGGCGCAGCGATTGTACTGTAAAACAGACCTTAGGACTAATGACTCGAGGTGGGTGGTTATTGGCTAAAAAAGAGTAAAACTTAACACCTTGTGGACCATAACCTCGACCACACATTAAGGTCTGTACAAAGCCTTAACAGCAATATTCAAACTATCTGTGTACTGAGCAATTTCACCCATTAGGTGAAGATCTTTCTATTGTCGCTAACTGCAACAAAAGTATGGCATGTCTAAGGGCCCTAAAGGTATGTCCTTATAATAAGAATGCATTGGTGTTTCCCTACCACTAGCAATGTTTATAGTTTTTAAAGATCAAATTACCAAACTTTCATTAACGTTTTTACAAATTTCACAAAAATTTTGCAAAAATTGTTTTTAATGCTAAATGTAACAAATCTTGTTGATTCTAGGTACATCATGAGCTCCAGAAAGAGGGTGAGCACTCGTCGGAGCAGGTGAAGTTGATGCAGACTCAAGATATCAAATATATCAACATGAAACGCACCATTGAAAGTAGAAGAATCAATAGACTACAGGTTATTATGTATTTTACGTATAGTAGAGCATGTTCTAAAGATTTTTACAGAACAGTTTATGCTTGGGCTGTTTGATTACAACAGAATCCATTACACTACAGCATGATAAATATTTCAAAATTTCAGTCCCAACTTCATATGACAGACGTAGCAGAGGCGACACCAAACACACACACATTCTTTGTTGATGAAGGTGAAGAGAATGGCTTTGATTTAGCGAAGAGACTTGACACACATCCTGCTCTGATTGGCAGAAAATCCAATAGGCCAAGATTGTCTGACTTAGACAAGATAACTCTACCAGACTTGGATGAAGAGGTACCATAAATATTATTTAAACATTTTTCATTTTAATTATTTAATTTGTCAATGTACCCTGTATGTTTTGTGAAATTATTTCAGACTGTAAAAGAGATGAAAAAGAAAAAGGAGAAAGTTTACAAAGAGATTGCGAAAAGAATTCAAAGAGAGACCGAGTTGACAGTTGTCCAACAAAAGATGGAGCTAAAACGTCACCTGCAGGACACTTCAGTACTAAAGCCAAAGAAAATAAAGAAGGGTTCGGCAAAAGCGGCTCCAGTTTACAAATTCCATTACATAAGGAAGAAATAAAAAAGTTTATGTTTTAAAATTTCTTTATTTATTTTAAATGTTTTAATAGTCTCATTTACAAAATATTAACCCTTAAATGCGATGTGATGTGTTCGGCATCTTATGCAGAATACAATCTAACATTATCTTATCTTTTGACATGCTACTAAACAGCTTTACATGTAAAATTGTCCCTCCATCTGTAACCATGTTTGGATGTAGTGCAACTTTTCTCAATTTATGAGCTTATTTATTTGTAAACGAACCACGATCTGTATTAAACTACAAGGTTTGTGATGGGTTTTTTAAATCACTATCATATACAGTGTGTTTTGGATTCGACCCTTTTTTGCATTAGAGGCAATATAACTATTTGACATCAGCGTGTGTGACTTGTGTGGCTGGCACTGTGAACTTGTTCAAATGAGAGATATTTATATTCCTATTTAATATGATATTCCCTTAAGGGTATCAGTAGCAGTCATTTTACCACTTCGTCTACGGGGAACGATCTCCGAGCACCCTGTACTTAGAACAAACAACTTGCGTTTATTAACATGTGGGGGTTCGTTGTGTATGATTTGTTTCAAGATTTATTTTAAGTTAGGTACAGATAAAGATTAGAGGGCGATGAGTTAGTCCTAAAATTCTATTTACCGATACGTTAATTAAGTTGGTAACTGAAGTAGTATCATTGCGCGCGTTCGCAACTGAACAATATCACATTTAAGTACTTCTGAAGTTGTGAGTACCGAGTATGAAATGGGCTCACGAGTACTCACTGTCGACAGACGGTTGCATTTAAGAGCGCTTGCTCTTGAATTAAGTTAGTAAATTATATAATTGTAATAATACGTCACTACGATAATCTCACACAAACTTGGACGGTCTAAGGCGGTAACTAAACCGTAATATACATTTTAAATCGTCTTTGGCTCACTTAAACCTAATAATCACATAGTCCAGTGGCAGCGCGCCCGGCCAACGTCACTGTCCGGGCCGCCTGCATTTTCACATAAATTAATCTGCGAATGTTTGTTCAAATATATTTTCATATCTTTTCTATGGAGTTCATATTATTTCTATTAAATGTAAATGCAAACCAATATCAAATAAATGTTCACCAAACTGTGGGACGTGGTCCCCCGCGGTCCCCGGGGCCGGCCCCAACTCTTGTAATTGGAGCACACGTTTTTCTTCTCGGGGCCAATTACATTTTCATTAAATTCAAATTTCTATCTCATTGAAGAAACGTCGTTACCCAAGAACATTGTTCGTCCCTAACTAGCACATGAGGCGCTGCCCGCGATCCCTCTCAGCCCTGGAGCCCGAGCCTCGCCAGCCTCGCCGCGTTGCTCAGTCCTCACTAGTTCGGCTGTCGAGGGTCAGGTCACCAGAGCACACACTTGTGCTCCGGGTTCATGGGGGACCCGACGGGACATTTCCAAGCTTCAGCAAACTCCTCGGAGTTGCTGAGGGTGCCGATCACTCGGACCTTGTTGGGGCTGTGGACGCCTTCTACTATTTTCGACTTGAGCGCTCCCACGGTGGAGTTGCCGCACCAGATCTGAAACGCGAGTAGAGGTCACTACTGTGTCAAGGTCAAGTCAATGATATCGTTTTCATCTGAGCATATTTTACTTAATGGTGAATGTTTAAAGTTCTTCTCTATATTCCTAAGAATAGCCTATAACTTTTAATTCATCTATGGACAGTAATCCGCCGTTGTCGGTCCCAAGCCCGAATGAGAAAGGAGGAGGGTTGGTGTGGACGAAATCTACCCATGCCGCAAAACAGTCAACGCCGAATATCGGGCGGCGGTAACTAACCCGACATCCCTGAGCGGCCCTAGCGTCCCGGGGCGGTAATCAGTAACCGTGAGGACCTAAATATCCTCTAAAAGTCTGACGCGGAAGGACCGCGATTACCTTCCCAAGAAAACCCCCTTATGGAATCCGTAACAACGAGAGTGAATTTTGTGTGTTATAATCCGGTGTCTGGTAAAATCCTGACAATTAAACTGAATACCAATCCATGCGTGCTGAATTTTATACAGATATACGCACCGACGGCACAAGCTTGGACGAGCTAATTGTAGACTTCTATGGAAAACTGGAGGAAATACTGAATTCTATACCTAGTCGGGAAATTAAGATAATTCTTGGTGATGGGAATGCCAAAGTTGGCAGTACACTGGATGATAATCATATCAGAAGCATAGTTGGAAAATTTGGACTTGGCATTAGGAATGAACGAAGTGAAAAACTGATCGAGTTCTGCATTGAAAGAAATCTCAGTATTATGAACGCGTACTTCCAACATCATCCAAGACGCTTGTACACGTGGAGATCTCCAGGTGACAGGTACAGAAATCAAATCGAGCACATCATTCTAGATGGCCGCTGGAGATCCTCAGTATCTAACGTGAAGACCTTTCCTGGCGCAGAGTGCGGCTCCGACCATAAACTGCTCGTAGCTAACTTCTCGCTGCGTTTAAAGGCGCCCAGACGTCAACCACTACAACCAACGCACATTAACGCTAACGCTGATACACAGTGGAAACACCTGAAAGGTCATATCAACGATACGCTGGACCACATCGCTAAAAAGAAGAAAAAAAAGAACCGAAGAAAAAATGCGGGATCTCCGATTATTCGTGGGAACTTATTCAACGCAGGAAAGACTTAAAAATAGCGGTTTGCAAGATGGTGCAAAGGTTAAATACTCCGAACTTAGCAGAGCTATTCGGGTCAGTTGTCGCCTTGAAAAGAACCACTTCGTTGAGGGTATTTGCCGTGACATTGAGCCTCTCGAACAAGTTGCAGACTGCAGACCTTTTTAAGAAAGTTAGAGTCCTTTCCAGGCAGTTCAAGGCTAAATCGTGGGTCATAAGAGATGCCGACGGAACTGTACTACACGAGTTCGACCGCATTACCGAGAGATGGCGGGCGTACTGTGAGCAATTGTATACAGATTCCCACTCGACATCCAAGATTAACCCTGAATGGAAGAATCTGGAACTGGAACCCATGATTTTACCTTCCGAAATATCCACCGCACTGGAATCTCTTAAGAAGAATAATGCACCTGGAAGCGACCGGATTACAACGGAGTTGCTTTATGCTATGGGTGACTTTGGTGTTATGACATATATGGCAATACGGTGATTGGCCGCGGGATTGGTTGGAATCCATTATTCTTCCGCTACACAAGAAAGGATCAACCAAGAATTGCGACAATTATCGAACCTTGTCCCTCATCTCACATGCAAGTAAAATCTTGCTTCACATCTTCAACAACCGCATCCGTTACTACCTTGATTAGAAAATTCCGCAAGAGCAAGCGGGTTTCGTGAAGGGTAAGGGTACTCGTGCACAGATTCTCAACATCAGGCAGATTGTTGAGAAAGCATATGAGTTTGCTACGCCAGTGATAATGTGTTTCGTCGACTATAGCAAGGCGTTCGAGTGTGTCAACTGGAGTTGTTTATGGAAGGTTCTACAAGAACTTGGGGTACCAAGTCATCTATCTCATCGCTTTATCCAACATCAGTAACAATGGCTAGTGCGAGAAGGAGGTGCGCCAGAGAATTGGTATGGCTAAGAATGCAATGACTTAGCTCGGAAAAATCTGGAGAGATCACAAAATATCCGTAAAGACCAAAACCAAACTGGTACGGACTCTAGTCTTCTCGATTTTTTCGTATGGCGCTGAGACCTGGTCACTGAAATCTGCAAACCGTAAACGCGTTGACGCCTTTGAGATGTGGTGCTGGAGAAAGATGCTGCCTATTCCGTGGACAGCATTTCGGACCAACGTATCAATTTTGCAAGAACTCAAAATCTCCTCGCGGCTGTCATCCGAGTGTCTTCGCAGAGTCCTTGAATACTTCGGTCACATCGCACGGAATGGTAGTAATCTCGAGAGGCTTATCGTGACTGGTAAGGTAGATGGAAAAAGACCTCGGGGGCGCAGCCCAATACGTTTGTCCGACCAGATCCGCACCGCTCTTGATTCCACGTTTCACAACGCCCATTACACCGCCAGAGACAAGAATGGATGGAGAAAGATCGTGCGTGCGAAGATGATACAAAAGGGTGATCACGACCCTCAGCAATGAGGAATACGGTGCAAGGAGGAGGAGACAGTAAGAGCGCCCCCGGGTGTCAGAATGTTGATTAATTTCGTTCCTGTAGTGACTGCGACTCGATCTTCACCTGAGCGAATCCCAAGTGGAAGAGCTGCGTAGGCGAGTAGTGCGGCAGTCCAGGCAGCGCGTCGGCGGCGGGCGCGGCAGACGCGGCAGACGCGGCGGGCGCGCGGGCGGCGTGCAGGCGGTAGGCGTCGAGGGCGGCGCGCACTCCGCCGTTGTCGGCGATGTTCTCGCCTTGCGTGTTCAGGCCGTTTATCTGCAACACGAGCCCGCGACATCTAAAAGGCTTCTATTGCCCAGTGATAATTTGATCTATAATTTACGTGTTGTTTCATCTCGTGTAACGTACCTGCGTCGTTATCATTATCATAAACGGTTCGCAATGATTATAGCATTATAGTATTTTGAGAAAAGGTTCCCCGCGCTGGCTTGAATTGAAGGTGGTTCAGTGAAGGATTCTTCTCATCTTTTAGCCCATTTCAACAATTCCAGCTTGAAGGTTCCGCCCCACCGAGGAGGGTGGAGCAGCGCGCCGCCCACCGCTGGGCTCCACTCACCGTGTAGTTGGGCAGCTGCGCCATGTGGTACTTGTTGTACTGATCGATGATGCACTGCACCTTGCCGTGGTAGTGCTCGAGGGTGTCTGCCGACCACCACTGCTTCAGGTTGCCCTCCTCGTCGTAGCGACGCCCTGACCAAACAGTTGTATATAAAATAACGTTATCTCAGAATTATTATAAACATTTGCTAAATATATTATTGGCTTCGCATGAGTAGTAACGGAAACTCGGGTAGGAGCTGGCTGTTATGCTATTAGTTTGAACAAATTTAGACCACGACCACGATACTGCCCGGGCGATGGGCAGCGGCGAGCAGTCTGCTGGCTGCTGTGTGGCCGCCACCAGACCACTAGTGTGGCCGGCACGGATGCGCACCGCTGGACTGCTTATACCGCGAAGTTACAGCGCATTTCAGCTTGTGGGACAGCCTGTACATATCGCCATCGAGACTCCGACCTCACTCAGGTTGTGACGGCTTAGTGTCCAAGGGGTCATTACCCTTACGGCGATGGATGGGTATCAAATGTACGGAGCGGGCTTCAGGGTTCGTTTGTACGTTGAAAGGCACGTACCTTGGTCGTCAAATCCATGCGTCACTTCGTGACCCATAATGGCGCCGATTGAACCGTAGTTGATTGCTCTGAAAGAATATTAAACACATTTGATTTTACACGCTCGTCACTCAGCAATGTATCGCGAACTGCACGCTAGAAGTCGCGAGTACAATAACACGCACGTCGCGCTATTAATATTTCTAGAAGCGTCTGTCAAAACATCTGTCAATGATATACAAGTTAATGACGTGAACGATAATCGGTCGTAAATAAATACTTGAAAGTATAATTCATTATTATTGAAGTGTAATGAAAGGCGACTGCGTGCAGCAGAGATGCGAGTGTTGCGATGGATGTGTGGAGTAACGAGAATGGATAGAATACGGAATGAATATGTTAGAGGAAGTCTGAAAGTGGCACATGTGACAGAGAAGCTGAGAAGTGCGCGTTTGGGATGATATGGATATGTAATGAGACGAAATGAAAATGAGGTGAGTAAAAGAATGTTAACTATGAATGTGACCTAAGAAGAAATGGATGGATTGCGTGAAAGACGATATGGGTGAGAGGGGAGTGAGCGAAGAAATTGTATATGATAGAAGAGTATGGAAGAAGAAAACATGTTGCGCTGACCCCAGATGAATGGGAGAAGGGCAGGATAATGATGAATTATGAATGATGAAAGAGTTAAATGTTTGCACTCACTCGATCCCGTTTCCGTAGAAGGGCGGCTGGAGGATGCCCGCGGGGAACGCTGGAACAAATTAATTAAGCGGTAAACATATTTTTTGAGATTTGCATAAAGACAAGGACGGACAGAGCGCACGCCGGAACATATACAAGGTACATCACTTCACGCAAGTCGAGTCACGTGTGTGGGTAGGTGGAAAAAAATAATACGTGCGCGGGGTCAACGACCCGGCGGCGCCGCGTGAGCTGATTTGTTATACACGGCTGGTTCGTGTGACGTCGCCATAATGGCAAACTACTTATGGCTGTAGTTAGTGGCTCCCCTAGGAAACATTGTAGATTTTATTTAATCATTTGCTAAACAGCTTTAGCTTCTTATCTGGTTAGTTTTTTCACGAGAAATATTATAATAGGTCCTGGGACCAAACTGCTGGCGCGAACAAATTCTGCAAGAGTACTCACTGACTGAGTTGAGGGTCGCCGAGTAGAACGCGTTCACAGTGGTCGCCGTGGCCACCCACCTGCCGACGCAAACAGAACTATACAATAACGACCGACAACATTTAAACAAACTGGCGTATTTGCACAACGATCTGTTGAGCTTTGTACGAAACATTCCAACAGAAGTCGCATCGCCACCATAGTTCAATAAGGACTAGACTGGTTCAATGAGGACTATTATTATTATTATTATTATTTTATTGCATAGATTGGTGGACGAGTTCACAGTCCACCTGGTGTTAAATGATTACTGGAGCCCATAGACATCTACGACCTGAATGCGCCACCCAGCTTGAGATATAAGTTCTAAGATCTCAGTATAGTTACAACGGCTACCCCACCCTTCGAACCGAAACGCATTACTGCTTCACGGCAGAAATAGGTAGGGTGGTGGTACCTACCCGTGCGGACTCACAAGAGGTCCTATTAATAGACGAACATCGCAAAATGGAATACGTTTTCGTGGATTTATTTTAAAAAGACAAGCGAGCTATCGTTAAAATCAAGAACATATGAGCGAGGAGACAATATCCTTACAAATTGAACGATTGTTGACCATACGTTCTTTAAAATAAGCTTCAAGTTTTATTACATTTGATAGGCACCGAGCCGTGTGCTAAAGCGCACAGGGTACAGGCGGCGGCCGGGGCCGGACACCGCACACAAATTTATTCAGAAATGTAAATAAGCATAACATGGTTGCGGACGGTGAAATAATATTTCGCTGTTTTATTAGGGTCGTTTGAAAGCGTCTTCGCATATCCCGTGATCTACGCTTCTGGACTCTGTCCCCCCAGCGGGGGACCGCACGTGGACACGAGCGAACCCGCGGCACAGGACCCCCTGGACATTGGGATCTGGTCCCCGCGTCGCCGGTCCTGGTACGGGTCTGTTTACGCTGCGCAATGAGCACACGCCTTGTTTGTCGTTACAGTTTGACCGAAACAATCTAAGGTCAAGTCAGAGTTAGGTTTCCACGAGGAAGGAATGTCAGGTCCGGCGCACACCTGTTCCTGTCGGGCTTCTCTCTGAGCGACTCCAGAGATTTCTTCACGGCGCCCCAGGTCAGCTTCAGGTACGTCCCGAACAGGCTCCCCTCCACCACCTCCGCCTGCATAACGTGTACAAAATATGATCAAAAGTTTTAGCTACAATTCGGTAGTATTAACATGAAATATTAAGTGAAGCATCATAATAATGATCAAATCACATGGTTGTTTCGCAGCACAGATAGGAGGGAGATTGGGCCTGCCCGTGCTGTAGGCAGGTAGTACAGCAGCGGCAGGCGGAACGTAAGGTCACAAGGCAGTTGCGCATACTGACGTGCTGGTAATGTTGGTCGAGCTGCCGGTGGGTGAGCAGCCAGGAGGGGAAGCCCACGAAGGTCCTGATGGCGGCCAGCTTGCGCAGCGTGCGCGCACGCGTGGCGGCGTCCATCCAGCGCAGCCGCTGCACGCTGGAGGAGAAGGCCTCACGCACGTCCTCTATCATCTCTATGGCCTAGGGGAGGGGACATTTTATATTTTTTTTAACAAAGGCAATTATAAGCGCGCGTTTGGTTTGAGCTTCTACTAATGCACTTCTTTTATTAAGATCAAACGTTATTAATTCCATTTTACTGATTTAGAAGGCAGATGTAATTTGGACTCGCCTGGTGATGAGCGATACTGATGTTGTTGGACATCAGCAACTATGCAAGCTATGCACTTGGATAGCCGATCCGCTGTCTACCACTTAAGAATGTTAAGCACATCCACAAGTTTTGAACCACAACATTCGGATCGTCGGTCTCTCGCGGTGGAAGATCTCTTTGTCACAGATGCCTAGGATTAGTTTACATGCGGCTACAGGGTTCTGTAACGTTAAAGTCGCACGAGACGCACCTTCTGCCTGGAGTCCTGGTCGAAATGTTTCTTGACGTAGAGGTAGCTGAGCGCGACGCCGAAGTTGGCGTTGACGTTGGAGGCGCAGGACTTCCAGCGCGGCGTGCGCTGCTGCAGCCCGAACACCGCGCGCGAGAACTCGAAGCCCAGCGCGCGGAACGAGCTCAGCGTCATGGGCGCCACCGTCGAGAATACGCTCCACCACACGAAGCGCTCTGCGGACCGTGGACAACGGCACACACTTTATTCACGTGCCATTTCAATTGGGGAAGCAGCGTTTCATTAGCACCTGTTCTTCTCTAAGCAAAATTTGTAAATAATCTTTCAGAAATGGACAGCAGCTTGGCTGTACAGCTGACATCAGCAGCACAACATTCCGTCTACTGGACCACTAGCGCCTCTATCTTGTATACCTAATATGAAGAGGAATACATTGGCTTATGTCTAATGTGACTATACGTCCCGCTTTTAGGCTGTCCGTCTCGATGTCCCCAACGAGAACAAAAATGTCCCGCTTTCATTTATCTGTTGTGCATGTGTTTATTAGAAACATACTAAATACTTATATACTTATGTCTCAAACTCACCGACGATAACAGGCTCGGTCTCGTTGAGCAGCACGGCCAGTTTTTGCAGGTACGGGAGGTCCATGACAATAACTCGGTCGGAGTCCTGCTGCAGCCCCACGCTCGTGTTGGCGAACACCAGCTCCAGGTACCTGTCCCAGTCGTGCTGAAACAAACGTGAGGGTACAGTCTGACGGCCGGGGAGGTCGCGGGCCCGGTGGGGGCGGGGGGGGGCTCTGTATGTCGAGAAGCAGTCACAGACTGTCGTTTGAGAGGTAGGAAATATTGGATTGCGACACTCGGATCGTTGTACCCAAATGCTTAACATCAGGTAAATGACAAAATATGAACTAGGTTTAATTTAAGCAAAAGAGTAACGCCTGAGTGGTGCTAAGCGGGAGCCGAAAACACAATCGGTGATAGGACCTAGTCCGACTGGCTGGCGACCACTCTCCAACTAGAGTTTGCCGCCAAATAGCCTAGCTGTGTTCCGGCATGTGGGTTGGAGAGCCAGTTCTATGCCTTTCCTTTCCTTCTCCTTGTTGGGGGTGAGTCTTGGTGATACTTGGAACATGCAGAGCAAACGTGCGCGCAAGTCCGCGGGGCGTGGGTTGCTGGCGGGGGTATAGGGAGACCCATTGAAACGGTGCCTGCCGCCGCCCGCCGGTCAGCAGGGGACCTGAACCTGGGTGTCACAACTAAACTCCGCCCCAGGAAGTTGTCCCGCCAACCGGTATAAAATCCTGACATGCGGTTGTCGTGTCGGAGTCGGAGACCGGAGTGGATCCCGGCGATCGTATGCAGGGTGGACTGGGTGCTCTTCCATCCTTTGCGTCAGCTCCTCGCACAACCCCGGATCGAGTGTTCATTGTGCGCTGCGCTTTATTCAGATATTGCCTTGATCTCACCTCTAGCATCCTACCTCTCCAACTAAAATAAATTATGAAAGTCGACAAAAGAAAAAGAGCCTTTCGGCGGATCCCCATTCCACGTGTAATGTTTATGGTAGGCAGCGGCTTGGCTCTGGCCCTGGCATTGCTGACTTCCATGAGCGTCGGTGACCACTTACCATCAGGTGGGCCGTATGCTCGTCTGCCTACAAAGGCAATATAAAAAAACCACAGCCCTGCTAGTGAATCCGGAGCACTTGGGCACTGGACGGTGGAAATGGTCTATGCCCCGTTACCAACCCGTAAAGGGTCATAGCCCCCTGCGCGGTTCGCCGGTCCCCTGGTGCTCACCTGGTCCCACTGCGCGGGTCCGCCGGCGGAGCCGTTCACGAACTGCCGCACGGAAACCTCGTGAAACAGATGAGTGCCACCGCGCCGCACCTCCACCGGGGTCATTATCTGCAAATCATTACTTACCATCAATAACACCGTAAATTTTAGAATTATAATTTAAGTTTGACACTGTTAATGTTCCAATACCTTTGCTAGACTCTTGCTGAAGTCTACAATATCATCAGCAAACTTCTCGGCGTCGGTGTCAGGGTCGGCGATGCTGATCACTGATTTAATGTATAAATGGTACTGTTCTATCTCGTGGCTGAACTGCTCCGGACGGAGGAGGTAGCGCTCGCTGAAGCCTGGAGGGACTTGCTCGATCTAAATCACAAGAGATTATCAGCTATGGTTGTATATATTGTAACCGTTTTGAATTAGCAATAATTGTATTCTTTTTAAATTGGAACAGTAATTTAGTGTGCGAACATGCTGCCAATAAGAGCCAGGAGCTTAAAATACACTGACCACAACACGATTTCTGCTGGTATTCCTCACGTCCTCAGCGACCTGAATGCTGAGCAGCACGTTGAGGCCCAACATCCTTCGTCCACGTCCAGCTACATCCTCCCATGTAAAGTTGGCGCTGACGTTCACTGGTGGAGTGGGAGGCAGGCCAAGTTTTTCTAAAAGTTCCTGTATGGGCTTAATCCCTTGAGCTTCCAATTTATCTATAACAAGAATCGATTACATGATTACATTACATATGTAAAGGTAATTAACATTAGCTGTTTGTGATAACTTTATTTCGTATTTAGCCTATGATTCAGCTCACCGGTATCAATACAAGTTCTATATAAGCTCTTCGCTTTGATCACGCTCTGTGGAAGACCCTCGTCGTCTGCAGCCTCCAGAACTTCTCGAAGATCTACCACTAGTTGTTCGCGTAGTTTCGCCAGCTGGTCCCAAGATGTAGCCCATTCTGGTACTGGGTTCTTCTTGATCCAGCCTCCGCAGGCAAACTCGTAGAAGTCGTGGCACGGATCCACATCCTTATTGAGGGCTTCTAATACTCTTGACGCTGGAGTTTAAAAAAATAAATAAAAAGATAGCGTAGAGAGAGAGAGAGAGAGAGAATACACTTTATTGCACACCAAAACACAATTTACATTCAAAAAAACAATCAAAAAACAGATAAATTTGTACAATAGGCGGTCTTATCGCTAAAAGCGATCTCTTCCAGACAACCGTATAATTTATAGAAATTCTGGAAAATATAAAAAAAATATAGCAGGTATGTTGCGGTGTACTATAGATAATACATTATAGAAAATATATACATACAATAAACAAAATATATACCGTTTACATATAATATGAAATATATACTTATTATTATATACCAATATACATACTTACATACAATACATACTAATATACTTACATACACATAATACATCAACAGTATGGAAATAATAAATGATGATGCAAACAAACAGCACTAAGAAGATAAGTAGTGTTCCTTCACCATTCTTTTAAAACAGTTTAAAGTTTGAGCACTTCTCACTGCATCCGGCAGAGCATTCCACAATCGAACCGCCTGGACGGTGAATGAATGATCAAAGAATGATGATGAATGCGCCGGCATTTTCAGTCTCAGGCTATCCGATAGCGTAATCAATTTCTTTCTTTAAATTATCTGATTAGTTTAGACGTGAAGATTAAGTTTGTCCTAAGTGAGTGAGCCTCCGGGAATAAAATTTAATGAGGAGGTGGTCAACAACAAATTGAATGGTTAATGAGACCACGATGTGTATAGGGCTCCAGTATATGTATATAGGGTCTCCAATTTCAAGATTCATGCGGTGGGCGTTCGGAGATGCGGAGTAAGGACATTGGCATGACATACAATCCCGAGGGTCGAAGTGTCGGACAGTTCTTGTTCAGTGTGCTAAGTGCGAGTGGTTTAACGTTCTCGATAGCGTAAAAGTTAACACTATGCAGTTGCAGCGCCCCTAGCGGTAACCGTAGGCAAACGTTCAAGCTCCATACACAGATTCGAGTTAACTTTTACGCTATCGAGAACGTTAAAAAACTCGCACTAGGCACACAGCTCCTATACTCACAGCACAAGAAAAACAATTAAGATTGAAAGTTGTTGCATCTAAATCGGTTTTAAAACGTGTAAACATAAATAACGTTTAATCTATAATAATTTTTATGAGAATGAAAATTACGATAAAACAATAATACATACAATAACATGATGGTAGAATTATAATACATAAGAATTAGAACTCTAGAAAAATCTCGTAAAAATGTTTCATCAAATTAAGTTTTAATTAATTCCATGAAACTTTTGTATATTTAACAACAACTCATCGATAATTATTAGTCAAAATAATATATTAACTTTGATTGGTCAGAACTTTTCACTCATTGAAAACAAAAATACGGTAGCATTGTACAACAACAACACTTATCAAATATAAATAACCAATAAAACGAAATACAACGACATACGAATACGTTTACGACAAATTTACTTAATGACGTTTCTATTTCAATCAATTAAGCAATTAAATTGGAACTTAGTAAGCCACATGCACTGTTTTATAAAACGCAAAATAAAAACAATGACAAATCTTGTTTACTAACAAGAAATTTAAATTTAATCAATCTAAGTAGGTATTATTTTATTAGCATAGTGCCGATCTCACAGCTATCCTGTTTGAAGTCGTCGTGGCCTAAAAGATAAGACGTTCGGTGCATTTGTATTTGGCGATGCAACGGTGTTCGAATCCCGCAGGCGGTTACCAATTTTTCTAATGAAATATGTACTTAAAAATTGTTCACGATTGACTTCCATGGTGAAGGAATAACATCGTGTAATAAAAATCAAACCCGCAAAATTATAATTTGCGTAATTACTGGTAGTAGGACCTCTTGTGAGTCCGCACGGGTAGGTATCACCCCGTCTATTACTGCCGTGAAGCAGTAATGCGTTTCGGTTTGAAGGGTGGGGCAGCCGTTGTAACTATACTGAGACCTTAGAACTTATGTCTCAAGGTGTGTGGCGCATTTACGTTGTAGATGTCTATGGGTTCCAGTAACCACTTAACATCAGGTGGGCTGTGAGATCGTCCGCCCGTATTAAAATAAAAATAAAAAACTTGAAGGTCAATTAAAAACATCGAATTGTTGATACGAATTCCAAATAAAACGAATCTTTAATTACAAAGATATGTGCCGAGTATTAAGCTAAATGTCGCTTAAACCAAATAGCCTTTCCGCTAGATACGTGCATCGAACTATACGGAACTCAATTATAACAAAGTGGTAAAATACGTAACAATGTCTCCGGTTAAAACGCGCCCGCCATTTTTGTCCGCGTGGAATTACATGTAATGAACGTTACGTAATTAAAAGTTTTTTACACAATAAATGTTTATGTTGATGTTACAATGAATTGTTATTGCCAATGTTAATTAAATGCTATAAAACTTATTTTTGTATAACAAAACTGTTTTTTGCTTTGCAATAGCGTATCTTCACAAAAGAACGGCATACTTGTAATATTTCGCAGTGATCAATAATAATTGTAAATAAAACTCATTATAATGTTAAAATGGCTCGAATCCATCCATCACTAAGTATTTATTCGTTCGCGTAATCGGCATTAATTAGTTTATTTAGAAAATAATAACAATGTGCGTTATCTTTGTTCCTGAGTCATTTTTTAAAGCCAATTGTCTGTTAACCGAATGAAACTAAAAAATGAAACAAGACTAATTATTAATGAAATAATTCATTATTGAAATAATTATAACTATTATAAGTTTAAATTCAATTGTCGGGGCTGGACACAAAGTAGTCCTACCTTTCTACAATATATCCCTGGAACAATGATGTACTCGATAGGTATATATAATATTTTTATTGATTGATTTGTTTTACAAGTACACGCATCCATATTCGTGGACCCTAGACTCTCGACTGAACTCTAAGCTTGGTGTTGGCAAAGCGATTGGTAATAATCGACTTAAAGACACAGATTTGGAGTTTTAGTACCTATTTGGGCAACGGCAATGGAAGCAACGACTGGATCGTGCCAAAACCGGATGCAATGGAAGCAACGATTGGATGGTGGTACGCTTGTGAACTTGCACTGTGCACCATCACCAGTGAGTATCCGAATATTTTAAACTGATACTTTCCCTTTTTTTTCTCCTGCCGATGCTGATAGCCTTGAGAGTCTATTAAATTTTCAGCTTCTCCTTGACGTGTAAATGAGCTCACGGGGCTCTAACTGGGAGTGTTGCTAACACTGGCCCTAGCAAGGGCAGGGCTTCGCAGAATCTACCACCGGATCGAAAACGCGACCCGCTGAGAAGATCCGGCGAGAAACTCAGTGGGCTGTGTCTATGGGTTAATTTACTCGTCGAGCCCTTCCTCGCAAGCGACGGGTTCGGCGAGGACGGTGACCGGTGCTTGAGGTACCTAAAAGCACCAAAAAATCCGTGTGGTATCAGCAAAAAGATTTTTTTAGGGCAAAGGAAATATAGCAGGTCTGTTTATGTAAAACTCACCGGTGTTGACACAAGCCTCGCTCATGCAGGGCTTCGGGTTCTTGTAATCCGTGAGGACCAGCACTGTGGTGTATATAGCGAGAGCGATCAGAGACACGCCTAAGGCCCCTATCAGCACCGAAGACCATCTTACTGTTCGTTCGCTGTAAAAAAAATTAAGATATTGAAATATATAACCTTTGTTTCATGATGATTTGGTCAGTCGCTTTAATGATTGAAAAACACTTTTAGAGACCTTTTAGGCTGTTTTCAGAACGCTAAAACTACTTCGCGGCAGAATATAACCGTAGATATAACCGTAATACATAGCCGTAATAAATAACGTAAACCATTACTTTTTTTATTGTTTAGATCGGTGGACGAGCTCACAGCCCACCTGGTGTTAAGTGGTTACCGTAGCCCACGGAATAGATAAATAAGGTTACCTTATTTATCTATTCCGTGCCGGAGCCCATAAACATCTACAACGTAAATGCGCCACCCACCTTGAGATATAAGTTCTAAGGTCTCAGTATAGTTACAACGGCTGCCCCACCCTTCAAACCGAAACGCATTACTGCTTCACGGCAGAAATAGGCAGGGTTATGGTACATACTCGTGCAGACTCACAAGAGGTCCTACCACCAGTAATTACGCAAATTATAATTTTGCGGATTTGATTTTTATTACACGATGCTATTCCTTCACCGTGGAAGTTAATCGTGAACATTTGTTGAGTACGTATTTCATTAGAAAAATTGGTACCTGCCTGCGGGATTCGAACACCGGTGCATCGCTAGATACGAATGCACTGAACATCAGCTTATTCTTTAGGCCATGACGACTTCTAATCTTACCTGGAATCTTATAACGCGCTACCACTACTGCTATGTGAATGGAGGTAGTTAATAGTAAGGTGGGAACTAAAGTTGAGTGTCAACTTCGAACTGATGATAGGGAAGTGGTAGATGCCATTAACATAACAACAAATATTACATTTATCGTCAAATAATAGTGTTTTCAAAACAACCGCGTTTTCTATTATAATAAATAGCACTTTCACTGTTTTCGTTTGAATATAACTTGTGATAAACTGTTATTTATTGAAATGAGGAAACTGTAAAGTTGATGTTATTACGCAAGATTGTATAGATTGTGGCACAATTATGTTACACGTGTATTCTATAAATATAGGATTCCAGTTTAACAATTGGAAAAGTTGTAGGTTTTTAATACGCTTTTATTAGCTTCAGACTTATGTATGTTAGTATGTTACGGAATCTTTGAACATGATTTTGACCCCCTTCAAAACGTATTAGCTCGAAATTTAGTATAGGTACTCATTAACGACCGGTGACAATTCAATATTTAAAAAAATGGAAAAAGTTTAAATTCAACTAAAAAATGAAAAATAAATAATAATTTAAAAAACTAACAAAATACGCTTTTACAGAAAATCCAACTAAAAAATAGAAAACAAATTTTAATAAATTTGAATTAAAAATAGTGTAAGAAAATATGATTTTATTATAAGAGCTGTATGGAAATTGATATGATTGATTAAAATAAAATAAAAAACAAATATGAACAGAAGAGAGTTTTGATTTTAATTTAATATTATTTGCTTGCCTCATAAGGTTTTGTTGGCGGTAAAGCGTTGTATAGATATGCACGCGAGTCTGAGATGTGAGCTTCAAAATCTCGCCTATGCCTGCTGCGAAATAGCCGTGTGTTTCGGCTTCATTTTTTTTTTTAATTTTTTTTTTTTTATGATTGAAAGATTACTGGTGGCCCGGAGGCCTTTCCAGTTTCACCAGGACAGGTGGGCGAGCAAAGGCTCAGCCAGGAGGGGTGGGATTTGCTAACAGCTACCCGAGCGCCTCCGAAGGAGACCTAACAACTCAAGAGTAGCTGCTTCGCGAATGAATCTACTACCGGATCGGAATCGCGACCCGCTGAGAAGATCCGGCGAGAAACTCAGCGGGCTGATTCATGGGTTAGGTTGCACGGCGAACTCTTTGTCGAGTTCGAGGAGTACGGTTACCG